CGAGGTCATAGCAACAGGTGTAATCTGCTTCACTTTTCCATGGACCGTCAGTTCGAAAAGAGAACTTTACATACACCCGCTTTAGTAATGAAGCGAATTTTTACATTTTTTTTTACTTTTCTGATGAGGATGCAAGAATAAAGAAATTTAAATCAAATATAATATTTAATGGAGGCCGCCGAGTTGACGAGAGTTCTTTCATAATATTGTTGGCATGGATGAAATTCCCTTTTAAAAAAAAATAATTTGACTTCAAGCGGCCGTAAAATTAATAAAAAAAAAATTAAAAAAAATTAAGCCTAAAATTAATAAAGAAATTCAATATTTTTAGAAGAAATGTTATAAAAGTTGCAAATCCAGAGAAGTTAAAAATATACTTTGAGCTAAAGGCTACATTTCTATTTATTTTCATCAAGCCTAAGTTACGGCCAATGTGAAAAAAGGCCTTTGTGCCTACAATTGTAACCGTTTTTTGAATAAATTTGAATTTGAAGCTATAACCCGATGTTTCACTTTCGTAAGACAAACATTGATTAGCTGTATAGGAACTGTATAGACACCACATGACCAAGTTCTGTCATTTTTGTTAACATTTTGTTTAATAAAATTTATGCTAGCCTATTGAATAGCAGGATGTCATTGTTTATGTCGCTATTACCAAGTAATAACCAAATGGCTTTTGTCTTTTTTAAAAAATTGCGTTTAATTACCAAAAATACTAACACATCAAAATTCATCCACTCTTTTTCTAAAATAAAAAAAAAACGAAACAGTCAGGATTTCATAACCATATTAATTTTAATTTCATCGCAGATGATTTTAAAAATATTTAATGGGCCATTCGAATACCTTTGAGACTATTCTCGCTTGAGTTATTGTTGGATATCGAACGCAAGTGAGTTGCTTTCTAGAAAAACCATGGGTTTGCAATTATATCGAAAGAAAAGGGTTTATTATCTCCTTTTACGTGCAATTATTTAAGTATTTATTTAAATATTTAAGTATGTTAAATTTAAGGAGGTCACAATTCTGAATTTCAAAAACACATCACAAAATTACTAGGTGAAATTACTAATATCAATTACTAATATATATATATATATATATATATATATATATATATATATATATATATATATATATATATATATATATATATATATATTTATATATATATATATATGTACATGAAAAACTTACATGATACCAGTAGTCCCCATACCAAGGAAAGTTTTCCTGACATTTTTTTTCGATTTTACTTGCTGAATTGAAGCTAAAAACAAACAAAATTAGTAGGATTTATATATATATATATATATATATATATATATATATATATATATATATATATATATATATATATATATATATATATATATATATATTTATATATAAGACGCACGTTGTTCTAATCACTTATCTTCCTCTTTATACTAAACAACTGAATCGTTGCCTTCCTTATATAGTAAACAACAGGATCCTCTGTTTACAATTCAATTTAAATACTTCACCGCCGGTCCATATATTATGATAATCGTAGATCGCTTAAAAACCTCGAGTCACAGAAAATGGGTTGGTCTTTGATTTCCCTTTAGATCACCTATCGAGTGATAATCGAAGTCAATTTTAAGGCGTGTACTGACATCCGTGTTGGCTGTTTGAAAGGGATCCATTGTATTAATATTTCTAGGTGTGGGCCTACAATGTGATAAGGGTGGCAATGGATCCTGTGTGATTATAATGTGTATTTTAAGCACGGAGATTGGTCTAGAACTTCCTGGGTCACAACTCTTAATGCCACCATGAAGAAATATTGAAGACTTCCTTATATATATATATATATATATATATATATATATATATATATATATATATATATATATATATATATATATATATATATATATATATATATATATATATATATATATATATAGTATGGCTCATTTATGTTTGGTCAGGTTGACGAGGTATGGGATGAGGGTGACAAATGTGACAGATACACACTTGCCCTAATCATCACCCTTCTACATACATTATTCATCAACTCTTTAAAGGTATAATACTTGGCACTCATCACGTAAAGTGTTCTTACAATCATTCCGTGTATAGTTCAGCTAGAGTTTGTTTAAATCAAAAGTTGATTTTAAATAATGTATACGTCATACAGAATAACGAAGCACTAGAATTTTCGTCCTATAGTTTATATTTACTTTTTTTTCTTTATTTAATTGGAAACAAGTAGCCTACATTCTTTAATACGTTCCGCGCCCTTCGTCTGAAGGGGCAGCACCCACGAGAAGGGCACCCTCCAATTCGGAAACGGGTGCTCTAACCCGAGAGTTTCAGACTTGATAACTGGGAGTAGTTCAGACATTTAATAAGTAGGTGAATAAATATAAGTACTTTGGTCGTATTGACATGTGCACGTCTATATCTATAAATATACTTTGCAAAGTTTCCCAGGACCTAGGGGGACTTCTCTTCCTGGTTTGTGACGGGATAATGCTAGGTGTCACAGCATGTATTTATGGTTTAAACACACCTGTGGGTGTGGGTTAATGAATGAATGAAACTTAACTTTAGTTTATGTAACTATATAAGTTTATTTACGTGAGAAGAATATCCATAGATGAACAGTGTATCGCCATCACATACACATTGAAATATAATGTGATAGAACACACTGCGGTTTAGGCCTTATAGCTGATAGTTAAGAAAATATATTTGAGCACACAGACTATCATTCACACGCCCTGCATTCGTCTATGGTGGCTTTTAGGTGGCTCATGAACATTACATTCACCCATCTTATAAAGTCTACATTCTCTCCTCATTCCAGTTAATGAGCGATATCAGTGGCAAAACGCAAAAAAGCCACCGCTCTGTAAAACCGCACCCCAACTATTATTTAGGAGTGTATGTGAATATTTTAATAAACTGTGTTACTAAACTTTAAATTAATCATTTAAACCATTTCCTAATTTAGTAATTTAACCTATTTCATTGCAAAATCTATCCATCGTGAGACAACAAATCACAGAAATATAAGCTCCAACTTATTTCGGGCCTGATATAATCGTGTTTTAAAAACATCTTTATCTCATTTATAACCTCTTCAGTAGTAAAAAAAGTAATATATGGTCAACATAACTGCAGCATATAAAGACACACCCACAAAAAACAAACACACACACACACACAAACACAAATAAACAGGATTGCAACACTAAGTTTTTCCGTCTCTGCAAGGTTGTAAAACGTCAAGTTTGTCAAAATTTGGATTTAGATTTTTTCACTATTACAATACGTCTTTTGCATACGATAAAAAAAACAAATGGTAGCTGCAGTGAGGTTAATGTAATTAGTAAAAAAACAGATAGTATTAGTTACCTCACAAGTTAAAGACAGTTACAACAAAGGACGTTTCGACCCAAGGTCTTCGTCAGCACACAACAGTGTGATTACAGATTAGACAAATAAAGACAAACAGTAACACATTTTTTGACTTAGCTCGACAGTGAAAACACGTCTTGTCTGCTAGCCACGATATCCAAAAGAAAAGACGCGTGAGAAGGACGCTTGGACACCGTATAGGGGTGGGGTTGGGGGCGTGATGTATGCGGGAGGGGGGGGGGGGGGTGGGTTGTTAGGTGAAAGATATCTGTTCATTCAAGCCATCGGGTGCCCGTGTACCAAATTTAAGTATCAGTCGCGTTTCAGTGCTAAGGCGATTTTTAAAATTGTGCCACAATTTTAAAAATCGCCTTAGCACTGAAACGCGACTGATACTTAAATTTGGTACACGGGCACCCGATGGCTTGAATGAACAGATATCTTTCACCTAACAACCCACCCCCCCCCCCCCCTCCCGCATACATCACGCCCCCAACCCCACCCCTATACGGTGTCCAAGCGTCCTTCTCACGCGTCTTTTCTTTTGGATATCGTGGCTAGCAGACAAGACGTGTTTTCACTGTCGAGCTAAGTCAAAAAATGTGTTACTGTTTGTCTTTATTTGTCTAATCTGTAATCACACTGTTGTGTGCTGACGAAGACCTTGGGTCGAAACGTCCTTTGTTGTAACTGTCTTTAACTTTTGCATACGATAAACTTGGGAGGTGTAAAACTGAAAACTATAAAAACCAATATTGTCTATACTCTGCATTCGAGAAAGTAAAAAAAAAAACAACCATAGGAAAGATAAGCTATATGTACACCAGTACCTTATAAACTGTACAAAGAGGAACATGTAAAAGATGCTCCTGAGTCATTAGTCTTGTGATCCTTACTCTCGATGTTGAGATGTTTTAGCTCTTCCTAGTGGCCGATTGTCATTGACAACAGAAGACTTAGTCCTCAATTGCGGTCACATACTAAGTACCTTAAACATGATTATAGTACATAGCCTTAGTGATTAGTCTAGACTTGTTTTAAAATGACCCTGTACATTCCACAATATCACAACACTAATATGGCTACTGGTTTTTCAAAGCTGCTCTTATATACCTCATAATCATAATGCTTTGACATTGATTTAATGTTTTTTATTACAAAGTTAAACAAAAATTGTTTTAACATAGATTTAATAACTTAAAAACAAAATTTTGTTTCAAGTAAAGTTAAAAATATGTCACATTTTTTTCCTATTCGTGCCCATGAACTAGAGCTGAACTGTTTCAATGATCTATGGATATGAGGGATAGTTAGATCAGCACTGTGCCCAGCCGTCTGTTTCCCTAACCTGAGTCAGGGACGTCACTAAGATTCGGGCCCTGGATCTGAACGCAAGACTTTCCGGCTAGCAGTCGTAAGCTCTACCACTCAATCATGGCGTACGCTTAAAACAAAACAACTATGCAACAAATCTAAATTTAGCTTTCTTTATAACCGTTAATGTACTGAATATAACCCTACGTTCTTATCTACCATAAGAGTGATTACATATAATTAAGTAATAAATTGTATCAACACCCACTGTAAATAGTTTAGTCAGGGAGGTTTTATTGTTAAGTATTTAAACTTTCATTGCTATTCTTGGGTTCAGATGCCGCCGAAGTGTGTTACCAGTTTGTATCGAGGTAAGACTTTGTCTTTTGTACGTGCAGCTAATGTGTAGATGTGTAGGGTACGACACACAACACCAGACTAGACGACAGAGACTATGAAATAGGAGGGGAGAGGACCTAAAATAACACCTTGATGTTGAGAAATGGAACGTTCATAAAAGTGGACTTAAACACTCAGTAACATATTGGATCCATTAAATTTTTGTACATGCGTTAGCCGTAACAGATTAATATCCTAAAAATTAACTACCCTTTTAAAACTTATATTAAAACAATTACTAAACATTACTGAGTCAATGATATCCTTACAAAACGTTGAACCGATTCTTACAGAATTCAAAGCAAGACATACGGTAGAGAGAAGTTGGCAACGGCACGACACAAAACAATACATTTAGAGAAAGGTTATTTAATCAAAAGATTGCATACGAATTTGTAATTACAATTATGTAACATTTTTCCAGATGCAGATATCTTGCAACGCCATATAATCCATTAACATAAAAGACTATCGCCGTACATACGATAATGAAAATTATTGCATGCTTACTGATATGTTTGAATTGTTTTCAACCGACCACCTTGGTTACTATAGTGACCGCTGAGCTCGAAAGACACGTAGTGCAGACCTCGCCTTGCTCTGTGACGTCAGTCAACAATGACGTCACGGTAGACTGCACCAGTCGAGGCATCCAACAGATAAATCCGTCATGGTTCCCGACGAACGCGACGAAAATTTTCCTGGACAACAACAGGCTAACAGCAGTTGAAGATTTCACTTTTGAGGAAGTTCCACGTCTGCTGGTCTTAAGTCTAGCATCCAACAGCATCACAACACTTAAGGTCAACGCCTTTAACGGACTTGAGAATCTGCAAGTTCTAAATTTAGAATCCAACAGAATTGATATATCAAATGGAGACTCGTTTCCCAAGCTGGTTCTTCATGGTTTGAAAAATTTGTCAGAGCTTAGACTAAAACAGGGCTTACAAATAACAAGCGGAGAATATCCGGTGAAGTATTTTACTTGTCAAGATTCATTGACAACCCTGTCTATTGACACTGTCAGTGTCAATTTAGAGTTTGGTTCTGAGTTTTTAAGTTTCACACGTTTGACAAAGTTAGATATTTCCGGATCTGTGAGAAGCATTACGAATTCAAGTTTTGAGAATTTCCACAATTTGACAGAATTATACTTGGGTAGCTTTGATGACATTACATCAATCGATATCGCTGTCTTTAAGCCACTAGAGAATCTGGATGTGCTGCACATTGAAGATGTTCCTTATGGAGTCAGGAAGATCTTAAATCTTCTTTGGCCTTTCAGAGGACGTAATATGACTTCGATACTACTGAAACTAATACCATACAGCATCAACATCGCCGACGGCAGCCTGCTCAGAAACGACAGCTTCTTGTACGCTGTAACTACTCGACACTTGACAAGTATTTGTCTGCAGAACTTCTCGTTCATCAACAATCAAATTTACGTTTTTCTTGACGGTGCACTCTATAGCAGTGTTTGGGATTCTTGTCTGAGAGAAATAAATCTGTCTAAAAATCCTGTAACCGGGACAGTAATGGGTCTGTATAAAATAGTTACTTTAAAAAATTTACAATTTTTTACATTTGAGGATATTTTTCGTGCAAAATCCGAAGAAAAATTTGACTGGAGGAAATATTTTGAATTATCTGAACGATCGGACTCTAATGTTTCTTCAATAGCCGACTTATCAACAATAGCAAGGCCAACAGGGTTATTGATTTTTGTACTTACGTCAGTCCGGATGCTTAACTGTAGACGTCTTATCGCCTCCACCACACTTAACCTCAGGATTACGGTAATGAAAGGAGAACAACTAGAACTTGTAGACATATCAGACAGCGGATTTAATAGTTTCTTTGTACCGATACTTGGGTTAACAGGGTTACGGTTCTTAGATATGTCAAGTAATTTAATTTATGTGTTTAGTGAGGACTGGTTCGACTACGTGCCAAAGTTGGAAACTTTAGTGCTGTTTAACTGCGAGCTTGATGGTAGTTTTATGGCCAAGAAATCTGGGAGGTTGTTCTCTAGGCTAAATTCTCTTCTGAGGCTGGACTTGTCCTCCAATTCATTAACAATACTGGCAGAAGATCTGTTCGCCAACAATACCCGGATACAGATGGTTCGACTAGCAGACAATCGCTTCAGTTCCGTACCGTTTCAATTAAAATTCACACCAAAACTAACTTTTTTAGACCTCACTAAAAACGCCATAACCACCATTGATAAAGAAACACGACTTTCGCTTGATAATTTAGCTCTAGGGAAAGAAGGATTTCAGCTTTTTCTTGATGGGAATATTCTATCCTGTGGCTGCGAGAGTCTCTCATTTCTCCATTGGTTGATGAACACTCACGTGATATTCGACAAGGATGGTGTGTTTTCTTGCATGGATCAAAATGGCGTCTTGACCAACACAAGCGCGTATAGAAATCTCGACGCACTGTGGAGAAAATGTTGGGGGGAAGTTTTCTTGTATTATTCTTTGGTTCTTTTTTGCCTGATTATAATTGGACTTTTATCAACTTTTGTAATTAGCAAAAAACTGACTTACATTTCCCATTACATAATTCAAATGTTTGGGGGATTCAAGTATCAAGCAGCAGCCGACTATAACATTGGTGTCTTTATAGGCTATGCTGACAGCGACTACAAATTCGCTTGTCATACGTTGCGAGCGTTCGTCGAGGATAAGTTACAAATGACGTCATACCTACGTGACCGTGACCTTCTGCCGAGCATAGACATGGCACGCGGGATCGTTGACGCCATCAACTCGAGCTGGCGAATCGTGCTCGTCTTCAACAAAAAGTTTCTGCAGAACGACGACTGGATGATGTTCACCTTCAGATCCGCCATCTATGCTCAGACGCCGGCCAACCCGAACAGAGTTGTCGTTCTTGTGGACGAGAATCACGCGTATGATCTGCCAACGGAGCTGCTGAATGCTGTGGTCGAGGACAACATTGTGGTGGTCCGCCACTGGGGGCTGACGTATGAGCTCAGGGAAAAACTCAGGACACGCCTCTGCCCAGTCTGAAATCTCTTGTAAAAGTTGAGACAGACGCACAAAGCCTTTACTTTACTTAGAGTCAGGGCGGAAGTACCGGGGGGGGGGGGGGGGGGGGGGGACACGCCATTTAGGGGCCCACAGCCGACCCTAATAATTTTTTTATAGTAAAAAAAAATAAGTTTCTTGTATTTTTGACTTGATCTATGTTTTGTAAAAAGATTATCGTAGCTGCGGTTGGATTATCTTTATTATATAGAAACCACCCCACGCTCTTGTATATTCTTTTTACCTTTGTTTTTAAACCACTTTGAAAGCCAAGTCCTCTTTCCCCTATAATCTAACTAATTCAGATGCGTAGCGACCCTTCCCGGCGCACGGGGGACAATCTTTCGATTTGCACCCCCCTTCGAACTTTTGATTTGCACCCCCCCCCTCAAACTTTCAATTTGTTTTTCCAACCCATTTTAACGCCCCCCCCCCCTAAGGTCGGCGCCCGGGGACATATGTCCCCCCCCCCCGCCCCCCCCCCCCTCGCTACGCCTATGCACTTATCAAAGATAAGCAAACGTTCAAACCACTTCCATGATTTATTTCTATTTATAAATAGTCAAATAGGGGTGCTCATAAGCTCCTTTTAATAGATTTGCACTAAACAAATTAAAAAGCAATTGCTACTCTTAATTATATTTTTTAAAATTAAATCTATATACTACTAAAACTCAACTTTGTTTACATGTTTGAAAATTTATTTGTTTGTCTGATTTCTTACTGTAAGGAAACTGCTGTATATGGGGGGGGGGGGGGGGTGCTGTAAAATAGTATGTAGGTAGAGAATAATTTTTGATTGCAGACAGACTGTTAATCATACATTTTTTTTAAAGCATCAATTAATTTATTGATTTATTCATGGGTAGATTAACCACATTTGTTTTAAAGTTTTAGAACAATGGCTTAACTTTGACTGAATAGTGATGTTTGATAACTCATTTTTTTGTTTGTTTTTCTGATTTGTTATTGGGGAGAATCTTCATTATGTGTAGAGCTTTGAAATGCTATTTTGAGTTGTTAATATTGTTCCTTCTTAAACACACTGTTATTACAAACTAATTTAAAGCCATTAATTAATTTATAGATATATTCATGGGTAGATTAACCACATTGTATATAAAAGTTTAGAACAATGACTGTAGTAATAGTAAAAAGAGATATTTTCTTTTTACAACAATGTTTTCAATTATTTTTCCTAAGGCCTACATTTGAATGATAAGGTTGACTATCAGGACCTCGCGGGGCACAGGGCAGGTGAAGTAGAGTTCACCTGCTTGTTTGTCCTAAGCATATTAAAGGGATAGTGTGGTCAGAGACATGCTCGGCTGGAATCGTTTTTTTCTAAACGATAAAAACATATTGTCTGAGACTTGGCGGGACACTGGGCAGGTGAAGTAGAGTTGAGTAGGTCACCTGTGACGTCAGTATATGAAAGTATAGTCCGAAATCGTTGTTTTCGGTGTTTTTAAAAGATAAAAAACATATGTTTGAATGTGGGGTCTGTTTTTTTGTGACGATAAGTGACACTGCAGTAGCGTAGCGAGGAGGGTGGGGCGGGGGGGGGGGACGACATATGTCCCCGGGCGCCGACCTTAGGGGGCGCCAAAATGGGTTGGAAAAATAAATTGAAAGGTTGAGTGTGGTGCAAATCGAAAGTTTGAGGTGGGGGGGGGGGGGGTGCACATCGAAAGTTTGAGGGGGGTGCATATCAAAATCTTGCCGGGGGGGGGCAGGGGGGGGGGGGGGGGGTTAAAATAGAAAATTTTGTCCCCGGGCGCAGAAAAGGGTCGCTACGCCTCTGAATGACAGACGTGATGTTTTTTTATGGATGACCCCCGAAACCCACAGTTATCCAACGGGTTACGGGTAGTCTAGTTACTTACTAAAGAAAGACAACCTGCAAAAAATAAATGTATTTAAAATTAATAATATAAATAAAAAAAAAACTAAAAATAAACATCACACGAGACACCATTATTTATACAACGCATTTATTTTATATTCTTTTGACTGACAAGTGATTAAGAGGTCCTATAGCAGTGTTGTAATTTGTATTAATTGACACAAAAAAACATTTTCTTTTCAAAACCCGAACAGGCCAGCAATGAGTATCCTATTTTCATAATTTGGGTTTGCATATATATATATATATATATATATATATATATATATATATATATATATATATATATATATATATATATATATATATATATATATATATACATATTTGTTTTGAATATTTATTTATTTATTTTTTGTTTGTTTGTCCGTTTGGTTACAGGAAAGAATCTGCACTATGTGTAGAGCTGTAAAATAGTATTTAGGTAGAGAACTGTTTTCTTTTTTAAACAGACTGTTAGTCACAAATTAATTTAAAGACGTTAATCAATTTATTGATTTATTTATTAGTAGATTAACCACATTAATTATATAATTCGGAACAATGACTTTAAAAAGACGTCACATGATTTATTTACTTTTTACAACAATAATGGCGGTTTCCATACAAGATTTTTTTGCCTATTCAAAAGTATAACACATTATATAGCTAATTTTATTAAAGTTTTCTATTTTTATTACGTTCCAATACTTATATCAATTTTCAACACTCCTTTTCATTTAAGTATACAATACATTTCTCTAGATCTAGAATCTAAAGATCAACTGTCGAAGAAAGTTATTTAGAGATCTAGAATCTAGGTCAAAACAAAATTAATTAGTTAAAAATAAAGACCATTTTAAAATCAGAATATATGTTTGAGTTTCTTTATTAAACTATTTTAGTTCTTAAATATTTGATATAAATCTTTGCGAGAGCTCGGAAATATTGTATTTGTTTATAGCTGAAGCTGCACATTTAAAAACGCAGTTATATAACTCAGTCAATGATCTAAGCGCCCTTGTCAGTAAACCAAAGAAAAGTGAGCTTTAAGTATGAGAGAAAAAAAAAACCCAACAAAGTAAAAAAAAAGCTGTATTTGTTGGCAACACGAACATTCTAATAAAATATTGTTTATGTGATCACGATAAACATAAACCTTGCATTACCATCCGAATACGTGGGTGTTAACATTTCCAAATGTTAAATGGTGTTGCTCAAATGCCAACGTGTTAACTTACAATGATTGTCGTTAACATTAACACTGATGTTAATTTACAATCGACATTAACTTACAATTATTAACGTTAACACTAACTTATAATGTTAAAATATCCACGTGTTAACTGATGTTAACTTACAATTATTAACGTTAACCCCGACAGTGTTAAAATGTCCACGTGGTAACTAATGTTAACTTACATTTATTACTGTTAACCCTAACAGTGTTAAAATATCCAGCTACACCATGAATGTCAGTCTCAGCATGAGCAGTATAGTCGGTTGGGAGACAGACATGTCACAAGCAGAGGTCGGAGACGCCCCCGGAGGAGAGGCCGACGACGTGGTGGATGCCGCCGTGTTTGGCAGAGAACCAACGATAGCAAGTCGAGCCAAGAACCCACTGTGGCGGAGGGTGAACGGTGGATGAACTGACAATCAGTGGCGTAGGCAGGGGGGTTAGGGGGGGGGGGGGTCCCAATCCCCCATAGTATATATAAAAAGTATGAGAGGGGGTGCAAATCGAAAGATTGAGGGAGGGGGGCGCAAATCGAAAGTTTGAGGGGGGGGGCGGTGCAAGACGAAAGTATGGGGGGGGGGGGGAGGTGTGCAAATCGAAAGTTTGAGGGGGGGGGGTGCAAATCAAAAGTTTGTCCCCGGGTAAAATTTGGAACCCCCCCATCCTTGAGACGATCCTGGCTACGCCACTGCTGACAATCAAGGTGGTCCCAACCAGACTTCGACTGGAGGCAGCGCCTTTCGTGCCAGAGGCGGTCGCCCTGGAAGTACAAAAACATGTGATGCTCAAAGCCAGGCCCACATCAGGACGTGTTGAATGCGGGAAACGACGCATCGGATGCGGTTGACTCATTGATGACCCCAGAACCACCAGTGGAGCTGCGGAGGTCAACCCGTCAGCGACGACCAGTCGAGCGACTCAACCTGGCGCATCAAGTGGTGACCAGTGCCAGCACTGGAGCCTGTACCGTTTTACATGGACTAAAATTTATCCCCCTTGACTGGTAACCATTATACGTGTTACACAGCCCCCCTCACAAATAAATGTATAATGGATATACATAGACATTTACATTTTCAACTCACAATAGTCATAAATAATTGTACTTTAACAATTACAGTACAGTAGTACATATAGTATAGTTCTAAAGACTAAGGTGTTGTGTTTAAAAGGGTTGACCCTGAGACATAACACACGACGAAATGACGCTAATGTTATTAAATACTGGCTTTTTTGCAAATCCGTATACGGCTAGTCATTAACATCTAAGCCATAAACATAGAACAGTAGCCCTTCATTAGGTCTACAAGACCAACTTAACATAGACTGGTAACCATGATATGTGTTACATACAATATTTTTTTTAAAGTTACAAATTACAGATGAGAATAGTTTAAACAGACAAAGCTACAAATAAAAATATTTTAAAATCGTAAAATACTAGGATAACAATATAATTAATCAGGTGAAAATATTTTTGATCTAGCGAAACTTCTCAAAATCAAATGAGATGGCTAATGAAAGTTTACCTGTATTTCTGCCTATTATTTCCCATGTAGGGTTAGACACACCCTCCACTCTTTGAGCTTCAAATGTCAGCTTGTCATTGACTGCAACACTGACCTCTGAACTCTGACCATTTACAGTAAAAAAACTGGATCAGAGCTGAACAAAAAACATAACAGTGGTCAGTAAAATACTGAATCAGAGTATTAAAAAAAAAATTACAGTGTTGGGCAGTGAAATAAGGAATCAGAGTTAATTTTTTTGTCAAAAAGAATACTGAATATGAGCTATAAGAAAGCAAAACAGTTTTGATCTGATGCAGTTTGTTGAAAAAGGTAATAAAAATGTAATGCTTTATGTTTAACTGAAATGTATTTAGAAGATCTTACAAGCTTATGACAAAGTATGTGTTACCTAACAGAAATAACTATTCAAAACTTACATCCTGATTCCACTGAGATGCACAAGAAACCTAAAAAAGTAGAAACTAGTTATAATTAAAGTTTGTTTCTTAATAAGCTTCAATTTTTAAAGACTAGAATACATATTTCAGCAAGATTATTTACTCAAATAACTAACTATTTTGAAAGGTAGACCAATCAAAATAAGACAATTGCTAAACAATTTTAAAATTAATTACTTTTTACCAAAGCCTAATTAACGACAGGTAAAAATTTCCTTAATATTGTAGCAGCAACAATAGCTAGACAATAGTCACCTAAGACGGTGCTAAGAACAAATAATTTTTATATATTTCCTTTAATAACATATGATGTTCAATGCAAATAGTAACTGCACAAGTTTTGTACTTAATATCATCACTGTAAAACAGGTGAACGTTTTTGAAGATAACATTTTTAAAGTTTTTGTTGTACTAATGAAACAGAAAAAAAAACTGAGAAAGAAAACTTTTCTTAATAATGAAATAAGCAGATGCAATTATTTAAAGATTTATTTAAAAAAATGAATTTAAAGAAAAGTACTCGTTATATTAAAAACTACAAAATTAAAAACATTTTCAGCTTTATTTGTGAAAGAAAAAACCTGGGTCTAGAAAATAAAAAAAAAGTTTTATACTTCTTAATATGTTTTGAAGATATTATAAAAAAAGAAGGTACTGTTGACGAGGTGGATACATAGTGAGATAACTATTTCACTATATTCCCGACGAAACAGCTAGGCAACGCTCAAGAATCACAGACAGACAGAACTTATAGCTGCAGTAGTGGAACCAATGCCATCTATCTCGAAAGATGACGAACGCCTTAGTAGATCCAATTCACCGCACTTCAGACACAGCTATAGACACAACACACGTATTTCCAAATCACCGCAATACAGACACCGTCCTAGGGACAACTCTGGACCTCGTCGATCACAATTCACAATATATAGACAGAGCTCGGACTCAGACAGTGATAGTTATGTCCAGTCACCCAGTCCAGCTTGACCAACAAAATGGACTTTTAAAAACTCGCCTCTCGCACAAGCGCTCTAGACATTAGCAGTTAGGGGAAGCCTCGCTCAGCGGAGCAATAATTTATTGAATAAATAAAAAAAAAACATAAACTAAGAAGGTCTCCCATCCCGTTGTATATTTTACTGTAACTGACTCGGGTAGAATTATTAAATACTCCTAGACAGATGACGGCCTTAAACTACTATAACAGAAAATATTTACACTGTAGTCACATCCTAGCAAATAATTTGTTTTCATTTTAGAAATATATCCGTCGCAAATAAATGTCAATGATATTTACACGATTCCCTTCCTATTAACATGCCACGGTTTACAAAAGGGTTTTAAAAAATGTTTACTATTTAAACGTTCATGGCTATTCTTGGGTTCAGATGCCGCCGAAATGTGTTACCAGTTTGTATCGAGGTAAGACTTTATATTTTGTACGTGCAGGTAATGTGTAGTTGTGTAGGGTACGACATACTACACCAGACAAGACGACAGAGACTATGAGATAGGATAGGAGAGGACCTACAAATAACAAAAGTGTCGAAAAATTTATTGTTCATAAAAGTGCACTTAAACAATATGTAACATTTTAGATCAATTTAATTTTTTACCTACGTTAGTCGTAACAGAATAATAAACTAAAAATTAAATAGCAATTAAAAATATATATAATTAAAATGATTTTACTTAAGTAACATATTGCTGAGTCAAGGATATACTTACAAAATAGAGAATCGATTACTTCAGGATTCGTGGCAAGGCTGACGATAAAGTGTAATGGCGACAGTACGACAGAACACAAAACCTTAAGCGAGATGTTATAGGTTATTTAATTTATTGTTTGAATAAGTATTGGCAATTACAGTTATGTAACATTTTTCCAGATGCAGATATCTGACATCGCCATATAATTTATAAAAGACTATCGCCGGACAAACAACAATGATAATTATTGTATGGTTACTGATATGTTTAAATTGTTTTCAACCGACTACCTTGGTTACTGTTATGACCACTGACCTCGGTAGACACGTGTTGCAGACCTCGCCTTGCTCTGTGACGTCAGTCCACAATGACGTCACGGTAGACTGCACCAGTCGAGGCATCCAACAGATAAATCCGTCATGGTTCCCGACGAACGCGACGAAAATTTTCCTGGACTTCAACAAGCTAACAGCAGTTGAAGATTTCACTTTTAAGGAAGTTCCACGTCTGCTGGTCTTAAGTCTAGCATCCAACAGCATCACAACACTTAAGGTCAACGCCTTTAACGGACTTGAGAATCTGCAAGTTCTAAATTTAGAATCCAACAGAATTGATATATCTAATGGAAACTCTTTTCCCAAGCTGGTTCTTCATGGTTTGAAAAATTTGACAGAGCTTAGGCTAAAACAGGGCTTACAAATAACAAGCGGAGAATATCCGGTGAAGTATTTTACTTGTCAAGATTCATTGACAACCCTGTCTATTGACACTGTTAGTGTGAATTTGGAGTTTGGTTCTGAATTTTTAAATTTCACACGTTTGACAAAGTTAGATATTTCCGGAGCTGTGAGAAGCATCACGAATTCAAGTTTTGAGAATTTCCACAATTTGACAGAATTATGCTTGGATAGTTTTATGGACATTACATCGATCGATCCTGGTGCCTTTAAGCCACTAGAAAATCTGAAAGTGCTGCACGTAAAATTTGTTCCTTACGGAGTCAGGAAGATCTTAAATCTTTTTTGGCCTTTCAGAGGACGTAATATGACTTCGATACTACTGAAACTAATACAATACAGCATCACCACCACCGACGGCAGCCTGCTCAGAAACGACAGCTTCTTGTACGCTGTTACAACGCGACACCTGACTAGTATCTGTCTGCAGAACTTCTCGTTCATCAACAATCAAATTTATGTTTTTCTTGACGATTCAATGTATAGCAGTGTTTGGGATTCTTGTCTGAAAGAAATAAATCTGTCTAAAAATCCTGTAACCGGGAAAGTAGCGGGTTTGTTTAAAATACTTACTTTAAAAAATCTACAAACTTTTACATTTGAGGATATTTTTCGTGCTAAATCCGAGGAAAATTTTGACTGGAGGAAATATTTTAAATTATCTGAACGATCGGACGCTAATGTTTCTTCATTAGCCGACTTACCAAAAATAACAAGGCCAACGGGGTTCTTGGTTTTTTTATTTAGGTCAGTCCGGATGCTTAACTGTAGACGTCTTATCGCCTCCACCACGCTTAACCTCAGGATTACGGTAATACAAGGAGAACAACTGGAACTATTAGACATGTCAGACAGCGGATTTAACGATTTCTTTGTACCGATACTTGGGTTAACAGGGTTACGGTTCTTAGATATGTCAAGTAATTTAATTTATGTGTTTAGTGAGGACTGGTTTGACTACGTGCCAAAGCTGGAAACTTTGGTGCTGTTTAACTGCGAGCTTGATGGTAGTTTTATGGCCAAGAAATCTGGGAGGTTGTTCTCTCGGCTAAATTCTCTTATGAGGCTGGACTTGTCCTCCAATTCGTTAACAATACTGGCAGAAGATCTGTTCGCCAACAATACCCAGATACAGATGGTTCGACTTGCAGACAATCGCTTCAGTTCCGTACCGTTTCAATTAAAATTCACACCAAATTTAACTTTTTTAGACCTCACTAAAAACGCCATAACCACTATTGATAAAGAAACACGAGCTTCGCTTGATCATTTAGCTCTAGGGAAAGACGGATTTCAGCTTTTTCTTGATGGGAATATACTATCCTGTGGCTGCGAGAGTCTATCGTTTCTCCATTGGTTGCTGAACACTCACGTGATATTAGACAAAGATTGTGTGTTTTCTTGCATGGATCAAAATGGCGTCTTGACCAACACAAGCGCGTATAGAAATCTCGACGCACTGTGGAGAAAATGTTGGGGGGAAGTTTTCCTGTATTATTCCTTGGTTATGTTTTGTCTGATTATAATTGGAATTTTATCAACCTTTGTCATTAGCAAAAAACTGACTTACATTTCCCATTACGTTATTCAGATGTTTGGGGGATTTAAGTATCAAACTGCAGCCGACTATAAGATTGGTATCTTTATAGGCTATGCTGACAGCGACTACAAATTCGCTTGTCATACGCTGCGAGCGTTCGTCGAGGATAATTTACGAATGACGTCATACCTACGTGACCGTGACCTTCTGCCGAGCATCGACATGGCACGCGGGATCGTTGACGCCATCAACTCGAGCTGGCGAATCGTGCTCGTCTTCAACAAAAAGTTTCTTCAGAACGACGACTGGATGATGTTCACCTTCAGATCCGCCATCTATGCTCAGACGCCGGCCAACCCGAACAGAGTTGTCGTTCTTGTGGACGAGAATCACGCGTATGATCTGCCCACGGAGCTGCTGAACGCTGTGGTCGAGGACAACATTGTGGTGGTCCGCCACTGGGGCCTGACGTATGAGCTCAGGGAAAAACTCAGGACACGCCTCTGCTCAGTCTAAAAACTCTTGTAATTGTTGAAACATATGCACAAAGCCTATTGTAACAATACCAGTATATTGTTGATTTGACAATACGGTCGTGATTGTGAGTTCTTTCATTCAGGAACACGATAAACAGTAGTTTTTAACTTTCAACTTTATTTACATAGATCCACAAGAATATTGACAATAATCTATAGTAGAAGAAACGACTATCATATTATAGTCTATTACCAAATAGACCTGGTGACATCTTACATCTTACCAGAGGCGTAGCGAGGGGTGGGGGGGTGGTGGGCGGGGGTGCGGACTGCACCGGGTGACACTATTTAGTGGGGTGACATCAAAGAAAAAAATAGTAAAATATATAGAGAAAAATTGATGGGGGTGCAAATCGAAAGTTTGAGGAGGACGGTGAGGGTGCAAATCGAAAGTTTGAAGGGGAGGGGTGGAAATCGAACGTTTGAGGGGTGGGGGTGCAAATCGAAAATTGAAAGTATGTCCCCGGGAATGGTCGCTATGCTTAAGGGGCGAGGGGTGACACCATTAATTGCCGCACCGGGTGACACACGACCTCGCTACGCCACTGCATCTTACTACACAGTCACAGACAGGCACCTTGCGCTCCCATTTTATACCTTACATTCTCACCCCTTAGGCCAGGGGTCTCCAATCTACGGCCCGCGGGCCGGATGCGGCCCGCGAGGTCCTCTAATCCGGCCCGCGGAGATCTATTTGTTCACGGAAAAAAATGTTTGTTAGAAGTGGCTGAGGTACTTTGCTCAGAAAATTCAAAACACTTTTAAAAATCTAGCTTTGTGTATAAATACCTTTGCCCTCCGTGTTGCAAACATTGATGAAAACATTGTGACTCAAATAGAGTCGCTGGACAGCTGTTCCATGTTTTTTGGAACAAGTACAGGGCAACAACTTGACGCACTTTCGTACTTTCAGCAGTGCAAGGTCTTCATGGCTGAAGCAACAGCTGAGTTCCCTACTTCCTTTGCATGCAAAATCATCAAAGACCTTCACCTGCAGTTTCAGTCCGCGGACTGGCCATGGTGGACCGGCCAAAGTCTTAATTAGAAGATCATCTGGCTAGGGACGACCGGCCAAAGTCCGAATTAGAAAATCATGAGCAGATTTTGGGTTTTTTAATGCCGTAAGGATCATGAAATTAAGTTTTTATTGATTATTAATTAAAGTAAATGACAGAAACATTCACATTTTTTATTGTACTATAGTCTCAATCAATCAATATTATCATTTGTTACAACAAGTTGAACTTTTATGGCATTTAGAATTACATAGCAGCTTGTTGTTTTTACACCTGCAGCGATTTGTTGTGCACTTGGTTGTGCAATTGCAGTGAGTGTTGCCTTGGCCCCCAGTCAATGATTGTGAAGATGCGATGGTTCGTAGTGATTTTTCCTTACTGCCAACTGACGATAATAAGAGCAGTTTTTCGTGAAGAATTGAAAACTCACTTCTACCATACAGTTGTTTTAGAACACCATGTTCCTTTCCTAATTGTAGAAACCGCCCTCGACGCTCATGACAACTGCAATCACGTTTCGGGGATCACCGCGACCTCTATCAACTTCTGGAAAACGGATGCGTACATTGTCACCCACTTCACCATCTTTAAATTTTGTATTTGATGTTTTAAGCATCTTAGCACCTTGATTTTGCAAGCCAGTATGAGCTGCTGACCTGTGTTCAATGATGTCTTGTTTGTTGTGACACAATCTGCAGGTAATGTACCCTCCGTACCCTTCGTCTGCTTCATTGGGTACTCCACAAATAGCATGGACATCTTTGCCACAGGATCCACAAGAATGAGCTGTACAAACAAGAGCTAAACAATACGTTACTCACAATGAAACCGCACCCAAAATAAGGAAAACGCGATCACAACTTAGTCTAGATGGAACATTGGCCAGGACATCCCGGCCAATGCGCGCATTGGCCGGCCAATGTACAAAATACGCTGTCAAGTTTAAGCACTTCGGACTTTGGCCAGTACGTCCCGGCCAGTGCGCGCATAGGCCGGCCAATGTACGAAATACGATCCTAGTTCTAAGTTCTTCGGGCTTTGGCCAGGAGAGCCGGCCAATCCGCGCATTGGCCGGCCAATCCGGGGTTTGGCCGCACTTCGGGCTTTGACCGTAACATATATATACATATATATATATATATATATATATATATATATATATATATATATATATATATATATATATATATATATATATATATATATATATATATATATGAATAGATAATTTAAAATTATTAATGTTTCAAAAATTATATCCTAACTTTAAGAAAAAAATTAACTTTTATAAAAATAGTTTTTAATAAATCCACTAAAGATAAAGTGCATTGATTTTCTTTTCATTTATTAAATGAACCATTTAAAAAAAAGTATAAATAATGCGTGGGTCTCTTTTACAATACATGGTATTGCTCCGCACAATTTTCATCTGCTTTGCTGATGCCAGCATATGAACAGACAAATCCTAGTCGTCTGTTTACGTTGTGTATTGTTGGAACTCTAAAAATTCCTTTAATATCTTCCATAACACAAACGATAAAACTTACTTCACATCACAAATAATAAAGTATAACGTAATATAAGGATTAGGCTTAATACTACTACAGTACCACTTGAACTAAATGCTTATACAAGAATTATGCAAATAAAAAAATGAAAATATTCACGTGCAATTAACTTACTAAGATATTTGATTTACGCTGAAGTGCAGAGAAATTTGTGCAGGTTTTATTGTTTGTAAGGTGGAATCATGGACAGCGTGGCCTAACGGTAGGGCGCTAGACTGCAAACCGTAATGTTTTGAGCTCGAATCCGGGTTCAAATCAGTAGATCGCCACTGAGTTTACTCAGCTCTGATTGGTACCTAACTCATGTTAGGGAACATTAAGGCGGCTGGGCATAGTGCAGACCACACCATCCTTCCATATCCCGAGGCTACTGGAACAGATGAATTCTACTTCATCTGCCCCATGTGTCTTGGGCACGAACAGGAACAGGGAGAATCACTCTTTATTAGGACAGGGGCGGAACTACAGTGCCGCCAGACCCCGCAATGCGGGGGGGGGGGGGGGCACGTCATTTAGGGGCCCACAGCCAACCATAATACATTTTTTATAGTAAACATTTTTAAAAACTTTCTTTCATTTTTGACTTGATGGTTGTAATGTAAAAAGATCTGCGGTTGGATTATCTTTATTCTATAGACAATTTCTCATGCTCTTGTATATTCTTTTTCCCTTTATTTTTAAACCACTGTGAAAGCCGAGCCCTCTTTCCCCTATAATAAAACTTATCAAAGATAATCAAACGTTCAAACCACTTTCATGACTTATTTCCCTTCTTTAAATTGTCAATGGGGGTCCTCATACGATCCTTTTAATAGATTTGTACTAAACAAATAAAAAAAAAACAATTACTTCTCCTTATTATTATTTTTTTATAAAGTACTTACTAAAGAATAACATGTATAAAAAGGAAATGTTTTTAAAATTAATAATATAAATACGAAAAAAATAAAAATAAACATAACACGAGACACCATTACATATACAAAGCTTTCACGGTTTATATACTTTTGACCGACTATAGGTGAAAAGGTCTTCAAGCAGAAAAAAATATTAACTGATTTTCCAAAAAGACGAATGCGCTCACATGCATGACAAGTTGATGTAATTTGCTTTAATTGGAAAAAAAAACCTTTTTTAAAAACCTGAACAGCCAGCAATGAGTAGGCTATCTTATGTTCGTATTTTTGTGTTTGTATATATATATATATATATATATATATATATATATATATATATATATATATATATATATATATATATATATATATATATAAAGGCCTATATATATATATATATATATATATATATATATATATATATAAGGGGGGCCAAATATTTTTTTTGCGGGGTGGCCCTTTTTTTCTAATTCCGCCACTGTATTAGGACGTTAGGTATTAGTGCACTTGTTACTGATGATATTATATTATTATATACCGTTATTGAGTTCAACCTGCCTTATGTACACATACTGTTACTAGCAATATTACGTAGTTCAAGAGCTATGCAACTTATAAGCCTCACTACAAGGATAACAATGAATTGCATTATTTTCAATTATTAAACACAAAACAAAAATATAAGTGTAAATTGTATAATTTATTGTGTAGTAAATTTATTTTAAAATACAATACATTTTTTTTTAAATTGTGAAAGCTTTTGTTTCCCTATCGTGAGTCAGGTACCAATTAGAGCTGGGTGGACTCAAAACGTCACTCAGACTCGGGCCGTAGATCCGAACTCAATACATTCCGGCTAGCAGTCGTACGCATAAAACAAAACAACTATGCAACAAATCTAAATTTGCTTTTCTTTATAACGTTTGATTTATTAAATATAACCCTACGTTCTTATCTACCATAAGATTTATTACACATAATTAAGTAATAAATTTTAACAACACCTACTGTAAATAGTTTAGCAAGGGAGGTTCTATTGTGAAGTATTTAAACGTTTATGGCTATTCTTCGGTTCAGATACCGCCGAAGTGTGTTGCCAGTTTGTATCGAGGTAAGACTTTGTCTTTTGTACGTACAAGTAATGTGTGGTTGTGTAGGGTACGACATACTACACCAGACAAGACGACAGAGACGATGAAATAGGAGAGGACCTAAAAATAACACTTTGATGTTGAGAAATGGAATGTTCATAAAAGTTCATTTAAACACTATGTAACTTTTTATATCAATTAAATATTTAACTGCGATAGTCGTAGCAGATTAACAACCTAAAAATTGATTAGCCTTTGAAAAATCATGTAATTTAAAATTATTTTTCTTTACATTGCTGAGTCAAGGATATTCTTACAAAATGGAGAACGGATTCCTACGGGATTCGAGGCAAGACATACGATAAATGGTAATGGCGACAGTACGACAGAATACAAGGCCTTAAGAGAAACGTTAAAGGTTATTTAATTAATTGTTTGAATAAGAATTAGTAATTACAATTATGTAACATTTTTCCAGATGCAGATATCTGACAACGCCATATAATTTATAAAAGACTATCGCCGTACAAACGACAATGATAATTATTGCATGGTTACTGATATGCTTGAATTGTTTTCAACCGACCACCTTGGTTACTGTAGTGACCACTGAGCTCGGTAGACACGTGTTGCAGACCTCGCCTTGCTCTGTGACGTCAGTCAACAATGACGTCACGGTAGACTGCACCAGTCGAGGCATCCAACAGATAAATCCGTCATGGTTCCCGACGAACGCGACGAAAATTTTCCTGGACTTCAACAAGCTAACAGCAGTTGAAGATTTCACTTTTAAGGAAGTTCCACATCTGCTGGTCTTAAGTCTAGCATCCAACAGCATCACTACACTTCACGTCAACGCCTTCACAGGGCTTAAGAATCTGCAAGTTCTAAATTTAGAATCCAACAGAATTGATATATCAAATGGAGACTCGTTTCCCAAGCTGGTTCTTCATGGTTTGAAAAATTTGACAGAGCTTAGACTAAAACAGGGCTTACAAATAACAAGCGGAGAATATCCGGTGAAGTATTTCACTTGTCAAGATTCATTGACAACCCTGTCTATTGATACTGTTAGTGTGAATTTGGAGTTTGGTTCTGAGTTTTTAAATTTCACACGTTTGAAAAAGTTAGATATTTCCGGATCTGTGAGAAGCATTACGAATTCAAGTTTTGAGAATTTCCACAATTTGACAGAATTATACTTGGATAATTTTGTTGACATTACATCAATCGATATCGGTGTCTTTAAGCCACTAGAGAATCTTGATGTGCTACACATTGAATATGTTTTTTACGGCGTCAGGAAGATCTTAAATCTTTTTTGGCCTTTCAGAGGACGTAATATGACTTCGATACTACTGAAACTAATACCATACAGCATCAACATCGCCGACGGCAGCCTGCTTAGAAACGACAGCTTCTTGTACGCTGTAACAACGCAACACCTGACTAGTATCTGTCTACACAGCTTCTCGTTCATCAACAATCAAATTTTTGTTTTTCTTGACGGTTCACTGTATAGCAGTGTTTGGAATTCTTGTCTTAGAGAAATTGATCTGTCTAAAAATCCTGTAACCGGGACAGAAGCGGGTTTGTTTAAAATATTTACTTTACAAAATCTACAAATTTTTACATTTGAGGATATTTTTCGTGCTAAATCCGAGGAAAATTTTGACTGGAGGAAATATTTTAAATTATCTGAGCGATCGGACTCTGTTTCTTCATTAGCCGACTTACCAAAAATAACAAGGCCAACGGGAATCTTGGTTTATATATTTAGGTCAGTCCGGATACTTAACTGTAGACGTTTTATCGCCTCCACCACGCTTAACCTCAGGATTACGGTAATGCAAGGTGAACAACTGGAATTATTAGACATATCAGACAGCGGATTTAATAGTTTCTTTGTACCGATACTTGGATTAACAGGGTTACGGTTCTTAGATATGTCAAGTAATTTAATTTATGTGTTTAGTGAGGACTGGTTCGACTACGTGCCAAAGCTGGAAGTTTTAGTGCTGTTTAACTGCGAGCTTGATGGTAGTTTTATGGCCAAGAAATCTGGTAGGTTGTTCTCTCGGCTAAATTCTCTTCTGAGGCTGGACTTGTCCTCCAATTCGTTAACAATACTGGCAGAAGATATGTTCGCCAACAATACCCAGATACAGATGGTTCGACTTGCAGACAATCGCTTCAGTTCCGTACCGTTTCATTTAAAATTCACACCAAAGTTAACTTTTTTAGACCTCTCTAAAAACGCCATAACCACTATTGATAAAGAAACACGAGCTTGGCTTGATCATTTAGCTCTAGGGAAAGAAGGATTTCAGCTTTTTCTTGATGGGAATATTCTATCCTGTGGCTGCGAGAGTCTATCGTTTCTCCATTGGTTGCTGAACACACACGTGAAATTCGACAAAGATGGTGTGTTTTCTTGTATGGATCAAAATGGCGTCTTGACCAACACAAGCGCGTATAGAAATCTCGACGCACTGTGGAGAAAATGTTGGGGGGAAGTTTTCCTGTATTATTCTTTGGTTCTATTTTGTCTGATTATAATTGGACTTTTATCAACTTTTGTAATTAGCAAAAAACTGACTTACATTTCCCACTACATAATTCAAATATTTGGGGGATTTAAGTATCAAACAGCAGCCGACTATAACATTGGTGTCTTTATAGGCTATGCTGACAGCGACTACAGATTCGCTTGTCATACGCTGCGAGCGTTCGTCGAGGATAATTTACGAATGACGTCATACCTACGTGACCGTGACCTTCTGCCAAGCATCGACATGGCACGCGGGATCGTTGACGCCATCAACTCGAGCTGGCGAATCGTGCTCGTCTTCAACAAAAAGTTTCTGCAGAACGACGACTGGATGATGTTCACCTTCAGATCCGCCATCTATGCTCAGACGCCGGCCAACCCGAACAGAGTTGTCGTTCTTGTGGACGAGAATCACGCGTATGATCTGCCCACAGAGCTGCTGAACGCTGTGGTCGAGGACAACATTGTGGTGGTCCGCCACTGGGGGCTGACGTATGAGCTCAGGGAAAAACTCAGGACACGCCTCTGCCCAGTCTGAAATTTCTTTTAATAGTTGAGACAGATGCACAAAGCCTTTGCTTTACTTAGAGTTTGCGATTTTGTGTCATAATCTTAACGTGCTTCAACAGTCGCATTTTAAACATTTTACTATCGTTTATATTAAAACATATGTTATGTCTATTGTATCATTTCTGAAAAATTATTTCTACAGAAATTTATCAGTGCCATATTTGTTTATTAGTGTGTCACATTTTGAATATTTAAAAAAACACCTCTAAAATACATACATACATACATACATATATATATATATATATATATATATATATATATATATATATATATATATATATATATATATATATATATGTATATACTAGCCATCGTTCACCGTACACGTGCAATTCTGGTGACTTTTAGCTCTCTTCTCTTTACAAAAGGCTACCCGGTTTTTCTTTCAGATACATATCTCTGGGGATCGGCAACTAAAACTTACCGGAGGAGGGTTTAGGAGTTGTGTATGCGGGGGCGGGGGGGGTGTGGGTAGCGGATACTGGCTTTTTTTAATTTTGTAAGAATTACTTTTTAAAAGATTTCGAGCGGAGGTGAAATGCGAAGAAACGGTAGAGATGCATGAAGAAAATGTATATACCTACGGACAGTGAGTAATGAAATGAATTGTAATTCAGCTTTTAAAAAGTAATTATTGGAAACTTAGGAAATGAAACATTTTTATTGATCAAGAGCTTTGAAATGACACATTGTTTAGATTATGAAAAAATGGGTTTTGTTGTGTGTACTATCTATGTTTATACTTGTTTAAAATAACAGACTACCAATACTTATTAGAAAAATGAAAACCAAATTATATACAGAGCATTAGTGAACATAATACCATATTAAATGAACTTGCTGATTAAGGAGTTAAGAGACTCAAAATTAAGAGACTAAAAAGATTTCGTTAAAAACCCGGGTGTTCAATTGGAAAGTCTAATTCACCTGCCCCGTATCCCGCCAAGTCCCGATAGGCAACTTTATCATCAACATATAAAAAAAATAATTAAGATAGACTTTGTGTGTCTCGAACCCGTACCACCCGCATGGTATCAATTACACTATCATATCAGCTATTCTTTCAAATTTAATTTTATCATAAATTAGCCTATTCCATAGCTAAACAAAGAAAGATCTCTATTAAATAATTAAGACCTGAAATAGTTTAATGTAGAAATTTATTATTGGAATAGATTCAAGAAGAGATAGAGTCTAAATCTAAGTATTAGCATCAACGTATAGTTTTTGTGTGATCTAGTCTAGATCTAGAATCTCTAGATCTATAATCCAGATAGATAAAGTAAATTTTATAATTGTAGGCCGAGAAAATTGTATTGTATACATTTCATAGCGTACGTAGATCTAAATCAAATTTGAATGAAATAGTTCATTTCTTTATATTCTAAAATTAGAATATGACGCTATGATTTTGTGTGTGTGTACTTTCCTTAGTGTAAACACGTGGCATGTGGCGTCATTGTTTCATGCATTCTTGTCATAAAAATAAACACCATTCAGGTTATATAATTAAAATTGTTTTTCTACATTCGAATACGCCTTTATTTTTTATATTTCTTTTTTAAATAAAATTTTGTTTATACATTTAAAACATCTACCATATTATTTTCAACAAAGGTCCGTATCAAGTTCTCCATATATCGCTGAAGATACTGATCTGATAGCATGTGAAAATATTTCGCGGACAGAGAGCGCACATGGACTTTTATATATTAGGATATATATATATATATATATATATATATATATATATATATATATATATATATATATATATATATATATATATATATATATATATATATATATATATATATATATATATAATAATATATATATATATATGAATCTATCTATCTTCTATCTATTTATATATATATAAAGCAATGTATGTGTGTGTCTGTGTGTCTGTCTGTGTGTCTTTTATGCATTACCACACCTCTTATCACATCGCCGTCAAACTTTGGGAAGTTGTTAAGAATATTCCTGGGGAGGTTTCTGCGGGAAAAAAATAATTCAAATTCGCAGGGGTGGCGCCCCGGCAGGGCGCGATTTGTTTTTTCTCTATATACGGTATATAAAAATAAAAGTCAATTTTGATTTGACACCGTTCATCCGATAGGCATGAAACTTTGAGGAGTTCATTATATCACTCTAGGGAATGGTTCTGTAAAAAAATAATTTTTAATTTCGCAAGGGCGGCGCCACGGAGGGGGCGATTTTTCACTGTATACGGTATATAAATATAATAAAAGTGAATTGCAGTGACAGTGTTCACACGATCGCCATGACACTTTGGGAAGATGTTGAGAATACTCCTGGGGAGGTTTTTGCGGAAAAAACATGTTCAAATTCGTATTTTGGCGCCCCCCGTAGGGCGCGATTTGTTTTTTCTCTATATACGGTATATAAAAATTTAAGTCGATTGCGGTTTCTCACCATTCATCCGATCGCCATCAAACTTTGGGGTGTTGATTACAACACTCCAGGGAAGGGTTCTACAAACTAATCTTTTTTTTAAAACTTCGCTAGGGTGGCGCCAACGAAGGGTGCGATTTTCTCTATTTACGGTATACATAAATAATAAAAGTGAATTGCAGTGACACCGTTCTGACGATCGCCATGAAACTTTGGGAAGATGTTATGAATATTTTAGGGGAGGTTTCTGCGGGAAAAAATTAAAATGCGCAGGGGTGGCGCCCCGGCAGGGCGCAATTTGTTTTTTCTCTATATATGGTATATAAAAATAAAAAACGATTTTGGTTTGACATCGTTCATCCGATAGCCATGAGACTTTAGGGAGTTGATTAGAACACTATAGGGAAGGGTTCTGTAAAAAAACCATTTTTAATTTGGCAAGGGCGGCGCCACGGGAGGGTGCGATTTTCCTCAATATAAGGTATATAAAAATAATAAAAGTGAATTGCAGTGACACCGTTCTAACGATCGCCATGAAACTTTGTGAATATGTTGAGAATATTCCTGGGGAGGTTTCTGCTCAAAATACATTTTCAAAATTGCAGGGGTGACGCCCCGGCAGGACGCGATTTGTTTTCTCTCTATATACGGTATATAAAAATAAACGTCGATAGCGATTTTACAGCGTTCATCCGATCGCCATCAAACTTTGGAAAGTTGATTAGGACACTCTAGGGACGGGTTCTGTAAAAAAAATCATTTTTAATTTCGCAAGGGCGGCGCCACGGGAGGGTGCGATTTTCCTCAATATAAGGTATATAAAAATAATAAAAGTGAATTGCAGTGACACCGTTCACACGATCGCCATGAAACTTTGTGAATATGTTGAGAATATTCCTGGGGAGGTTTCTGCTCAAAATACAGTTTCAAAATTGCAGGGGTGACGCCCCGGCAGGACGCGATTTGTTTTCTCTCTATATACGGTATATAAAAATAAACGTCGATAGCGATTTTACAGCGTTCATCCGATCGCCATCAAACTTTGGAAAGTTGATTAGGACACTCTAGGGACGGGTTCTGTAAAAAAAAAATCATTTTTAATTTCGCAAGGGCGGCTCCACGGGAGGGTGCGATTTTTCTCTATATACGGTATATAACAATAAAAGACGATTGCGGTTTGACGCAGTTTATCCGGGTGCCATACAACTTTAGAGAGTTGATGAATACTCTCGATAAGTTTTCTGGGGTGGGGGTGGATGGGGGGAGGGAGGATTTAATTTTGCATTTTCGGCCCCCCGACAGGATGCGATTAGGCGCCCTGGTCTTTCCCGTGAGCGCTATTGGCGACCAGGTTCGGTCTACACAGTGTGATAGGATGGGGCGTTACAAACGCTCACTATATTGAATATGATATGTCCTCCGGCGCCCTGGTAGGGTGCGATTTTGCTGCAAATAAAAATTTCTGTTTCTGCCACCAAAGGCTCACATGGGCCGCTGAGGGCCATGTAATACGTTTTATTTTAATAATCAGAAAAATTAACCAAGGTTAGATTATTAACTGTGATGTTTCTTTTTGTCCGTAAAAAAAATCCAGTTTCGTCACTTTGCGAATGATGCAAGTAGCATCTATTTTTAGACCATTAGTAACGCTAACATATTGCATCAGTCACACTGATGTTTAAAACACGTCTAATAATTTTTTTACGTGTTAAATAACAAATCCTGTACATTTGTGTCACCTTAGCGAATGACGCAATCTGCATGATTGTTAACTGGATGCTATTTGGCACGATGGCGCCTGTTAGTTTAAAGGAGCCAGGGGTCGTACGCCGCGCCTATTCGGTAGTGTAATGGGGAGGGTGGGGGGCTCCTGAGAGCGCCCGTCTACGTCTCTGACACGTGGGCGGTCACCGAAGTATGTTCTTCCATATTAATTCGGTGAGTGATTAATGTACACTCAAGGTGAAATTCTTCTAAATATTTCGTCAAACATTCTTCTATCCCCGCGGCAACGCGCGGGGGACGGGGACGCTAGTAAATAAATAAATTTGAAATTAGTAATATTCCAAAAAATATCCTAACTATGAAAACATAACTTTTACAACTAGAAGTTTTTATAAATGCACTTAAAAAATTAAATAAAAATTATTTTCTTTAAATATATTAAATTAACCACTATTTAAATAACTAAAAAGAAATGCGTGGGTCGCTCGCACAATTGTATAAGAGTATTCTATACATAGAATTGCTACCCACAGTTTTCATCTGTTGATACCAGCGTATGAATAGACAGTGGTGTGTTAACGAGAAAACCCGAATCGGCTGTTTGCATTGTGTATTGTTGAAATCATAAAACATACTTTAAACCACACACAGTAAAGTATAAAGTCATATAATGATAAGGCTTAATACTGAAACAGCTTCACATTAACATACACGCATACACAAGAATGAAGCAAATAAAAAATGTTCACATGACAAATAACTAACTGAAGACCATGTTTAAGAGAAGTAAGTGCAGGTGTTATTGTTTGTAAGGAGGGAAACCCTTTCATGAGGAACTTATGTATTAGGACACATAATGATAGTATGGTGGTGTAGTTTGAGCTACACTGTTATTTAGTTCTGCCTGCTACAAATACACATACTGTTACTAGCAATACAACGTAGCTGAAAAGCTACACAGCTTTTAAGACTCATAAAAAGGATAACATTGAATTGCATTATCTTTAAATTCTTAAACACACACTAAAAAATGTTTGAAATTGTAGAATTTGTTGTGTAGTATATTTATTTTAAAATACAAGAATGTTTTTTTAATAGCGAAAGCAGTACAAAAAAGCAAGTGTATAGTAAGTTACATTTTAAAAAAGAAAACATTTAAAATGGAATAGAAAGTTGACTTTACTAAAGCAAGACGAGCTGGCCATGTAGGGGTTATATCGTCTCCGGTGGTTTAGCCTGGAAATTCATGTTTTTAAAAGAATCAGTTTAGTAATTAAAATTATGTACCAACATTAGAACAATAATAACCCAGCTATATACGAAAATTCGACACAAATTTTAGATATATTATGACCCAAATTTATAAGCATTAGGACCTGGGTTTCGAAATATTATACCCAAGTATTAAATTGAATTACATTATATTGCCTATCATTACACAAATTTGTATGCGTGTGTTGGGAAGGGTGGTAATAAGTCTAAGGTTACTTCTTTGCTTTCTTTTTAAAACAGTCTTGTGTACTGTCTTATGTTAGTGATTAAATCTTGAGTTGTAAGTTGGCCGCAGTCATCGGTATCTTATTGTCTATGCCTGCTTTAGCCATACGATACAGGAGGATTAACGGACTGTCGTCTTTATTTTGTACATTTTGGAGAGGCATTGTGTTCCTATACAGAGGCGTAGCGACCCTTCCCGGCGCCCGGGGACAAACTTTTCGATTTGCACCCACCCTCAAGATTTCGATTTGCACCCCCCCCTCAACCTTTCAATTTATTTTTCCAACCCATTTTGGCGCCCCTAAGGTCGGCGCCCGGGGACATATGTCCCCCCCCTCGCTACGCTGTTCCTATAATACGTAATGTAAAGCAGATCGGGTGTTGCCCGGTGCGGCACTTCGTGGTGTCAACCCGCCAGAAACAAAGTATATATATATATATATATATATATATATATATATATATATATATATATATATATATATATATATATATATATATATATATATATATATATATATATGTGCGTGTGCGTGCGTGTGTGTGTGTGTGTCGGCCTACATAGGCCTATAATTTAAATATATGCCACATAGAGTACATGTATGTTTATAAGCTTTAATCACTGCAGACTTAATAATAACTATGTTTTTCTGGACTAGTCTGTTAATAATACAGTTGTACGTAGCATTGTTTTCTCACGTTTACGTCATGGTGTTACCCCCGCCCTCTTGTAACAATTGTCGTTTTATACTTAAAAGACTATATAACAAAAATATCCACGTTAACTAATGTTAACTTACAATTATAAACGTTTACCCTGTGTTAAAATATCCATGTGTTAACTAATGTTAACTTACAATTATTAACGTTAACCATGACAGTGTTAAAATATCCACATGTTAACTAATGTTAACTTACAATTATAAACGTTAACCCTAACACTCAGTGTCTCAGTTTGTCCTCCCAGTGTGGCGTAACAGTCAAAGATGTCGTTGTAGGCACATGTTGCTGTTCGGTTGATGCTGATTTTTGTTGCTGAAACAACAATGCCACCGAAAATAACTCTGGTACCTGTAATATAAATATTCCTTTATACACACTTAAATATATGATTGATATAACTTAACATTTACAATTTGGTTGTTTGTAACATTTCTAATGGTCATCATCTTTTCCTGTTTGTATCCAGTACACATGGGGCGGATGAAGTAGTGTTCATCTGTTTCAGAAGTTGCTACATACGAAGGGATATTGGAATCAGCACTATACCCAGCCGCCTTTACTTTCCCTAACTCAAGTAGGGTACCTACTAGGGCTGGGATGACTGATGGACATTCTACTGACTTGAGTTCGAACTAGAAATTTTTTCGGGTTAGCAGTCTAGCTCTCTACCGCTAGGCCACACACGTCTCATCATATCCACAAAATGAGCCAAACACTTAGGAAATCTGTTTGCTATGCAATATTTTTAAAGTTACAAATTACATATAAGAACAGATAAAACTGGCAAAGCTACACATACATATATTTTTGAAAAAAAAACGTAAATAAACGAAGATAATTTATTCAATCAGGTGAAACTACAGATAATAATATTTTTTATTTTGCAAAAACTGATGTGAATAAATACTTTGAAATTATTAGTGTTCCAAAAAGAATACTTTAACTTTATAGAAAAAAAAATTATCCGGTAAAACGGTAACACACCCGATGAACATATTTTTAACCAACTTAACCTTCACACGAGATGGCCAATGACGGATTACCTTTATTTCTACCTATTATTTCCCACCTAGGGTTAGACACACCCTCCACTTTCTGGGCTTTAAATGTCAGCTGGTCATTGACCGCAGCACTGACCTCTTGGCTGTGACCATCCACAGTGAAATACTGAATCAGAGCTAAACGAAAACATACAGTTTAGATCTGATACAGTTTGTTGCAAAAGGTAACCAATAGATTAAGTACATTATTTTTTAATCGAAAGGTATTTAGAAGAGCTTCTGACAAATAACTTTGTACCAAACAGGAAGTAAATATTTTAAACTTACATCCTGATTCCACTGAGATGCACAGGAAACCTACAAAAGTAGAAACCAATTATAAACGAGGTTAGCTTCATTTTGTAAAGACTGGAAAAACTAGTTCAACAAGATTACTTACTCGAATGGCTAAAACTTTTTGAAAGGCAGAGCAATCAAAATAAAACATTCACAAAACTATTTAAAATTAATTACTCTTAATGATGCCTAATTAATAAAAGCTAGAAATTTCCTTACTATTGTAAAACATGTTAGGCAATTTAAATTAAAGCTGATTCAACTATATCTATATATCAATATATATATTATATATCTATATATATAAAAAGCAATGTATGTGTGTGTGTGTCTGTGTGTGTGTGTCCTTTATGCATTACCACACCACTTACCACTTAAACTTTGGGAAGTTGTGAATATTCCTGGAAAGGTTTCTGCGGTAAAAAAAAATTCAAATTCGCAGGGGTGGCGCCCCGGCAGGGCGCGATTTGTTTTTTCTCTATATACGGTATATAAAAATAAAAGTCGATTTTGGTTTGACAGCGCTCACCCTATAGCCGACAGCTCTCACCCTATAGCCATGAGACTTTAGGGAGTTGATTAGAACACTCTAGCGAAGGGTTCTGTAAAACAATCATTTTTTAATTTCACAAGGGCGGCGCCACGGGAGGGTGCGATTTTTTCTCTTTATATGGTATATAAAAATAAAAGTCAATTTTGGTTTGACATCGTTCATCTGATAGCCATGAGACTTTGGGGTTTCATTACAACACTCTAGGGAAGGGTTCTGTAAAAATTCATTTTTAATTTCGCAAGGGCGGCGCCACGGGAGGGTGCGATTTTCCTCTATATACGTTATATGAAAATAATAAAAGTGAATTGCATTGACACCGTTCATCCGATCGCCATCAAAACTTTAGTGAGTTCATTAGAACACTCTCGGGAAGGGTTCTGTAAAACAATCATTTTTAATTTCACAAGGGCGGCGCCACGGGAGGGTGCGGTTTATAAAAAAAAGGTCGATTGCGGTTTCACAGCGTTCAAACGATCGCCATCAAACTTTGGGGAGTCAATTAGAACGCTCTAGGGAAGGGTTCTGCAAAAATTCTTTTTTTAATTTCGCAAGGGCGGTGCCTCGGGAGGGTGCGCTTTTTCTCTACATGTGGTATATAAAAATAATAAAAGTGAATTGCAGTGACACTGTTCACACGTTCGCCTTGAAACTTTATGAAGTTTTTATGAATATTCCTGGGGAGGTTTCTGCGCAAAAATCGTTTTTAATTTCGCAAGGGTGGCGCTTCGGCAGGGCGTGATTTGTTTTTTCTCGATATACGGTATATAAAAATAAAAGTCGATTTCGGCTTGACACCATTCATCCGATTGCCATCAAACTTTTGGGAGTTGATTAGAACACTCTGGGGAAGGGTTCTGTAAAAATCATACATAATTTCGCAAGGGCGGCGCAACGGGAGGGTGCGATTTTTCTCTATGTACAGTATATAAAAATAAAAGTCGATTTTGGTTTGACACTGTTCATCCGATAGCCATTAGACTTTGGTGAGTCTCTTAGTACACTCCAGAAAAGGGTTTTTTAAACAAAACATTTCATCCGATAGCCATGAGACTTTGGGGAGTTGATTAGAGCATTTACTGGTAGAGTTCTGCAAATACTTTTTACGTGCTAAAGAAAATAATCCTGTTCATTTGTGTCACTTTTGCGAATGACGAATTCTGCATCATTGTTAACAGGATGCTATTTGGCACGATGGCGCCTGCTAGTTTTAAGGAGCCAGGGGCCGTACGTGGTGCCTATGCGGTAGTGTAATCGAGGGGGGAGGGGGTGTGCTCCTGAGAGCGCCCCTCTACCGACTTGACACATGGGTGGTCACCGAAGTGTGTTCTACCTGATTGTTTCGGTGAGTAATTAATGTACACATAAGAATTTAACGCGGTCGTGTAGGTAAACCCATGTCCCAGTATTTATGATCCAAGCGCAGGCATTGTTTACATTTAAATAACTCCCGCGTCTAAGAATATAGGATTTGTAACGTATGGAAGAAACCCTTCTTCTATCCCTGCGGCAACGCGCGGTGACGGGTACGCTAGTATATATATAAAGCAATGTGTGTTTGTCTGTCTGTCTGTTTGTCTTTTACGCATTACTACACCTTTCATCCGATCGCCATGAAACTTTGGAAAATTGTTGAGAATACTCCTGGGGAGGTTTCTGCGGAAAAACAAATTCAAATTCGCCGGGGTGACGCCCCGGGAGGGTGCAATTTTTTTCTCTATATACGGTATGTAAAAATAAAAGTCGATTGCGATTTCACGCCGTTCATCCGACCGCCATCAAATTTTGGGGAGTTGATTAGAACACTTCACGTGAGGTTTCTGTAAATAATATTTTTTTAAATTTCGCTAGGGCGTCGCCCCGGGAGGATGCGATTTATCTCTACATACGATATGTATTAAAATAAAGTCGGATGCGGCTCGACACCATTTATCTGAGTTCCATACAACTTTAGGGAGATGATGAATACTCCCGAGAAGGTTTCTGGGAGGGGGGGGGGATTAATTTCGCATGGGCGGCTCCGGCAGGATGCGACTTTGCGCCCTGGTTTTTCCGGTGAATGCTATGGCGACTACGTTCGTTCTGAACAGTGTGATAGACAATAGATAAGATGGGGCGTTACAATCGCTCACTGAATTGAATCAGGTGTGCCCGCAGGCACCCAGGTAGGGTGTAATTTTCCTGCGAACAAAAGTTTCAGTTTCGTCCCCCAAAGGTTCACATGGGCCGCTGAGGGCACTGTAATACATTTTTTTAATAATGAGAAAAATTAACCAAGGCTAGATTATTAACTTGGTTGTTTCCTTTTGTCCATAAATAAATCCAAACAGTTTCGTCAATTTGCGAATGATGCAATTAGTCTCTATTTTAGACGATCCAATCAGAAATTGATATCGAGCTTTTAATAATGCACAATTAGTAACGCTAACAAATTACATCAGCCACACTGATGTTTATAACACGTCAAATAATTTTTTCTGCGTGTTAAAGAAAAAAATCTTGTTGATTTCTGTCAATTTAGCGAATGACGCAACCTGCACCATTGTTTCAGGATGCTATTTTGGAGCTCGTGGTTATCCTATGAGCACTATGGCGCCTATTTTAGCTTAAAGTAGTCAGGGGCCGTACGTGGCACCTCTGCGGTATTATAATCAGGGTCTCCCGAGAGCGCCCTTCTACGTCCCTGACACATGGGCGGTCACCGAAGTGTGTTCTGCCTCATTATTTTGATGAGTAATTAACGTACACTCAAGGTTTTCACACGGTAGTGTAGGTAAACCTGTGTCCCGATATTTATGATCCAAGCGCAGGAATTTTTTAAAATTTTAATAACTCAGTTTAGAAAACAAAGTCACGGGTATAAGAACATAGGATTGGTAACGCATTGATGAAACCCTTCTTATATATTTGGTCAGACTTTCTTCTACCCCGCGGCAACGCGCGGGGACGGGTACGTTAGTATATATATATATATATATATATATATATATATATATATATATATATATATATATATATATATATATATATATATATATATATATATATATATATATATATATATATATATATATACATATACTTTTTTATTCTTCAACAACATCCGAGATCAAATAAAAATAGTAACCGCACAGGCTTTGTACTTACCCAATAACAACACTGTAAAACATGTGCACTTTTTCGTAGATAACATTTTGAAATGAAATATTTCTGCTAATGAAACGAAAAAAACTAAGAATGTAAACTGTATTTTAAGATTTTATAAAACTATCATAAACAAATGTAGTCGTTATAATAAAAAGCCACAAAATTAAAATTTTTTAGCTTTATTAGTAAAAGTAAAAACTTTAGACTTTAAAACTAAAAAAAAATATTTTTTTATTATTATTAATAATATTTTTGTAAGATATAATAGAAATTAGACACTCAATGGAAAAAAAATCAACCTTTGCTAGTTTTCTAAACTTATTGTTTTCAAAGCTGATAGTTCGCAAGTTTTAAAAGTTTGCTTTATACTCAAACAACTAACGATTCTAATATTCAGTTATGAAGATCACAATGTCGTCTACTTTAATCTTTAATTAGAATAAAATGTAGAAATCCATTTATAGCAGACGCCCTAATCTGCAGACTTTAGAAATGGGATAAAAATATGTTCAAAGATTTGAACAAATACCTACTTGCTCACCAACAAACGGACTAATCAAACAACTAAACATAAAGCGTTTATAAAATCAAGACTAACAACGTATCACCAGGATTTACTTAAAAGTTATACTTTTTACATTAATTCGAAAGGTTTATATAGCCTAACAGCCTCTTGAGAACATGCTTCAGCAAACACTTCTGTCAGAGAAAATATTTACACTGAAACGACATCCTAGAAAACAATGTATTTTCATTTGAGATGTTTTTCCGTTTATTTATCAACCAGTTTTACTTAGTCTTATATATTAATGTGCTAAAATTAATTAAGTAGAGCTTACGTTACCTATAACTGGGCAAAATGCTGACCACACATTCCCTTCATATTACGAGGTCAAGAAACATGGACTCTACTTTATCTGCCCAATGGATCGCTAGGTCTAAAGAGGATACTTTACTTTTTACTTTCTCGTATATACGTAGTATAGAGAAAGTATTGTAATCGTGCAAAAAAAAAAAATCGAGATTTTTACAAATCTCGACGTTTTACACCTCACTGATACGGAAAAACATAATTTTGCAATCTTGTCCGTATGTCTGTGTGTGTGTGTGTCTGTCTGTCTGTCTGTCCGTGTGTAAACACGATAACTTGAGTACCGTTACAGCTAGGTTGATGAAATTTCATATATAAGTATTTTATCAAAATCGTAGATCCGTATCAACTTTTGAGCGATTTCCGATAACCGGAAGTGGTACTTTTCCTACTTTGAATTTTTAAAAAGCCTATAACTTGAGTACTATTTCAGATAGATAAATTAAATTTCACATGTAAGTAAAAGATCTAATTCTCTACCTTCTGTTAAATTTTGAGTAATTTCCGTTAACTGGAAGTAGTAATTTTCGCTACTTCCGATTTCTCAAAAAACTAATGTAAATTTTAAAAGTACTAATAATATTGCGCACCATTATGAACATCTTTATTCCGCGTTCACTTGGTGTGCAATACTTTTTTCTATGATATTCTATTTTATTTTAAAAAGTTTATGTATTTAAAATGGATTAAAAATCATAACTATATCCCGAGTTCCCATCCTCTGTTGTTTTATATAAGAATATTCGAGAAAGTTTAGGGGAGATCACTCCCGGTTTATTAAAACTTAAAGTATTTAAAATGGATTAAAAATCATGTCTATAGCCCGAGTTCCCATCCCCTGTTATTTTATATAAGAATATTCGAGAAAGTTTAGGGGAGATCACTCCCGGTTTTTTTTCTTAAGTTTCATAGAATATTTTTTACATTACCCATACAAATAAAGATTGCATAAACAAGTAAAAACACCCTACATTGTCCTCCAAACGCACAAAGTTGTTTTATATCTTTGTTGTTAGGCCACATTACTTTAACCGTTTTTCTTATTTAAAATTCAGTTTTTCTCTTTCAACAACGCTGCTAATTTTCACACCTGACATAAATTAGATGACGTCACACACATTAAGTTATAAATTTAAAACTCCAGGTGCTGTAAGTTAAAGCCTCTTGTAGCCAGGTATAGTCCAGAGAATACCAGGTTTTGCTTTACGTGAGCTATGGAGACCCGTTATTTTACATTTCTCGGCCTGTTATTTGCACTAAGTAAGTATTATTAATGGATTATTGTATCATAATCTGCTAATTAAAACAACTATCAATTCAAGCTACTGCTTGCCGCAGGTAATATTACAATTATTTCATTTGCCGTCAATAATTTCAAATTAAGTGGATTATTGTAAAATACTTATATAACATAACTTGAATGAATAACTACACATGCATACTGTTTACACACATGCACACATGTATACATAATTATACACATAAAGAAAGACGTAATTATCTACATAATAATATAAACTCTATATTCAATAGGCACAACATACTCTTCAACCAACTTTGGTAAGTAGAAGTTTTATTTATTGGTATTTTATTTTACGTTTTCCTATTTACAACACTATTTCCTATTTTAACACGCTTTCTTAAGTATTCTTTCGCATTGCTACCAACCTTTGAGGTTATTTTTAGTACTTGTCTCAGTGAGACTTGGCTGTAGACGTAAAGCCGGATTTTAAAATAAGAGCGAAAAACCCCAGGTAATCCGTCACCGTCGCTGTCACGTGATGTGCTGTCGACATCCGGGTTAAGGTGACCCAGATATGAGACCTGCCCGGTATTGAAGTGTTGTGGTAAACACGCTGGGTTAGCCGCGCTGAGGTTGATTGATGACGTCACAGAGCAACACCAGACCCAGTGTTTTAACGCCGCACCCTCAGCGTTATTCAAACTCGTGTCTCCGGTCGACACCTCTTGCACCTGTAATTGACGGTTAACACACCTTTGTAAAGTTAAAATACATTGTGACATTTTTTTTTACTGTACTCTTCTTAAAAATTGAATCGCGTTTCTGATGAGAACATTACACCATAACAGTAAATTCTTTTATAAAGCTCTACCATTTATCTATAAAATTAAGCTCTATCATTTATCTATAAAATTAAGCTCTATCATTAATCTATAAAATTAAGCTCTTTCACTAGTCTATTAAATTAAGCTATATTAATCTATAAAATTAAGCTCTTTCGTTAGTCTATATAATTAAGCTCTACCATTAGTCTAAAAAATTAAGATCTCATTAATCTCTAAAATTTAGCTCTATCATTAATCTGTATAATTAAGCTCTATCATCGATCTATATAATTAAGCTCCGACATTAAGCTCTTAGAAAAAAGTTCTAACTGTTATTGAACGTCTACAGACGAGTCGTCACTAACGGTAAATCTCAACGTAGAAAACACCCCTGTTCAAAATGGCGGAAACTTCTCACTCAAACTACCAGCCGGAAGTGACGTCACTTCCGTGAACATCAGATGCAGGGCACAGAGCAACCAGCTGTCTGTCAATGGTCCGAGAGCGAAATCCGTTTCCGGACGTTCGGCCCTGTTTCCGGTCAAGCTGTACGGCACCGGAACTGCCATGTGTACGTGTGCAGCATCCCATGCAGGCGGCTCTTACAGAAAGACAAGTACAGTAACTATACGGCATACAGGTAAAGACAATGTATTTTTATTCTACCATCTACAATAACTATAAGGCATACAGGTAAAGACAATGTATTTTTATTCTAACAACTACAGTAACTATGCGTCAAAAACACAAAGTATTTTCATTCTAACAACTACAGTAACTATAGGTCTAAAACACAAAGCATTTTCTTTATAACAACTACTGTAACTATACGTCAAAAACACAAATTATTTTCATTCTAACAACTACAGTAACTATAGGTCTAAAACACAAAGCATTTTCTTTATAACAACTACTGTAACTATACCAAAAACACAAATTATTTTCATTCTAACAACTACAGTAACTATAGGTCTAAAACACAAGTATTTTCTTTTTAACTACAGCAACTATAGGTCAACATACTTTCTTGTAAAAACAATTTTAAATTTGGGCGCAACAACAGTTATTCACTGGATATTATTCTACCGTTCGTGATACATAAAAGAAGAAAGCACTGGCTTTGACTAGACAAATACAAGTTATTTAATAATAATCAGATTAATTAATTTTCTTAAAAGCGTTAATTAAACTAAAATAATGTTTGGGGGCTAAGTCTTGGGGGAGGTGGGAGGGGGGGATATAGAGGATGTTCATGGGTGCCATGTTCAGGGTGTGTGTGTGTTAAAGATACAGACAACTTAAAATTGACAATATTTATGAGATCTTGATTTATGAACAAAAGCAACATTCTGTAAAAATATGGTACAATGATCGCATAGTACTGTTACAAGAAAAACAAAAAACAATATATAATATATATATATATATATATATATATATATATATATATATATATATATATATATATATATATATATATATATATATATATATATATATATATATATATCTATATATATATCTATAAATATAAAGCAAAGTTGTCGGGTGCCCGATAGGGCACTTCCCGGCGCCGCAGGCGCGTCAAATTTGGCACGATGGTGCCTTGGGTCGATAGAACACGAGGGCCGGTGACGGTTGGCCGAAAAGTCTACGGACAGGGGGTCAAAACTGACCTCGACTGACCGGCGCCTTATATGGGCTATATTACGAAAAAAAAATTCCGACGACGACCCCACTTGATATTTTGTGAGGTGGTAGAAGAACACCTAGGGGTGTCACAAAAAACTCGGCATATCTGGGAAAACTTCGTAAAGCGGTCAAAACTGACCAGTTGTATTTCCCTATATAATCTTTGTATTTTATGGGAAAAACAGAGGGTCATTTCAACGCAGACTTTAGGGTACTTAAGCTCAGTATATCTGGCTAATTTTTTGCATGCTCCTAGGTCAATGGCTTGACCTTTAGGGAAAACTGTCGGTTACACTCAAAGCCCTCGACGAGGGCTAAAAAGTGACCGCCAGTGAAATTCTCTTTATATGAGCTCTATTACGAAAAAAAATTTCCTCCGACGACCCCCATTGATATTTTGTGAGGTGGTAGAAGAACACCTAGGGGTGTCACAAAAAACTCGGCATATCTGGGAAAACTTCGTAAAGCGGTCAAAACTGACCAGTTGTATTTCCCTATATAATCTTTGTATTTTATGGGAAAAACAGAGGGTCATTTCAACGCAGACTTTAGGGTACTTAAGCTCAGTATATCTGGCTAATTTTTTGCATGCTCCTAGGTCAATGGCTTGACCTTTAGGGAAAACTGTCGGTTACACTCAAAGCCCTCGACGAGGGCTAAAAAGTGACCGCGAGTGAAATTCTCTTTATATGAGCTCTATTACGAAAAAAAATTTCCTCCGACGACCCCCCTTGATATTTTGTGAGGTGGTAGAAGAACACCTAGGGGTGTCACAAAAAACTCGGCATATCTGGGAAAACTTCGTAAAGCGGTCAAAACTGACCAGTTGTATTTCCCTATATAATCTTTGTATTTTATGGGAAAAACAGAGGGTCATTTCAACGCAGACTTTAGGGTACTTAAGCTCAGTATATCTGGCTAATTTTTTGCATGCTCCTAGGTCAATGGCTTGACCTTTAGGGAAAACTGTCGGTTACACTCAAAGCCCTCGACGAGGGCTAAAAAGTGACCGCGAGTGAAATTCTCTTTATATGAGCTCTATTACGAAAAAAAAATTGCTCCGATGACCCCCCTTGATATTTTGTGAGGTGGTAGAAGAACACCTAGGGGTGTCACAAAAAACTCGGCATATCTGGGAAAACTTCGTAAAGCGGTCAAAACTGACCAGTTGTATTTCCCTATATAATTTTTGTATTTTATGGGAAAAACAGAGGGTCATTTCAACGCAGACTTTAGGGTACTTAAGCTCAGTATATCTGGCTAATTTTTTGCAAGCTCCTAGGTCAATGGCTTGACCTTTAGGGAAAACTGTCGGTTACACTCAAAGCCCTCGACGAGGGCTAAAACGTGACCGCGAGTGTAATTCTCTTTATATGAGCTCTATTACGAAAAAAAATTTCCTCCGACGACCCCCCTTGATATTTTGTGAGGTGGTAGAAGAACACCTAGGGGTGTCACAAAAAACTCGGCATATCTGGGAAAACTTCGTAAAGCGGTCAAAACTGACCAGTTGTATTTCCCTATATAATCTTTGTATTTTATGGGAAAAACAGAGGGTCATTTCAACGCAGACTTTAGGGTACTTAAGCTCAGTATATCTGGCTAATTTTTTGCATGCTCCTAGGTCAATGGCTTGACCTTTAGGGAAAACTGTCGGTTACACTCAAAGCCCTCGACGAGGGCTAAAAAGTGACCGCGAGTGAAATTCTCTTTATATGAGCTCTATTACGAAAAAAAATTTCCTCCGACGACCCCCCTTGATATTTTGTGAGGTGGTAGAAGAACACCTAGGGGTGTCACAAAAAACTCGGCATATCTGGGAAAACTTCGTAAAGCGGTCAAAACTGACCAGTTGTATTTCCCTATATAATCTTTGTATTTTATGGGAAAAACAGAGGGTCATTTCAACGCAGACTTTAGGGTACTTAAGCTCAGTATATCTGGCTAATTTTTTGCATGCTCCTAGGTCAATGGCTTGACCTTTAGGGAAAACTGTCGGTTACACTCAAAGCCCTCGACGAGGGCTAAAAAGTGACAACGAGTGAAATTCTCTTTATATGAGCTCCATTACGAAAAAAAATTTCCTCCGACGACCCCCCTTGATATTTTGTGAGGTGGTAGAAGAACACCTAGGGGTGTCACAAAAAACTCGGCATATCTGGGAAAACTTCGTAAAGCGGTCAAAACTGACCAGTTGTATTTCCCTATATAATCTTTGTATTTTATGGGAAAAACAGAGGGTCATTTCAACGCAGAATTTAGGGTACTTAAGCTCAGTATATCTGGCTAATTTTTTGCATGCTCCTAGGTCAATGGCTTGACCTTTAGGGAAAACTGTCGGTTACACTCAAAGCCCTCGACAAGGGCTAAAAAGTGACCGCCAGTGAAATTCTCTTTATATGAGCTCTATTACGAAAAAAAATTTCCTCCGACGACCCCCCTTGATATTTTGTGAGGTGGTAGAAGAACACCTAGGGGTGTCACAAAAAACTCGGCATATCTGGGAAAACTTCGTAAAGCGGTCAAAACTGACCAGTTGTATTTCCCTATATAATCTTTGTATTTTATGGGAAAAACAGAGGGTCATTTCAACGCAGACTTTAGGGTACTTAAGCTCAGTATATCTGGCTAATTTTTTGCATGCTCCTAGGTCAATGGCTTGACCTTTAGGGAAAACTGTCGGTTACACTCAAAGCCCTCGACGAGGGCTAAAAAGTGACCGCCAGTGAAATTCTCTTTATATGAGCTCTATTAGGAAAAAAAATTTCCTCCGACGACCCCCCTTGATATTTTGTGAGGTGGTAGAAGAACACCTAGGGGTGTCATAAAAAAAACGGCATATCTGGGAAAACTTCGTAAAGCGGTCAAAACTGACCAGTTGTATTTCCCTATATAATCTTTGTATTTTATGGGAAAAACAGGGAAATTTTAACACAATTTTTAGGTTACTTAATGTCTGTACATCATGCTAAGTTTTCGCATACACTACTATAGATGACTAGGCCGTATGGAAAAACTGTTGGTCAGACTCAAAGCCCTCGACGAGGGCTAAAAGATGGTCTTGAGTGAAATTCTCATTATATGAGATATATATATATAAATAAATTGACGAACGATCCCCTTAATATTATGTGACGTCGTAGACCGACCCTGGAGGGTAACAAAAAAAACTTTATTCCCGTCGGAAACAGCCATTATAGTCGTTAAATATGTTCATATAACGTAATTTCTTATATAAGCAAACAATATAAGTAAACAATGACATACGTCATACGTTCAGTTTTCAAGGGAGGTAACGTTTTTAAAATTATTATTTTTCAAATAATTGTATATTATTTTAAACAGAAACAGAAAATGACGAAGTATAGCATTTGTTTTAGGACAAAATTAAGTTGTTAATTTAGTTAAGTATCCTAATTAAATTAATTAATTAATTTCAAAAGGCAATGTAATATAAACTATGAGATATAATGTTCATGAAACCTGTGTAGTTCTAATTCCATTTTAGTTATAGATTGCGTACTTTCCAAAATTTCTCTTTGAACTGATTATAAATGACGAACAAAAACATGTTTTTTCTAAAGTTAGCATTACTGTTTAAATTCAACTTATTAAAGCACTCCACACCCAATCCATCGCTAAATAATTAAGTATTCAAATTCTCAAATGTTTTTTAAAAACCTAAGCGAAGCTAGGCAGTATGCCTAGTATATATATATATATAGGGCCTATATATATAAATAAATAAATAAATATATATATATATATATATATATATATATATATATATATATATATATATATATATATATATATATATATCACCATCAATAGGTGTTACGGTTTGAAGCAAAGAGAAGGAGCATCATAAACATTTCTATAGTCTTGTCTATTAAAATTGCTACAACGCATAACAATAAATACATAATTCAGATTTGGGTTATAATCAAACTGGCCAGACGGAATATATTACTTTACTAAAAGATTTATCGAATATATTATCAAAGAGATCACTATATAAAAAACAAACGAGAAATGCTGAATGCGTTTTATGTTACTTCTTTCTTCTTCGTTCGTAGCCGTATAATATTGTATGAAATTTCTCACAATACAATGGACACCAGCGAGTTGACGAGAATCTTTCCATCATATTGTTGACATGGATAGGATTCGTTTTTTTTTCTTTTTAAATTTTGACTTCATAGCAGCCGTAAAAAAATAACTAAAAAAAACTTTTGCCTAAAATTAATCCAGAATTATTGTTTTTAGAATCAATATTATAAAAGTTGCAAATCCAGAGGACTTGAAAATAATTTTTTTAGTTTGAGGCTACATTTCTATTTATTTTCATCAAGCCTAAGCTATAAACTGATGTTTAATTTTCGTAAGACAAACATTGATCGGCTGTACAGGAACTCCGTGATCGATTTTATGACAGTCCCATATATCATAGTCATATGCTTTCAAAACTTTGCTGATAACGTTTTTGAATAAAATTATGCTAAATTAAACCATATGACCTAGTTCTGCCATTTTTGTATACATTATGTATGATAAAACTTATGCTGACCTATCGAATTTCAGGATGTCTTCGCTTATGTCGCCATGACCACGTGAAAACCAAATTGCTTTTGCCTTTTTTACTTTCTCGCATATACGAAGTATAGAGAAAGTCCTGTAATCGTGCAAAAAAAAAAATCGAAATTTTTACAAATCTCGACGTTTTACACCTCACTGATACGGAAAAACATAATTTTGCAATCTTGTCCGTATGTCTGTGTGTCTGTCTGTCTGTGTGTGTGTCTGTCTGTGTGTAAACACGATATCTTGAGTATCGTTACAGCTAGGTTGATGAAATTTCATATATAGGTATTTTATCAAAATCTTAGATCCGTATCAACTTTTGAGCGATTTCCGATAGCCGGAAGTGGTACTTTTTCTACTTTGAATTTTTCAAAAGCCTATAACTTGAGTACTATTTCAGATAGATAAATGAAATTTCACATGCAAGTAAAAGATCTAATTTTCTACCTTCTTTCAAATTTTGAGTAATTTCCGTTGACCGGAAGTACTAATTTACGCAATTTCCGATTTCTCAAAAATGCATGTAAATTTATAAAGTACTAATAATATTGCGCACTATTATGCACATTTTTTTTGGCGTTCGCTTGGTGCGCAATTCATTTTTCTACTAGATTTTATTCTATTTTTAAAAGTTTAAGTAAACAAACATCATGTCTATAATCCGAGCTGCCATCCCACGTAGTGTTATATTAGAATATTCGAGAATGTTTAGGGGAGTTCACTCCCGGTTTATTTTTTAAATTGTGTTCAATAAACGAAAATACTAAAACGTCAAACTCTTCTTTAAAGTCAGAAAAAAACCAAACAGTCAGGATTTTATAACCATATTAATTTTAATTACACCTTGCGTGATTTTTAAAAACTATTTAATGGGCATCTAGAATAACTTCGAGGCTATTCTTGGTTGGGTCCATTGCGTTTTACGTTTCGACTAGTTTTGAACCAGAATTCTGAAATGCTTACGACCTTGCTGTTCATATGTACTGTATAATCTCTTTTTTTTAAAAAATAATCTCGAAATTAACAAATACAAATTTAATCTAAGAGTTTTCGTTCTCAGCCCTTCCATATGCACCGACTACATCACCATTTCTCGAGGTCAACAACAGCACCTTGCCCGACGGGTCAACTTTAACGGTGGTTCTCAACTCAACCGCCACTAAGGTCTCCGTCAGGTGCGGGGTGTCCGGCGGGTACCCCCGGGTCCACCAGACCACCCTCAAGTGTGGGAACAAAACCGTTGGGGTCCCCAAGCCCGTGGTGACCTTCACCATCACGTACACCAAACAGATGGACGGCCAGCTGTGTGTGTGCTCGGCGGATCACGTGACTGGACGGTACAACAAGACGGCCAGGTTCACGTTTGACATACAATGTAGGTTTGTTGGTTTCTTACACTTATACACACTCACTCCAGGAAATAAGGATAATTTTTATGTTTTTATTAACAACAAGTAATAAAAGACATGTTTGTATATTGTGATTTAACTAATTTGATGTAAATACAAATAAAAGTAAATTAATTAAAAGTTTCAGCAGAAATCCGAAAATGTATGTATAAATCAGCGGTGCGAAAAAAAAATGCAAACGATTTTTCTATTAGGGTCTGAGCTACGATCAGAAATAAATGCATGACTAGACCATCGACTGGATTATGCCTATAGGTTCTTAAATTAGCGATACCATCAAAACAATAGCTATTTTTTCAACCTGCCGTTTGATTGACCCATGTTCTCTTAACCCATGTTGATTGACCCATGTTGTTGTCTAGACCTACGTTAAATGACCCATGTTGTTGTCTAGAACCACGTTACATGACCCATGTTGTTGTCTAGACCCACTTTAAATGATCCATGATGTTTTCTTGGCCCACGGTTAAATGACCCATGATGTTGTCTTGACCCACGTTAAATGACCCATGTTGTACATGCCCACATCAATTTACCCATGTAGTCTAGACCCATGTTAATTGACCCATGTTCTCTAGACCCAAGTTAATTGACCCATGTTCTCTAGACCCACGTTAATTGACCCATGTTGTACCGACCCACGTTAATTGACCCATGTTGTCTAGACCCATATTAATTGACCCATGTTGTCTAGACCCACGTTGATTGACCCATGTTCTCTAGACCCATGTTAATTGACCCATGTTGCCCGACCCACGTTGACTGACCCATGTTGTCTAGACCCAGCTCGAGTCAAACACCTGACAGCCAACAACAAGACAGGTGTCCTCAAGGTGAGACCAGACACACCTGTCGTCATCGAGTGTCAAGCAGACGGCAATCCTGTTCCAGAGCTCACCCTGCGAGGCCTTAAGACAGGTGTGATTTCATTAATTAGAACACTAATTAATTAATCAGAACTCTAATGATACGTATGACTTAATGTTTACAAATTAACACATGTCAGATGGGTTTTATTTAACTCGACAACTAAAGTCAGGTTTTGTTTTATGTAGCCTACTAACTCAACATTAGGTTCAGTTTAATGTAAAATTGGAACCGAAAATGAACTTCATACATACGATGCAATAACAATACATTGACATGTGTTTGGTGGTTTAAACAAGGAATACATTTTTATAAAACTTAATTGACTTCATGTCACAATACCACACCCCCTTTTAGTCAAACAAAAATCAAATTGGACGACCAGCATACATACATATATACATAAAACATTCAATACATAGAACTAACGAATAATTAATTTTAATAATAATTTAATTTAAAAAAAAATTTTTAAATTAATAACTATTAATGGAATACCTCACAGGAACGGCTGCATTCGGTAAAACAACCAACAGCAAATCCAACACGCTGTCTCGGTCTTTCATTGCCACAACGTCACTTGATGACGTATATGTCTGCACTGCTAAGAATAGTTTGAACGCACACGTCATATCCGATCGGTTAGTCCAAGTATCTGTAGGAGAGCATGGTGAGTTCAAGCTAAATAAAAGATAAAATTTGTTAACACTTTAAAATCAGTACCAGAAGATTTCAGTTAGAAAATATTTTTTGTCAGCTTTTTATTTATCAGCAATTTCAATTTTCAGTTCTAGTCCAAAAGATCCTAAATACGTATGAAAACTATAACTAATCTATGATTACATTGTTACATTGTTCCTGTGATATAATAATTGTATGAAACAGTAAAAAAAATGAAAACTAGCTTTCGCCGCTGGTGAAAACATAATTTTCTATTTAAAAATGTTCACACAAACTAGATTATAGGGCTTGTAAGTAGGTCACCGGACAGCCTGTGCTAGCGGTAGGCGTACTGTTGCTTAATTTGTTTTTATTATTAGTACAAAAACGTATAGTTGTTGCATTTTGGGTACTTTACGTATTATTAAATCTTGAAGCAATAATTTAAGTTCGAAAATGTAGATTTTTCCCTGGCTAACAAGTTTTCGAATTTTAATCGAAAGAGCCCGTGACTTACAAGCCCTATAAGAAAAGAACAACAAGAAAAATATCATTAAAAGCTCTCACAGTGGTGTGTAGCTAATTTGTTTTTTTCACAGCTCCGTCCCTCATCGCGAGATTTACCGTCAACGGCGAGACGAAGGTTGAAGTTGAGGCTGGTGCTAGACTTGACTTCCGGTGTGAAACCGCTGGGTATTTGGTGCAATGGACCATCAAGAGCGTCACTTCCGGTTAGTTCTGACGTCACGATTTTAACAAATAACAAGTGTAAAAGTAAAAATAGGCAGACTAGTTGTATGCTTAGAGAGAAAATTAATTAAACTGAAAAACCCATTACAATAGGATTAAACATTAACATAACTTTATTGAATGTCGATATGTAGCCTATATACTGTCTATCTATTCTTTGTACATCTTCTACGAGCGCATTGTTGATTAATTACCTATATTTTGTCAATGTGCTATACATCTACTTTCGATCTATTGCTCATTTATTTTTAAAAGTATTTTCCTTATGTCATTTACCTATTATCCTCCTTTCATCCGCTATTATCCACTTTTCATCCACTATTATCCACCTATATATCCACCTTTCATCCACTATTATCCACCTATTATCCACCTTTCATCCACTATTATCCACCTATATATCCACCTTTCATCCACTATTATCCACCTATTATCCACTTTTCATCCACTATTATCCACCTATATATCCACCTTTCATCCACTATTATCCACCTATATATCCACCTTTCATCCATTATTATCAACCTATTATCCACCGTTCATCCACTATTTTCCACCTATTATCCACTTTTCATCCACTATTATCCACCTATATATCCACCGTTCATCCACTATTATCCACCTATATATCCACCTTTCATCCACTTTTATCCACCTATATATCCACCGTTCATCCACTATTATCCACCTATTGTCCACCTTTAATCCACTATTATCCACCTATTATCCACCTTTCATCCACTATTATCCACCTATTATCCACCTATTGTCCATCTACCACATTACGTAACAGCCTGACCAAGACACGCAGCCTTCACGTGTCTGACCTGACCGCGTCATGTGACGTCAACCGTGGAACATTCGAGTGCCACGCCGCCTATACCAGCAGCTCCAGTTCCAGGATGGACTCTAGGACAGTGGAGGTCATCGTCAAAAACTGTAAGTGGGTCACTGGTACTGCGCATGTCCATTTTCATATATCACAACGTGCGCAATGTATTATTATATTCAAACGTGGAGCTTCCCTTCATTCCTTAATTTGTATTTGGCCGTCAGCCAAATAGATTATTATTAAATACTTGTTTAATACTTTTGAATTAAACAATGGCAGCTAATTAGCCTTTTATGTGTTCAGTTCATATACATATACAAGTATTGAAGCTAATAGTTTGTTTGTTCGTGTACAATATAATGGCCTAAAACACATACATTGTTATGTTTCTTACAGGTCCAAAGTGATCATCCTAGTCAAAGACATGCATAGACAACATAATGAAAGATACTAATCAACATCGTAATTAAAGATACCAAGACAGATTGTGTTGAAGCACACGCTATATTTAGCCTGCATGGAAAATAAATCCTTTCAGATATAGTTTTAGTTGTATTGACATTGTTTGTGGACTTTATTTATTCTTATTCTCACTATCCACTGCTTTTTTTAGAAATAAATTTTAAAATCAAATAAAAGTCAATTATTTCCAATCTATAGTATATTCTTCTTAACCAGCTTGGAATATTTCAATTTGACTGAAATCAATAAACCGGGAGTGATCTCCCCTAAACTTTCTCAAATATTCTAATATAACATTACGTGGGATGGCAACTCGGAATATAGACATGATTTTTGTTTACTTAAACTTTTAAAAATAGAATAAAATCTAGTAGAAACAAGAATTGCGCACCAAGCGAACGTCAAAACAAAATGTGCATAATAGTGCGCAAAATTATTAGTACTTTTTAAATTTACATTCGTTTTTTGAGAAATTGGAAATAGCGTAAATTAGTACTTCCGGTCAACGGAAATTACTCAAAATTTGATAGAAGGTAGAGAATTAGATCTTATACGTACATGTGAAATTTTATTTATCTATCTCAAATAGTACTCAAGTTATAGGCTTTTGAACAATTCAAAGTAGAAAAAATACCACTTCCGTTTACCGGAAATCGCTCAAAAGTTGATACGGATCTATGATTTTGATACTTATATATGAAATTTCATCAACCTAGCTGTAACGGTACTCAAGATATCGTGTTTACAGACAGACACACAGACAGACACACAGACATACGGACAAGATTGCAAAATTATGTTTTTCCGTATCAGTGAGGTATAAAACGTCGAGATTTGTAAAAATCTCGTTTTTTTTGCACGATTACAAGACTTTCACTATACTTCGTATATACGAGAAAGTAAAAAATCGAATAGTAAATAAGACCTATCAAATGTGGATCTTGGAGTGATTACATTATTTCAACGATGTCGGTGCCATCAGTTTCTGAAACCAAAACCACTTCTTGCAATTAACAATCATATATATATTTTTCGATTCACATCTTACTTAAACTTTCCTGGTATTCATTAGATAAATTAATATCTTCTTTGGTATCCGAGCCTTAGCCCACAAATCACAAACACAGTGGACAAGTGAATCTTATTATTAAATGACTTGGCTATGTGTGCTATTTGTAAAATAGAGCAGTGTTTGAGAGCCTACTCTTCCTGCGTCTACAAAACGTCACACCCTCATATCACGCCTCACACTATGACATTGTTTAATAGCACAACATAATCTCATACCTAATACAACAGTCGGCAATCTGTCTTTCACAGTAGGGATTACGGAAGTAGACCAAAAACAAAAATCTACTCGGGTTTCTGGAATCGGCTTTTATGCCGTCTACTTGAGCTGATACTTAAGACGTTTCATTACACCCCATAAAAAATTGCAAATATATTTATCGTTAAATAAAATGCAAATTTTAATCAACGGCAACCGTCATAATATTTGGGTAACCAACCGTTAAAGTCTATATATACAACACAGTTCCGGTTAAGTTAAAGGTGATATGTTATATAAAATCGTGTATGACAGCTGTAGAGATTTATTTTTATTTTTAAATCAGCTAATGCAGTTGTAGAACTTTACATTTCTTTTAGAACAGATCAAATTTTTTTCCAACTTTCCGTGGGCAGAAGAAAAGCTTACACAAGTAGAATGAACATGGCTTTTTTTGGGTCTTAATTCCAACTTCTTTACTGTGTTTTTCACAATATTTTGTAAGTATTGAAAATATTATTTGTGAATAAAGATAATTCGTTTAATAATACAGTCTAATATATCTTATTGTTTGGGGGTTAAATATTTATGTTTATTTTGGTAATACATGTTTGAAAAAAAATTGATTGTCAGTTAGTGTAATGACTCAAACGTAGACAGAAAGTAGGAAATGTATAGGTTAGGAAGTACCCATTAGTCAAGCAGAACTAAGAGTAAGTACCAATTGAACAGCCCGGCTTGTCAGAAACTAGATGACCAGTCACGTGTGTCATGCACATTAAAGGTTAGGGTTAGGCTTTGGTCAGAGATAGTATGCAGTTGCTCAATCGAACGTGTAACAGTTGGAAAAAGATCTTACGCGGGTACTTAGTTTAGTTTGTATATTAACATTTAATTATCTCTTTAAATTCTGTTAATAAGATAAACAGGTAATGTCAGATAACTTTATTTCCAGGCTGTGTGATACTCTCAGAAGCAGCGAGTCCTCCCGTAGTTGTTATATACAACCAAACTGTTGCGAACGGACAGACGGTACGGCTATCCCCATCCACCACCGAAGTTGAGATCGAATGTACAGGTGAAGCTACAGTTAGAAGCCTAACATTGAGATGCGACTCCGCGACCGAAACCGTATATGACAACAGTGCATTGTTTACCCTCTCTTATACGAAAAACTTGAGGAGTGTGATGTGCGTTTGTACTGCAAGTGAAACAGGTTTCTTCGACAAGAGCACTTCATTTACTTTGGTTAATGGTGAGTTCTTGTTGTAATATTTTATATCTGACAAGAGCACTTCATTTACTTTGGTTAATGGTAAGTTCTTGTTGTAATATTTATATCTGACAAGAGCACTTCATTTACTTTGGTTAATGGTGAGTTCTTGTTGTAATATTTTATATCTGACAAGAGCACTTCATTTACTTTGGTTAATAGTAAGTTCTTGTTGTAATATTTTATATCTGACAGTAGCACATCATTTACTTTGGTTAATGGTAAGTTCTTGTTGTTATATTTTATATCTGACAGTAGCACTTAATTTACTTTGGTTAATGGTGAGTTCTTGTTGTAATATTTTATATCTGACAAGAGCACTTCATTTACTTTGGTTAATGGTAAGTTCTTGTTGTTATATTTTACATCTGACAGTAGCACATCATTTACTTTGGTTAATGGTGAGTTCTAGTTGTAATATTTTATATCTGACAAGAGCACATCATTTACTTTGGATATAAAAATCCAAGATTAAAGTACACTAATAACAAGAAAAAAAAACTAAAAGAAAACCATTAAAATAGAAAATAAAAATACATTTTCTGCAATTATCAAGTAGAAGCTATGGCCACAAATTTACTGAAGACACGACTGAAGGTGCATGTCCCTTTTGTAAACACACAAGGAAACAAAACCGAATCAAAACCAAACGTTGACTATATTCAACACCTCACTCAGAATCTAGCAAGATAAATGTAAGATTGGGTGTGGTTGGGGGTGTAATGTAATGACCCCCAGCCATCCGCACTGCGTGAGTAAAACAAACGTTGTTTAAAATAAACTTGTTGTGCTTACTAAAAAAGCCGACGTTCACAATCTCAACTTGCAAATCTCCAAATATTTTCTCTCTCACTTTAAAAAAAACAACAGGTAGTGCGATTCACAGCGCGTTGATTTGGAATGTCCTGTTGGTGACATTTGTGGTCCTGGGTAGGACAGTCCTGGTCTGATCTACAACCTGAGTCACTCTAGCGGGACGGTGTGTGGAGGTTGTCAGATTCTTATCACAGAAAGTAGAAGAAAGAATGATGGATGTATGCCTATTTCCCTGCCTTTTTTTCTAGTTAAAAGTTAATAAAATGAAAAGCAATTTAAAAAATGAAAATAATTTTTCGGCAAACATTAACAGTAAAGTATTAAGGTTTTTAAATATCTTATTTTTATGTTAAGCTTAACCTGTAGTTCTTAAAAAAGAAGTTGTTTTAGTAAATAAAATAATGTGAACTAACACTTTTATACGTAAGCTACATTCACACATTTTATAATTTTGTATTTCCATTAATCTACTATTTTGTGTTTTTCATAATAAATTAACATAATTTTTATTTTTTAACTAAAACTTTTTGATTGTGATAATGTTTAGTATAATGTTACATGTATGATTTATATTGAATATGTTCACGTTTTCATGTTACTGTATGTCCGTTAGAGTTTTTCATAATTTATATAAACAATAATAAAGTAATTGACCAGTTAAAATAAAATTATTAACATCTTGATATCATTTTACTTGGTAATGGTATTTGTGTTTTTTATGTGTAGATAGACTGTTTTCTATTCGATAACAGGCGTTTTGTTAAAAAAAAGACAAAAACAACAACTAGAAAACATGATCTTCTAAAATAAACTTATCAAGTCTATCTACATGATATATTTAAAGACTGCCTAGTTTTGGTGTGTCCGAGTGGTAGAGATCTAGACGTCTCGTGTTCGGATCCTAGTCTAGACTTGAGCCTGAGGTCAGGAAATGTCAGCTCTACTTCATCTGCACTCTGGGACCACTTCTTATTTCACTCATGGCTAAATTTTCCTTCGCGTAAATTCTAAAGAAAATTATTTTAATTACTTTAATTAAAGGCATAATCTGTAACCCATGAAATCTTAGGGACCAATGCTTTTACTAAAGAAAGAAAGTTTTTTTTCTTTCAGGACATTTAAAAGCTTATTAATTTAAAGACTTTGTAAATGTTTGTTGTATTTTCAATACCAGTAGCATTATAGCTAAATAAGTAAAGCCAGCTTGGTGTAGTTGTACCATAGTTGAGCTAAACAAGGAAAGTATAACAGGGTTATAAACTGTCTTGAAAGGTGAATACACGGATTTGCATTATATGAGACAATGTTTCTGCTTATTAACACAAAAACCAATCCTCATTCTCAGCGCTTTATTAATGTAGTGGCAGAAAAAAAATCAACTCTATAGACAAAGTAGATAAGAGGGGGTAAAATTAAATACACAACCCAGTTTTGAAGTGGAGAAATAAAATTTCATAGAAAAGCCCTTAAGGTGCGGCGGTTGTAAATCTGTCTCTGATGAAGTGGATTGAAACTTTCGAGTCAGACGGAAGTAACCAGGTTTTTACCGTTGTTTGTGTGTTTACATTGCCGCTTCTGGGAACTTTATTGTCCGTTCCTGCTTGTTGTGACTGTCCCAGGTCGTAAAATGGGGCGGAACCAGGACACATACTGCTGGCTAGATCTAGGTCTAGATCTAGGACATCCCCCCACCCGCACAATTAAAGCTGGTAGATAAGGGTGTAACGACAGACACCGATACAATCTAAATCACCCACTGTAAAGCAGTGGTTCTTAATCTGTTTGCATGGATCTACCCCCACTAGTTTAATATGCGCATTCACCGAACTCTTCTTAATACTTTAATCGTCCTCACTGACTAAATCTGATCTTAGATCAATTGAGTCGGGCGTGTTTTGACCTTCTACAAACCCCTGAGACTAACTCACCCAACCTTGGGGTTCGATCGAACCCAGGTTAAGAACCACTGCTGCAGACCATAGAGGGCTCTCGTAAGTTGTATAAATATATATAGTTATTGTTGTCAGTTTAAATGTTAACTGCCATAATGATCGCGATAAGTGGGTTCAGGATGTTAATATTAATTCTTTAACTTTTTAAAAGCTTTTATTTAACTTACTTCCTCTGGCTTTCTTGCTTTTGTCTATTGTCATAAATCGAAACTGACGAGCAAAATTTTGAACTCTTCTAATCTAACTGGCCGATTCGTTTGAAAGTTGGCATGTAGGTCAAAACCCGATGACAATGCAATCTGACATAAAATTTAACTTAATTGTATGACTAATTTAAAAAAAAAATTAACTAAAATGTTCTGAAATTAGTTTTCTTTATTGTTATTTAAATAGTATTATTTTATCATTATTACATACAAGCTTGTTATTAAAACGTTTTTATGCATTTTGTTTTGCTTTAAACAGCTCTGAAAATTTCCGGAAATCTGCACATTTTTCAATTTTTCTGAAAAAACGAAAAAGTTGTCTGAAATAATTTCTAGTTCAAGCTTTAGAGTTCGGTTGCGCACCAAGGTGATCACATGACACATGACTGAACGTCATCACCTGTGTTCCTGATTGGGAAGTGTGAGTGTTAAACATACTTCACACGCAAGTGAGCACGGCGTGGAAGCAGCTGGCAGAGACAGGACTGTTATGGGGGACTGCCAGGAACATTGACGTACACCGACAAAATGGAGGGAGCTTTCTGTGGCGGCCACGTGTGTCTTGGGCACAAAAGGGAAAAGATGATGGCACACACGTTTAATGAACTTAAATGACGCTTTACTACTACTACACAAAATAAATTACAATGTAGGCCTACACAAGCAAAGAGCTCCAAACGAAGACAAATTTGTGGACAATTCCTTTTAATTTAATACAAATTTCAATAAAAACTTGACATTTTAGAAAAAGGATGTGTATGATCTAAGCATACAACAAAAAAACATTGTTAAAAAACAACAAAATAACTAGCCTGGTACCTCGGACTCCCAAGTCCTCTACATGATAGCGAGCCAGGAGATTTGTCCGCACTAGACGGGCGAATCTCCGTTGCTTGCTATAAATAGCGTGGGGGAGGAGAGGTGCAAGACTGCCGGGAACCAAGAAGGGTTTGCTCTCGACCCTAACCAGATATCTTGACTTTAAGCTGCGGCCTTCACGTGGCTTCAGAAGAGTGCCACTAGTCGGACCAAACTCATGACCCCCCATAGTTGTTGCGGAATGGCTAGTGGTAGCCAACAGCAGCTAGAGGCTTTTGATCTGGCCGAGTAGAACTGCTGTATGCGTTCGGCACTTCCGAAGAGCCTGGTACGTCGGACTCCCAAGTCCCCCCACATAATAGCGTGGGGGAGGAGAGGTGCAAGACTGCCGGGAACCAAAAGAGTTCGCCGCCAGATCTTTCTTTTGACTTTAAGCGGCGGCCTTAACGGGGCTTCGGAATAATGCCACTGGTCCGACCAAACTCATGTCCCCCCTAGTGGGTGCGGAATGGCCAGTGGAAGATAACAGCAGCTAGAGGGTTTTGATCTTGCGGAATGCCCCCCACGATTAAGCTGCGTACCAGGCGGTAGGACGACGTCCCGCGTCTGGTGGGTGGGGAAGAAAAGCCCGATGTGTGGGAAACTCTCTCGGGGTTCGCCACACTGAGGCCTGCCTGGCAGTGTTTCTTCCAGACTTTTTTCTCCGGGGGGGGGGGGCACTTGAAATTTTCGGGAGGGCGGTAAACTTTCTTCGGGGGGGGGGGGGGGCGGACACTGTTAAAAGTATATATTTTCTATATAAATTATATAAATTTCATTTCGTTCGGGGGGGGGGGGGGGCGGTAAAATTTTTTCGGGGGGGGGGGCTTTGCCCCCCCGAAGAGATGCCTGGAAGAAACTCTGCTGCCTGGCTAATGGAAGTGAACCTTCTTAGCCGGTTTCAGTATAAGGAAGGAAGGAAATGTAAGAGGTCATCCCAGAGGCGTAGCGATGGGAGGGGGGCAGGGGGGTACATTTGTCCCCGGGCGCCGACCTTAGAGGGCGCCAAAATGGGTTGTAAAAACAAATTGAAATGTCATTTTAGCTGCATTTTTGCATTATAAATAGTTTGAGGGGGGGGGATGCAAATCGAAAGATTGAGGGGGGGGGGGGGTGCAAATCGAAAGTTTGAGGGGATGGTATTTGCTTCAGAGGGGGCGCCAAATTGAAAGTTTGTCACCGGGAGCCGGGAAGGGTCGATGCGCCTCTGGGTCATCCATAAATGACGTCACGCTTTTTTTTCTTCTTGAAGTATTACGATCAATTCATATTACAATTATTAAAACCGTTTTCCAAAACGCGAAATAACGGCTAAAACTCGTTTTCTAACATTGCTTTTTTATGAACCCCCCTCCCCCTCATCACACACCGTCACAAAATTACGGATCCTCTCCCCCCTACGAGTGTGACGTCATTTATTTTTTTTTTGAATCTTTTATTAACCAGTTTGTTGGGTAGGGGGTGTAACTGTTTAATATTGGTAAATCTGGTACCCATCGATTCCTTTCCCTGTTCCTTCATGACCCGTATCAATTCACGTAGCTGCTGAATCTCGCGACAGCTAATTCTTATCCGTGCCAATTCTTGCAACTGCTAGTTCTAGCACGCGACACCCCCCCCCCCCCCCGCGTCAATTCTCCACCAATCAAACCATTAGTTTATAATATATTTTGCCTATGATGATTAGCATATCACATTCAATTAAAAGTTTCGATATGTCGGAAAACATAATGTTTCTTTTCGCTTCAGGGAATGCAAGAGAACTAGTCCTATAAAGTGCAGTCTAGCAGTTTTCTAGTTATGTCTGTCAGAGGAAATATTTTTTATTGACATATACTTTAGGATAACTTGCTCTTTGTTAATTTATTACGGTGAATTAAATTAATTATTACCTGAAAAAAAAATGGTTAAAAACTTGAAAAATAACCTGTTAATTTTTGTTCGATTTTTTAATAATCTCGTACAGATAAATCAACAGGTTTATGATTTACATTACAAATTAAAAAAAAAAATTTAGTAATGTGTTAAGTGCTAAATAATTTACATTAATTTCTTCCGGTACTAGTACATTTATCCACAAACACATACTCAGTTATATAATGTACACAGCCATTAGATAAACCATTTTAAGCTATTTTAGCGTAATAGCTTAGAAATAGAAATGACTAATATATTTTTTATGTAATTTTAACAGAGTTGTGTGTCAAAATAGAAATGTATTAAATAAGAGAACGTTTATATTTAGAAAAAAATCTGCAGCATCGTATTACAATAATAGATGTACTATATATTTTCCATGGATTAATTTTTAGTAGCACATGTGTTACATTAATTCCTAAAAAATTCTTTATCCAACATACGGATAACATTACAAGATGGCGGACTCTGGCTTAAGACTAGACCATGACTACCCTACACAGGACCAGAAATGTCAACAGGACATTCCAGGCCACAGAAAGTACACCTGTATTACCTGTATTACCTGTAGAAAGTTAAAAATAACCAAAATAAAAACAGAGAATAGTGCGATGTGACATGTTATATGTTACTTCTATAAAGTTTCTAAAAAGATTGTATTTATGGCTGTCTGAACTCTACTAACAATTCACCGGTCGCTCATAAAATGGCTTACACTTTTTGCGACTTATGTTTATTAAAAAAAGCAAGTTTAAAAAACTATATTATTAAAATTATCAGCGCATTCAAATGGTTATTATTTTAAAGCTTTTTATATTTGGTTATTGAAATTAAACACATTCTGACTAAGAAGAGATGACTGCGGATATCAATCTTCACCATAGTGCATACAGTTTTCTTGATTTGTATGAATCGTGCAGGATCTTTAAAAAATTCTTGAGCTGTTAAACTCTTCCACTATCAAAGAAATTCTAACAAAAGCTTCAAATTGTTATGTTTAAAATTACTTTGGCAGTGTAAGCGTAAGTTAAGTAACCTGTTCTGGCCACCCTTTCCCTACCTGATGCTAAACTGCTATCGACGTATGTGGAAATCCGTAGTCACAAATGTTATGAATATATTTAATATATAGCATTACTATAGGGCTGGTAAGTAGGTCAACAATCAGTTCTATGGCTCATGCAGATTTTATTGAGCCGTGTAACTGGTTGGTGACCTACTTACCAGCACTATTGAAACAGACGGATACCTAACAGTCAAAGTATATGGCATATGTAAAAACATAGTAAGTTAATTTTTGTGACATTTTAAAGCAACGTAATACACAATAACGACTTGTAAAGCTGTAAAGTAACTTTCACACTATAACCACCTGTAAAGCTGTAAATTAACTTTCACACTATATCTACCTGTAAAGCTGTAAATTAACTTTCACACTATATCTACCTGTAAAGCTGTAAAGTAACTTTCACACTATAGTCACCTGTAAAGTTGTAAAGCAACTTACACACTATGTCCACCTGTAGTGTCTTACTGTCACTCAACAGGCCGCGCCGTGTCGCTGTACACTCGTATTTCTCGCTCACCCTACACCCTCCCACTGCTGGTATATCTGTGACGAATCCTTTGTGTGTTCGAAAACAGGGTCCGCTGTTCAGTATTGTGCCTGGTACAATATAAAAATGGGAGACGTATGGACAGGAAATTAAAGAAAGGCAAACACGGAGAAAATATGGCGATGCAAAGGATTCTGACAACAGTGGAACCCCCAAGCAATGGCATAGCGAGGTCGAGTGTTACCCGGTGCGGCACTTAATGGTGTCACCCCCCCCCGAGTCGTAGCGACCCCCTCCCCGGGGACAAACTTTCAATTTTCGATTTGCATCCCCACCCCTCAAACTTTCTATTTGCACCCCCCCCCTCTCCTCCCTCAAAATTTCGATTTGCACCTCTTAAAAGACTATTTAACACTCGAATAAATCACTTAATTAAGTGGAATTATCATTTTTCTCTATATAGTTTACTATTTTTTGCCTTGGTGTCACCCCCTTAAATTGTGTCACCCGGTGCAGTCCGCACCCCCGCTCCCCCCTTCCCCTCGCTACGCCACTGCCCCCAAGGCAAGCGACGAAGTGTTCGTCACAGGAAGACATGGCAACGTGCAGGAAAAAGGCCGAAAGGATAGGACGGAATTGGGGACTGTTGAATATATGGCTGTTAAGTAGGTCACCAACCAGTTCTATGGCTCATGCAGGTTTTATTGAGCCGTAGAACTGGTTGGTGACCTACTTACCAGCCCTATAGTGGCAGCAGTCAGACCGCGGAGAGAGGAAATCGTTGATAGAGTCCATATATTCTCGCAAGTAACGAATAGGGAGAATGATGATGATGATGACAATATACGAAGATAGTTATCATACAGGTTTGCACGATACATGAACGATAGTTATAATACAGTTGGTACAATATATGTAAATAGTTATCATACAGTCTAGTCTAGTACAATACACGGCACAATACATAACATTCGTGAACAAAGCCACCTATACAAAGTTAAAACAGAGGTGTAGATCTGTTGGTACCTGAGGTTACTGCTTTCAACGTACAGTCTGCGTCGTAGAGGTAATCTACGACACTACAGACAAACTTGATTGGTTGGTTTTTGCTGACCTTAAGTAAAGAACGCTCGCCATTGGCTGTGAACTTCACAATTTCTGGTGTAGCTAGAATTTAAAGTGAATAGAAGTTACCAATAGAAGTTACCAATAGAAGTTACCAATAGAAGTTACCAATAAAGTTACCAATATTAGCTACCAATAGAAGTTACCAATAAAAGTTACCAATATTAGCTACCAATAGAAGTTAACAATAGAAGTTACCAATATAAGTTACCAATAAAGTTACCAATATTAGCTACCAATAGAAGTTAACAATAGAAGTTACCAATATAAATTACCAATAGAAGTTACCAATAGAAGTTACCAATATAAGTTACCAATATAAGTTACCAATAGAAGTTACCTTAATAAGTTACCAATATAAGTTACCAATATGAGTTACCAATATAAGTTACCAATAAAAGTTACCATTATAAGTTACTAATAGAAGTTACAAATAGAAGTTACCAATGGTACCTGGAGGTATTTTCTCAAACAGACAATCTGCACAATTTAAGACTACTGTTTGGTAAATAATTACCTATAGATTTTTAGTGCAATATTTTAAGCCGATTAGTGCTTTAGTGCTTTATGGGACAAGAGGGGGTCTGGTGTGGGATATGTTCTTAGTAATATTACTTTGTGAAAGAGATAACTGGTGGGAGAGAGAGATAGAGAGAGCTAGGAGAGAGAGAGAGAGAGAGAGAGCAGGAGGGAGGGAGTGGGGGGGGGGCAGTTTTCGTGAGAGTAGACATCATAGAACCTCTTGGCAGAGGCGTAGCGATGGGGGGGGGGGGGGGCAGGGGGGGGACATATGTCCCCGGGCGCCGACCTTAGGGGGCGCCAAAATGGGTTGTAAAAACAAATTAAAATGTCATTTTAGGTGTATTTTTGCAGTTTGAGGAAGGGGGGGGGTGAAAATCGGAAAGTTGAGGGGGGGGGGGGAGGTGTAAATGGAAAGTTTGAGGGGGGGGGGGGTGCAAATTTAAAATTTGCTTCCGAAGGGGCGCCAAATTGAAAGTTTGTCCCCGGCCGCGGGGAAGGGTCGCTACGCCTTTACCTCTTGGCCAGTTTTTCTGTTCACTTTCTGGAAATCTGAATCGCGTATCTCATCACCATGTAACACATAACAACATACAACGGGGGAACAATTCTAAAGCAGGAGATGAATTATAAATAGAAGAGAAATCCTTCTTACGGTCTCGCTTGAGGTAAAACGTCGTGGTCTTGGATACACCAGTCACGTGGTTGGCTGTACACACACACCGACACCGACGTCTGCTTTGGGATGACGTGAATGACGTGTATGACGCTCTATACGTCCCACGTGATCCGTTGGTTGTCTGGCCCAAACTGCCACACTCTAACGTGACGTTTGTCACGCTGGCCTCTCCACCCTCCACCTCCCACGTGATATCCACCTTTGAGTGATACGCCTTCAGCTGTACTGTTTGTCCATCAAACACACGGGTGTTGTACACAGACACGGTTGGAGCCTGCTCTGGTGTTTCAGCCGAGCCTAAAACATATTTTTGTGAACAATAAAACACATTGTAAACTACATAACGTATCTATAGAGGGGAAGTTCTGATTTGTGACGAATTATCAGGTATGGGAGCAGAAATAGAGCACTAGCTGATATTATGTGTAACTTGAAATAACAGTAGATGACAAAAACACTTTGATTTATAAACTAAGCATTTTATAGGGTTTCTTTTCTATCCTTAATGTCCTCTGGCAGATTAGGTAGAGTTCACCTGTTACAGTGACCTCGGCATATCTAGGGGTAGGGTGGTCAGTATAATGCCAAGCAGCCTTAACTTTCCCTAACGTGACGTGGACTCAGGATGTCCTACGGGCTCGAGCCAGGGATCCAAACTCGAGACTTACCGTTTAAAAGTCAAACGCGCTGTCACTAGACCACGCCGTCTCTTTGCATACTAAGGAATTAAAATTATTGCTGTAGACGACCCTGTACAGAAAGTATCGATTAAATCTTTGTATATACAGAGCAATTGTGTTTTGTCAATTTTGTTGTTTATTGATTATTTTGAGTAAATGTGTTTTTTAAGTAGCTCAGTATTGCAGTGGATGATGGAAGCTTTCAGGGGGAGGTGAGTAGTGGTTGAACTCCATCTGAAAAGATACTGCCATACATGTTTTAGTCACATGGGGAAAGCTACAGTTTGTGGAATTTTTGGGTCTGTGGAACGTAGATGACCACATTATTGTGTGGACATAGGGGTGTAGATGACCACAATATGGTGTGAACATGGAGCAGTAGCGTACGCAGGGGTGGAGCAGGGGGAGCGGCCGCTCCCCCTCGGGCCATTTTCAGCCAAGTGGCGCCTTTTTTGGAAACTTTTTAAACTCAAAGTTTTAAACATTGATATTTGTTAATAATTATATTTAGTCGGCACATCTCTGTAAAACACAAGATTCATTTTCATGCAGCAATTAAGCATAGTAGTAATAGCCTAGTAGAGTCGACGTTCACAACACGTATTAGCAGCTGCATCAGTTTCTCAATCTAAAAATAACCATTACGATGCATTGCAATGTTTAAAAAACCTCTAAGAGTAGTAGTACTTGGCAAGATTAGTGTTAAGTTTAAGGCACCTGTATAATGTATTTGTTTAGAATAAAATGAATTAGAAAATGCTACACATAAAACTTCACACATAATTACTTTATATATACAGTTTAAATCGTGTAATTAATTTTTTGAAATTACAATACAGACATAAATACAACTGATGTGGCACCTCTATTTAAATTTACGTATGGGCGAACTGCGTAGCGGTGGGTAAATTTTGACAAGGTCAACATCGTCATCACGATGAAGTAGTAGTATTATGACAGTTTGGGCGATAGTGATTACCCTCCCCAAACTGATCTGTTAAGTACATATTGTACAAATATATAGGGGCCTAAAATGATCAATAAAAAATTTCCATGGATCAATTTAGTAATAATAACAATTGAATATTCTATTGTCATCGGAAACAAAGATTCCCTGAAAATTTCAGCGCGCTAGCTAACTGAGAAGTGCCCGAAATTTTGATCGCAAGATTTGATTGGAGAACCAATCAAACAAACAAACAGACGCGAAAGCAAGTTAAAGAAAACGTGGGAAAAAAGAAATGCTTGGGTCGCTCGTCCAATTGTATAAGAGTATTCTACACATAGAATTGCTACCCACAGTTTTCATCTGTTGATACCAGCGTATGAATAGACAGTGGTGTGTTAACGAGAAAACCCGAATCGGCTGTTTGCATTGTGTATTGTTGAAATCATAAAACATACTTTAAACCACACACAGTAAAGTATAAAGTAATATAATGAAAAGGCTTAATACTAAAACAGCTTCACATTAACATACATGCATACACAAGAATGAAGCAAATAAAAAATGTTCACATGGCAAATAACTAACTGAAGACCATGTTTAAGAGAAGAGAAGTGCAGGTGTTATTGTTTGTAAGGAGGGAAACTCCTTTCACGGGGAACTTATGTATTAGGACACATAATGATAGTATGGTGTAGTTTGAGTTACACTGTTATTTAGTTCTGCCTGCTACAAATACACATACTGTTACTAGCAATACGACGTAGCTGAAAAGCTACACAGCTTTTAAGCCTCATCAAAAGGATAACATTGAATTGCATTATTTTTAAATTCTTAAACACACACTAAAAATGTTTGAAATTGTAGAATTTGTTGTTTAGTATATTTATTTAAAATACAATAATGTTTTTTTTAATAGTGAAAGCAGTTAAAAAAACAAGTGTATAGTAAGTTACATTTAAAAAAAGAAAACATTTAAAATGGAATAGAATGTTGACATAACTAAAGCAAGACGAGCTGGCCATGTAGGAGATATATCGTCTCCGGTGGTTTAGCCTGGAAATTAAAGCACAGGTTTTTATAAGAATAAGTTTAGTAATTTAAATTATGTACCAACATTAGAAAAATAATAACCCAGCTATATACGAAAATTCGACACAAATTTTTAGATATATTTTGACCCAAATTTATAAGCATTAGGACCTGGATTTCGAAATATTATACTCAAGTATTAAATTCTAGTACATTATGTTGCCTATAATTACACAATTTGTATGCGTGTGTTGGGAAGGGTGGTAATGTAAGTAACCGACACTTTAAGATATTAGACCAGGCTACAGAGCCATTCATAAGTCTAAGGTTACTTGTTTGCTTTCTTTTGTAAAACAGTCTTGTGTACTGTCTTATGTTAGTGATTAAATCTTGAGTTGTAAGTTGGCCGCAGTCATCGGTATCTTATTGTCTATGCCTGCTTTAGCCATACGATACATGAGGATTAACAGACTGTCGTCTTTATTTTGTACATTTTGGAGAGGCATTGTGTTCCTATACAGAGGCGTAGCGACCCTTCCCGGCGCCCGGGGACAAACTTTTCGATTTGCACCCCACCCCCTCAAACTTTCGATTTTCACCCCCCTCAACCTTTCAATTTATTTTTCCAACCCATTTTGGCGCCCCCTAAGGTCGGCGCCCGGGACATATGTCCCCTCCCCCGCCCCCCCCCCCTCGCTACGCTACTGTTCCTATAATACGTAATGTAAAGCAGCGGCGTCGCTGGATCGGGTGTCAGCCGGTGCGGCACTTCGTGGTGTCACCCCCCAGAAACAAAGTGTATATATATATATATATATATATATATATATATATATATATATATATATATATATATATATATATATATATATATATATATATATATAGATGTTACGGTCAAAGCCCGAAGTCGGCCAATGCTAGAATTGGCCGGCCAATCCGCTCATTGGCCAATATCGCCTCCCATAGTTCGGTCAAAGTCCGAAACTTTGCTTGATTTCGGCCTTTCGGCCATGGTGGACCGGCCAAAGACTTAATTAGAAGATCATCTGGTTAGGGACGACCGGCCAAAGTCCGAATTAGAAGATCATGAGCAGATTTTGGTTTTTTTATGCCGTAAGGATCATGAAATTAAGTCTTTATTGATTATTAATTAAAGTAAATGACAGAAACATTCAAATATTTTATTGTACTATAGTCTCAATCTCTCAATATCATCATTTGTTACAACAAATTGAACTTTTATGGCATTTAGAATGATATAGCAGCTTGTTATTTTTACACTTGCAGCGATTTGTTGTGCACTTAGTTGTGCAATTGCAGCGAGTGTAGCTTTGGCCCCCAGTCAATGATTGTGAAGATGCGATGGTTCGTAGTGAATTTTCCTCAGTGTCAACTGACGACAATAAGAGCAGTTTTTCGTGAAGAATTGAAAACTCACTACTAGCATACAGTTGTTTTAGAACACCATGTTCCGTTCCTAATTTGTTGAAACCGCTCTCGACGCTCATGACAACTGCAATCACGCTTCGGGGATCACCGTGACCTCTGTCAGCATCTGGAAAACGGATGCGTACATGGTCACCCACTTCACCATCTTTAAATTTTGTATTTGATGTTTTAAGCATCTTAGCACCTTGAGTTTGCAAGCCAGTATGAGCTGCTGATCTGTGTTCCATGATGGCTTGTTTTTTGTGACACAATCTGCAGGTAATGTTCCCTCCGTACCCTTCGTCTGCTTCATTGGGTATTCCACAAATAGCATGGACATCGTTGCCACAGGATCCAAAAGAATGAGCTGCACTACAATGTTCTTTACAAACTATATAGAATCTGTTGGCCACATTATTGTCACGCAACTGGTCTGGGCGTTCTGCCATGCCAGTAGATGTGTTAGCTGAGGATGTCGTTGCATTTATGGCAACCTCCATTTCTTGTTCAATGTTCTCAAGATCTTCCTCAGTAACTATTTTATCGAGAGCCCATATATGGAAACTAACATGGATTTACATTTTTTTCTTTTGACAGCCGTCTGCTATGTCTGTCTCATGGTCTGACTGCCCTTTTGATCCATGTCGACTTGCATATAGAATGATATACAAACAAGAGCTAAACAATACGTTACTCTCAATGAAAACGCACCAAGAATAATGAAAATGCGATCACAACTTAGTCTAGATAGAACAGTGTCCAGGACATCCCGGCCAGTGCGCGCATTGGCCTGTCAATGTACAAAATACGCTGTCAAGTTTAAGCGCTTCGGACTTTGGCCAGTACGTCCCGGCCAGTGCGCGCATTGGCCGGCCAATGTACGAAATACGATCTTAGTGCTAAGTTCTTCGGGCTTTGGCCAAGAGAGCCTGCCAATGCGCGGATTGGCCGGCCAATCCGGGGTTTGGCCGCACTTCGGGCTTTGACCGTAATATATATATATCTTATATATATATATATATATATATATATATATATATATATATATATATATATGTGCGTGTGTGTGTGTGCGTGTGTGTGTGTCGGCCTACATAAGCCTATAATTTAAATATATGCCACATAGAGTACATGTATGTATATAAGCTTTAATCACTGCAGACTTAATAATAACTATGTTTTTCTAGACTAGTCTGTTAATAATACAGTTGTACGTAGCATTGTTTTCTCACGTTTACGTCATAGTGTTACCCCCGCCCTCTTGTAACAATTGTCGATTTATACTTAAAAGACTATATAACTTTAATTAATCATTAATGGATCTGGCAAAAGGGAATTTTCCTTTTGTACATTTTGCAATTTATTGCCTTGGTGTCACCCTCCTAAATGGTGTCACCCGGTGCGGTCCGTAACCCCCGCCCCGCCCTTGATACGCCTCTGATGTAAAGCGAGAATTCTGAAATATTGTATTTGTTTGTAGCTGAAGCTGCATGGTACAGTTGTATAATAGACAAAAGTGTGAGATTCAATGAAATCCCAATGAAGTAAAAAGCTGTATTTGTTTGCAAATTTTAAGTTAGTTTACCCAGGGGCATTTTAGTTAAATATTATTGTGATCGTGATAAATGTAAAACTTGCATTCTCATCTTCAAAACTTGGAATGGATTAATGAATTAATATATCAATTATTTCAAAAATTATTTTCAATAGTTTATCTTGAATTAAAAAATTTAAAACACGTAAAAATCGATACTTAATATTTTGTTTTAATTTTTGACAGCTAAAACATAATTTTAGCGCTTGCCAATTAATTTATATAATTTTTTGAAAAATAGCATGTTATATAGCAAAGTATTACTGCAACACCCTATATGAAGGATTAAAATTTCCAAATGTTAATATGTGTTGCCTAAAATTTTTAAAGCGAACCCTAACACTAAAATGTCCACGTGTTAACTGATGTTAACTTACAATTATTAATGTTAACCATGTGTTAAAATATCCACGTTAACTAATGTTAACTAACAATTATTAACGTTAACCCTGACAGTGTTAAAATATCGACGTTAACAAATGTTAACTTACAATTATTAGCGCTAACCCTGTGTTAAAATATCCATGTGTTAACTAATGTTAACTTACAATTATAAACGTTTACCCTGTGTTAAAATATCCATGTGTTAATTAATGTTAACTTACAATTATTAACGTTAACCCTGTGTTAAAATGTTCATGTGTTAACTAATGTTAACTTACAATTATTAACGTTAACCATGACAGTGTTAAAATATCCACGTGTTAAGTAATGTTAACTTACAATTATTAACGTTAACCCTAACAGAGTTAAAATATCCATGTGTTAACTAATGTTAACTTACAAATTAACCTTAACCCTGTGTTAAAATATCCACATGTTAACTAATGTTAACTTACAATTATAAACGTTAACCCTAACACTCAGTGTCTCAGTTTGTCCTCCCAGTGTGGCGGTACAGTCAAAGATGTCGTTGTAGGCACATGTTGCTGTTCGGTTGATGCTGATTGTTGTTGCATAAACAACAAGGCCACCGAAAATAAGTCTGGTATCTGTAATATAAATATTCCTTTATGCACACTTAAATATATGATTGATATAACTCAACATTTACAATTTGATGTTTGTAACATTTCTAATGGTCAGCATCTTTTCCTGTTAGTGTTCATCTGTTTCAGAGGTTACTACATATGAAGGGATATTGGAATCAGCACTATACCCAGCCGCCTTTACTTTCCGTAACTCAAGTAGGGTACCTACTAGAGCTGGGATGACTGATGGACATTCTACTGACTTGAGTTCGAACTCGAAATATTTTCGGGTTAGCAGTCTAGCTCTCTACCGCTAGGCCACACACGTCTCATCATCTCCACAAAATGAGCCAAACACTTAAGAAATCTGTTTGCTATGCAATAATTTTAAAGTTACAAATTACATATAAGAACAGGTAAAACTGGCAAAGGTACACATGCATATATTTTTGAAAAAAAAACAACGTAAATAAACGAAGATAACAATTTATTTAATCAGGTGAAACTACAGATAATAATATTTTTTATTTTGCAAAAACTGATGTGAATAAATACTTTGAAATTATTAGTGTTTCAAAAAGAATACTTTAAATTTATAGAAAAAAAAATTATCCGGTAAAACGGTAACACACCCGATGAACATATTTTTAACCAACTTAACCTTCACACGAGATGGCCAATGACGGATTACCTTTATTTCTGCCTATTATTTCCCACCTAGGGTTAGACACACCCTCCACTTTCTGGGCTTTAAATGTCAGCTGGTCATTGACCGCAGCACTGACCTCTTGGCTCTGACCATCCACAGTGAAATACTGAATCAGAGCTAAACGAAAACATACAGTTTAGATCTGATACAGTTTGTTGCAAAAGGTAACCAATAGATTAAGTACATTATGTTTTAATCGAAAGGTATTTAGAAGAGCTTCTGACCAAGAACTTGTTACCAAACAGGAAGTAAATATTTTAAACTTACATCCTGATTCCACTGAGATAAACAGGAAACCTACAAAAGTAGAAACCAATTATAAACGAGGTTAGCTTCATTTTGTAAAGACTGGAAAAACTAGTTCAACAAGATCACTTACTCGAATGGCTAAAACTTTTTGAAAGGCAGAGCAATCAAAATAAAACATTCACAAAACTATTTAAAATTAATTACTCTTAATGATGCCTAATTAATAAAAGCTAGAAATTTCCTTACTATAGTAAAACATGTTAGGCAATTTAAATTAAAGCTGATTCAACTATATCTATATATCAATATATATATATATATATATATATATATATATATATATATATATATATATATATATATATATATATATATATATATATATATATATATATATAAATTATATATATATATATATATATATATATATATATATATATATATATATATATATAAAGCAATGTGTGTTTTTCTGTCTGTCTGTTTGTCTTTTACGCATTACTACACCTTTCATCCGATCGCCATGAAACTTTGGGAAATTGTTGAGAATACTCCTGGGGAGGTTTCTGCGGAAAAACAAATTCAAATTCGCCGGGGTGGCGCCCCAGGAGGATGCGATTTTTTTCTCTATATACGGTATGTAAAAATAAAAGTCGATTGCGATTTCACGCCGTTCATCCGATCGCCATCAAATTTTGGGGAGTTGATTAGAACACTTCAGGTGAGGTTTCTGCAAAATTATTTTTTTAATTTTGCAAGGGCGGCGCCACGAGAGAGTGTGATTTTTCTGTATGTACGGTATATAAAAAATAAAAGTTGATTGCAGTTTGACACCGTTCATCCGATCGTCATCAAACTTTAGGGAGTTGATTAGAACACTTCAGGTGAGGTTTCTGTAAAAAATATTTTTTAAATTTCGCAAGGGCGTCGCTCCGGGATGATGCAATTTATCTCTACATACGATATGTATTAAAATAAAGTCGGATACGGCTCGACACCATTTATCTGAGTTCCATACAACTTTAGGGAGATGATGAATACTCCCGAGAAGGTTTCGGGGGGGGGGGGGGGGGGGTTAATTTCGCATGGGCGGTCCCGGCAGGATGCGATTTTGCGCCTGGTCTTTAAGGTAAATGCTATGGCGGCTACATTCGTTCTGAACAGTGTGATAGACAATAGATAAGCTGGTGCGTTACAGTCGCTCACTGAATTGAATCAGGTGTGCCCTACGGCGCCCTGGTAGGGTGTAATTTTCCTGCGAACAAAAATTTCAGTTTCGTCCCCCAAAGGTTCACATTGGCCGCTGAGGGCACTGTAATACATTTTTCTAATAATCAGAAAAATTAACCAAGGCTAGATTATTAACTGGGTTGTTTCCTTTTGTCCATAAATAAATCCAAACAGTTTTATCAATTTGCGAATGATGCAATTAGTCTCTATTTTAGACGATCCAATCAGAAATTGATATCGAGCTTTTAATAATGCACAATTAGTAACGCTAACAAATAACATCAGCCACACTGATGTTTATAACACGTCAAATAATTTTTTTCTGCGTGTTAAAGAAAAAAAAATCTTGTTGATTTCTGTCACTTTACCGAATGACGCAACCTGCACCACTGTTTCAGGATGCTATTTTGGCGCTCGTGGTTATCCTATGAGCACTATGACGCTTAAAGCTTATTTTAGCTTAAAGTAGTCAGGGACCGTACGTTGCGCCTCTGCGGTATTATAATCAGGGTCTCCCGAGAGCGCCCCTCTACGTCCCTGACACATGGGCGGTTACCGAAGTGTGTTCTTCCTCATTATTTCGGTGAGTGATTAACGTACACTCAAGGTTTTCACACGGTAGTGTAGGTAAACCTGTGTCCCGATATTTATTATCCAAGCGCAGGAATTTTTTAAAATTTAAATAACTCAGTTTAGAAATCAAAATGTCACTGGTATAAGAACTGGTATAAGAACATAGGATTGGTAACGCATTGATGAAACCCTTCTTATATATTTGGTCAGACTTTCTTCTACCCCGCGGCAACGCGCGGGGACGGGTATGCTAGTATATATATATATATATATATATATATATATATATATATATATATATATATATATATATATATATATATACTTTTTTTTCTTCAACAACATCCGAAATCAAATAAAAATAGTAACGCACAGGCTTTGTACTTACCCAATAACAACACTGTAAAACATGTGCACTTTTTCGTAGATAACATTTTGAAAAGAAATATTTCTGCTAATGAAACGAAAAAAACTAAGAATGTAAATTGTATTTTAAGATTTTATAAAACTATCATAAACAAATTAATGTAGTCGTTATAATAAAAAGCCACAAAATTAAAAACTTTTAGCTTTATTAGTAAAAGTAAAAACTTTAGACTTTAAAACTAAAAACAAATATTTTTTTATTATTATTAATAATATTTTTGTAAGATATAATAGAAATTAGACACTCAATGGAAAAAAAATCAACCTTTGCTAGTTTTCTAAACTTATTTTTTTCGAAGCTGATAGTCCGCAAGTTTTAAAAGTTTGCTTTATACTCAAACAACTCATGATTCTAATATTCAGTTATGAAGATCACAATGTCGTCTACTTTAATATTTAATTAGAATAAAATGTAGAAATCCATTTATAGCAGACGCCCTAATCTGCAGACTTTAGAAATGGGATAAAAATATGTTCAAAGATTTGAACAAATACCTACTTGTTCATCAACAAACGGACTAATCAAACAACTAAATATAAAGCGTTTATAAAATCAAGACTAACAACGTATCACCAGGATTTACTTGAAAGTTATACTTTTTACATTAATTCGAAAGGTTTATATAGCCTTACATGCTTCAGCAAACACTCCTGTCAGAGAAAATATTTACACTGAAGCGACATCCTAGAAAACAATGTATTTTCATTTGAGATGTTTTTCCGTTTAAAAATGCTGACCACACATTCCCTTCATATGACGAGGACAAGAAACATGAACTCTGCTTCATCTGCCCAATGGATCGCTAGGTCTAAAGAGGATACTTTACTTTTTTACATTACCCATACAAATAAAGATTGCATAAACAAGTAAAAACACCCTACATTGTCCTCCAAACGCACAAAGATGTTTTATATCTTTGTTGTTAGGCCACATTACTTTAACCGTTTTTCTTATTTAAAATTCAGTTTTTCTCTCTCAACAACGCTGCTAATTTTCACACCTGACATAAATTAGATGACGTCACACACATTAAGTTATAAATTTAAAAACTCCAGGTGCTGTAAGTTAAAGCCTCTTGTAGCCAGGTATAGTCCAGAGAATACCAGGTTTTGCTTTACGTGTGCTATGGAGACCCGTTATTTTACATTTCTCGGCCTGTTATTTGCACTAAGTAAGTATTATTAATGGATTATTGTATCATAATCTGCTAATTAAAGTAACTATCAATTCAAGCTACTGCTTGCCGCAGGTAATATTACAATTATTTCATTTGCCGTCAATAATTTCAAATTAAGTGGATTATTGTAAAATACTTATATAATAAAACTTGCTATGAATAACTACACATGCATACTGTTTACACACATGCACACATGTATACATAATTATACACATAAAGAAAGACGTAATTATCTACATAATAATATAAACTTTATATTCAATAGGCACAACATACTCTTCAACCAACTTTGGTAAGTACAAGATTTATTTATTGGTATTTTATTTTACGTTTTCCTATTTACAACGTGTAAGGTAATCTCCTTTATTTTAACACGCTTTCTTAAGTATTATTTCGCATTGCTACTAACCTTTTAGGTTATTTTTAGTACTTGTCTCAGTGAGACTTGGCTGTAGACGTAAAACCGGATTTTAAAATAAGAGCGAAAAACCCCAGGTAATCCGTCACCGTCGCTGTCACGTGATGTGCTGTCGACGTCCGGGTTACGGTGACCCAGATATGAGACAGAAACCTGCCCGGTATTGAAGTGTTGTGGTAAACACGCTGGGTTAGCCGCGCTCAGGTTGATTGATGACGTCACAGAGCAACACCAGACCCAGTGTTTTAACGCCGCACCCTCAGCGTTATTTAAACTCGTGTCTCTGGTCGACACCTCCTGCACCTGTAATTGACGGTTAACACACCTTTGTAAAGTTAAAATACATTGTGACATTTTTTTACTGTACTCTTCTTAAAAAAATTAACTCGCGTTTCTGATAAACTTTAATTAAGCTGTAGAACTATACTCTTTTATTACGCCATAACCGTGAATTATCTCATACAGCTCTATCATTAATTTATAAAAATACGCTCTATCATTAATCTATATAATTAAGCTCTATCATTAATCTATATAATTAAGCTCTATCATTAATCTATAAACTTAAGTTCTATCATTAGTCTATAAAATTAAGCTCTATCATTAGTCTATAAAATTAAGCTCTATCATTAGTCTATAAAATTAAGCTCTATCATTAATCTATAAAATTAAGCTCTATCATTAATCTATAAAATTAAGCTCTATCATTAATCTATATAATTAAGCTCTGACATTACGCTCTTAGAAAAAAAGTTCTAACTTTTACTGAACGTCTACAGACGAGTCGTCGCTAACGGTAAATCTCAACGTAGAAAACACCCCTGTTCAAAATGGCGGAAACTTCTCACTCAAACTACCAGCCGGAAGTGACGTCACTTCCGTGAACATCAGATGCAGGGCACAGAGCAACCAGCTGTCTGTCAATGGCGTCTCTTTGTCCTGCGATTTCGGGAAAGGTCCGAGAGCGAAATCTGTTTCCGGACGTTCGGCCCTATTTCCGGTCAAGCTGTACGGCACCGGAACTGCCGTGTGTACGTGTGCGGCATCCCATGCCGGCGGCTCTTACAGGAAGACAAGTACAGTAACTATACGGCATACAGGTAAAGACAATGTATTTTTATTCTACCATCTACAATAACTATAAGGCATACAGATAAAGACAACGTATTTTCTATCTAACAACTACAGTAACTATACGTCAAAAACACAAAGAATTTTCATTTGAACAACTACAGTAACTATACGTCAAAAACACAAAGTATTTTCTTTCTAACAACTACAGTAACTATACGTAAAAACACAAAGTATTTTCATTCTAACAACAACAGTATCTATACGTCAAAAACACAAAGCATTTTCTTTATAACAACTACTGTAACTATGCATCAAAAACACAAAGTATTTTCATTCTAACAACAACAGTAACTATACGTCAAAAAAACAAAGCATTTTCTTTATAACAACTACTGTAACTATGCATCAAAAACACAAAGTATTTTCTTTCTAACAACTACAGTAACTATACGTCAAAAACAGAAGTATTTTCTTTTTAACAACTACAGCAACTATAGGTCAAAATACTTGCTTGTAAAAACAATTGATACATAAAAGAAGAAAGAACGGGCTTTGACTAAACAAATTCAAGTTATTAAATAATAATCTGTTTTATTAATTTTCTTAAAAGCATTAATTAAACCAAAATAACGTTTTGGGGCTAAGTCTTGGGGAAGGTTGGGGGGGGGGGGGAGGGGGGAAGATATAGGATATTCATGGGTGCCATGTTCAGGGTGTGTGTGTGTGTGTGTGTGTGTTAAAGATCCGGACAACTTAAAATTGACAATCTTTATGAGATCTTGACTTATGAACAAAAGCCACATTCTGTAAAAATATGGTACAAAGATCTCATAGTACTGTTACTAGAAAAACAAAAAACAATATATATATATATATATATATATATATATATATATATATATATATATATATATATATATATATATATATATATATATATATATATATATATATCACCATTAATAGTTGTTACAGTTTGACCAAAAGACTAATCGAATATATTATCAAAGAGATCGTTATTTAAAAAACAAACGAGAAAGGCTGAATGCGTTTTATGTTACTTCTTTCTTCTTCGTTCGTAGTCGTATAATATTGTATGAAATTTCTCACAGCACAATGGACACCAGCGAGTTGACGAGAATCTTTCCATCATATTGTTAAAATGGATAGGATTCGTTTTTTTTCTTTTTAAATTTTGACTTGATAGCAGCCGTAAAAAAATAGTTAAAAAAAAACGTTTGCCTAAAATTAATCCAGAATTATTTTTTTTAGAATCAATATTATAAAAGTTGCAAATCCAGAGAACTTGAAACTAATATTTTTGAGTTTGAGGCTACATTTCTATTTATTTTCATCAAGCCTAAGCTATAAATTTATGTTTAATTTTCGTAAGACAAACATTGATCGGCTGTACAGGAACTCCATGATCGATTTTCCGACAGTCCCATATATCATAGTCATATGTTTACAAAACTTTGCTGATAACGTTTTTGAATAAAATTATGCTAAATTAAACAATATGACCTAGTTCTGCCATTATTGTTTACATTATGTATGATAAAATTTATGCTAACCTATCAAATAGCAGGATGTCTTCGTTTATGTCGACATTACCACGTGAAAACCAAATTGCTTTTGCCTTTTTTTTTTAAATTGTGTTCATTAACCGAAAATACTAAAACGTCAAACGCGTCTTTAAAGTCCAAAAAAAAAACAAAACCAAACAGTCAGGATTTTTTAACCCTATTAATTTTAATTACACCGTGCATGATTTTTAAAAACTATTTAATGGGCATCTCGAATAACGTCGAGGCTATTCTTGGTTGGGTCCATTACGTTTTACGTGTCGACTAGTTATGAACCAGAATTCTGAAATGCTTACGACCTTGCTGTTTATATTTACTGTGTAATCTCTTTTTTTTTTTTTAAATAAGCTCGAAATTAACAAATACAAATTTAATCTAAGAATTTTCGTCCTCAGCCCTTCCTTATGCACCGACAACATCACCATTTCTCGAGGTCAACAACAGCACCTTGCCCGACGGGTCGACTTTAACGGTGGTTCTCAACTCGACCGCCACTAAGGTCTCCGTCAGGTGCGGGGTGTCCGGCGGGTACCCCCGGGTCCACCAGACCACCCTCAAGTGTGGGAACAAAACCGTGGGGGTCCCCAAGCCCGTGGTGACCTTCACCATCACGTACACCAAACAGATGGACGGCCAGATGTGTGTGTGCTCGGCGGATCACGTGACTGGACGGTACAACAAGACGGCCAGGTTTACGTTTGACATACAATGTAGGTTTGTTGTTTTCTTACACTTATACACACTCACACCAGGAAATAAGGATAATTTTTATGTTTTTATTAACAACAAGTAATAAAAGACATTTTTTTTGTATATCGTGATTTAACTAATTTTATGTATACATAAATAAAAATGAACAAATTAAAAGTCTCTACTGAACTCCAAAAAAGTATGTGTAAATCATCGGTGTGAAAAAAAATGCAAATCGATTAGATTTTTCTAGTAGTGTCAGAGCTAAAATCAGACATACATTATGACTAGATCATAGACTGGATTAGGTCTAGTGGTTCTTAAATTAACGATACTAGCAGTCATAGCATTCTTTCAACCTGTCGGTTTATTAACCCATGTTGTCTTGGCCCGCGTTGAATAACCCATGTCTTGCTTAAACCCACGTTAAATGACCTAAGTTGTCTAGACCCACGTTGATTGACCCATGTTGTCTAGACACACGGAAATAGGATCCTATGTTGTATAGACCCATGTTGACAAAACCCATGTTGACAAAACCCATTTTGTCTAGACCCACGTTAATTGACCCATGTGTTGTTTAGACCCATATTGATAAGCTCATGTTGTCCCGACCCACGTTCATTGACCCATGTTCTCTAGACCCACACTAATTGACTTATGTTGTCTAGACCCACGTTCATTGACCCATATTGTGTAGACCCAAACTAATTGACCCATGTTGTCTAGACCCACGTTGTCTAGACCCACGTTATTTGACCCATGTTGTCTAGACCCACGTTATTTGACCCATGTTGTCTAGATCCACGTTAATTGACCCATGTTGTCTAGACCCAAGTTAATTGACCCATGTTCTCTAGACCCACGTTAATTGACCCATGTTCTCTAGACCTACGTTATTTGACCCATATTGTATAGACCCACGTTAATTGACCCATGTTGTCTAGACCCACTTTAATGGGCCCATGTTGTCCCGACCCACGTTAATTGAACCATGTTCTCTAGACCCACGTTAATTGACCCATGTTCTCTAGACCCACGTTAATTGACCCATGTTCTCTAGACCCACGTTATTTGACCCATGTTCTCTAAACCCACGTTAATTGACCCATGTTCTCTAGACCCACGTTAATTGACCCATGTTCTCTAGACCCACGTTAATTGACCCATGTTCTCTAGACCCACGTTATTTGACCCATGTTGTATAGACCCACGTTAATTGACCCATGTTGTCTAGACCCACTTTAATGGGCCCATGTTGTCCCGACCCACGTTAATTGACACATGTTGTCTTCACCCACGTTAAATGACCCATGTTGTACATGCCCACATCAATTTACCCATGTTGTCTAGACCCATGTTAATTGACCCATGTTGTGTAGACCCACGTTAATTGACCCATGTTGTCCCGACCCAAGTTAATTGACCCATGTTGTCTAGACCCACGTTAATTGACCCATGTTCTCTAGACCCACGTTATTTGACCCAAGTTGTCTGACCTACGTTAATTGACCCATGTTGTGTAGACCCACGTTACTTGACCCATGTTGTTTAGACCCACGTTGAGTGACCCATGTTGTCTAGACCCACGTTAATTGGCCCATGTTGTTTGACCCACGTTAATTGACCCATGTTGTCTGACCCACGTTAATTGACCCATGTTCTCTAGACCCATGTGTTAATTGACACATGTTCTCTAGACCCAAGTTAAATGACCCATGTTCTCTAGACCCATGTGTTAATTGACCCATGTTCTCTAGACCCAAGTTAAATGACCCATGTTGTCTAGACCCATGTTAATTGACCCATGTTGTCTAGACCCATGTTAATTGACCCATGTTCTCTAGACCCACGTTAATTGACCCATGTTGTCTAGACCCACGTTAATTGACCCATGTTGTCTAGACCCACGTTAATTGACCCATGTTCTCTAGACCCACGTTATTTGACCCATATTGTATAGACCCACGTTAATTGACCCATGTTGTCTAGACCCACTTTAATGGGCCCATGTTGTCCCGACCCACGTTAATTGAACCATGTTCTCTAGACCCACGTTAATTGACCCATGTTCTCTAGACCCACGTTAATTGACCCATGTTCTCTAGACACACGTTATTTGACCCATGTTCTCTAGACCCACGTTAATTGACCCATGTTCTCTAGACCCACGTTAATTGACCCATGTTCTCTAGACCCACGTTAATTGACCCATGTTCTCTAGACCCACGTTAATTGACCCATGTTCTCTAGACCCACTTTAATGGGCCCATGTTGTCCCGACCCACGTTAATTGACACATGTTGTCTTGACCCACGTTAAATGACCCATGTTGTACATGCCCACATCAATTTACCCATGTTGTCTAGACCCATGTTAATTGACCCATGTTGTGTAGACCCACGTTAATTGACCCATGTTGTCCCGACCCAAGTTAATTGACCCATGTTGTCTAGACCCACGTTAATTGACCCATGTTCTCTAGACCCACGTTATTTGACCCAAGTTGTCTGACCCACGTTAATTGACCCATGTTGTGTAGACCCACGTTACTTGACCCATGTTGTTTAGACCCACGTTGAATGACCCATGTTGTCTAGACCCACGTTAATTGACCCATGTTGTTTGACCCACGTTAATTGACCCATGTTGTCTGACCCACGTTAATTGACCCATGTTCTCTAGACCCATGTGTTAATTGACCCATGTTCTCTAGACCCAAGTTAAATGACCCATGTTGTCTAGACCCATGTTAATTGACCCATGTTGTCTAGACCCATGTTAATTGACCCATGTTCTCTAGACCCATGTTAATTGACCTATGTTGTCTAGACCCATGTTAATTGACCCATGTTGTCTAGACCCACGTTAATTGACCCATGTTGTCTAGACCCACTTTAATGGGCCCATGTTGTCCCGACCCACGTTAATTGAACCATGTTCTCTAGACCCACGTTAATTGACCCATGTTCTCTAGACCCACGTTAATTGACCCATGTTCTCTAGACCCACGTTAATTGACCCATGTTCTCTAGACCCACGTTAATTGACCCATGTTCTCTAGACCCACGTTATTTGACCATGTTCTCTAGACCCACGTTAATTGACCCATGTTCTCTAGACCCACGTTAATTGACCCATGTTCTCTAGACCCACGTTATTTGACCCATGTTGTATAGACCCACGTTAATTGACCCATGTTGTCTAGACCCACTTTAATGGGCCCATGTTGTCCCGACCCACGTTAATTGACACATGTTGTCTTCACCCACGTTAAATGACCCATGTTGTACATGCCCACATCAATTTACCCATGTTGTCTAGACCCATGTTAATTGACCCATGTTGTGTAGACCCACGTTAATTGACCCATGTTGTCCCGACCCAAGTTAATTGACCCATGTTGTCTAGACCCACGTTAATTGACCCATGTTCTCTAGAGCCACGTTATTTGACCCAAGTTGTCTGACCCACGTTAATTGACCCATGTTGTGTAGTCCCACGTTACTTGACCCAAGTTGTTTAGACCCACGTTGAGTGACCCATGTTGTCTAGACCCACGTTAATTGACCCATGTTGTTTGACCCACGTTAATTGACCCATGTTGTCTGACCCACGTTAATTGACCCATGTTCTCTAGACCCATGTGTTAATTGACCCATGTTCTCTAGACCCAAGTTAAATGACCCATGTTGTCTAGACCCATGTTAATTGACCCATGTTGTCTAGACCCACGTTAATTGACCCATGTTGTCTAGACCCACGTTAATTGACCCATGTTGTTTGACCCACGTTAATTGACCCATGTTGTCTGACCCACGTTAATTGACCCATGTTCTCTAGACCCATGTGTTAATTGACCCATGTACTCTAGACCCAAGTTAAATGACCCATGTTGTCTAGACCCACGTTAATTGACCCATGTTGTCTAGACCCACGTTAATTGACCCATGTTGTCTAGACCCACGTTAATTGACCCATGTTGCCCGACCCACGTTAATTGACCCATGTTGCCCGACCCACGTTGACTGACCCATGTTCTCTAGACCCAGCTCGAGTCAGACACCTGACAGCCAACAACAAGACAGGTGTCCTCAAGGTGAGACCAGACACACCTGTCGTCATCGAGTGTCAAGCAGACGGCAATCCTGTTCCAGAGCTCACCCTGCGAGGCCTTAAGACAGGTGTGATTTCATTAATTAGAACACTAATTAATTAATCAGAACACTAATGACACGTGTGACTTAATGTCAGCAAATTCACAAATGTCAGATGTGTTTTATTTTACTCGACAACTAAAGTCAGCTTTTGTTTTATGTAGCCTATTATTTATTAGGTTCAGTTTAATGTGAAATACGAACCGAAAATGAACTTCATAGATGCAATAGTGTTACATTTACCTGTGTTTGGTGTTTTAATCGAGGTATAAATTTACTATAAAACATCAATAAATTCCTTTCGCATTACCACCCTCTTTTATGAAACAAAAATTAAATTCCACATCCAGTATGCTGTATTCTATAACTATATTCTGAACTCCTAGTTATTAATTAAGAGGGCATATATATATATATATATATATATATATATATATATATATATATATATATATATATATATATATATATATATATATGTATATATATATATATATATTAAAATACTTCGTTGTTTGCAACTAATGAATGATTTAAAAATCAGAAACTGTTAATTCCTCACAGGAACGGCTGCATTTGGTAAACCAACCAACACCCAATCCAACACGCTGTCTCGGTCATTCAATGCCACAACGTCACTCGATGACGTATATGTCTGCACTGCTAAAAATAGCTTGAACGGAAATGTCGTATCCGATCGGTTAGTCCAAGTATCTGTAGGAAAGCAAGGTGAGTTCAAGTTAAACAAAAGATGTAGTTTGTAAACAAAATCAATACAGGAAGATAATTTGACTCGTGTCAAGGAAAAGTTTTTGGTTAGAAATTATTTTTTTCCCTATTTATTTATCGACATTTTCATTTATGGGCAAAAAACTACAACTTATCTATGATTACATTGTGACATTGTCCCTGTATATAATAATTGTAGGCAGTGGCGTAGCGAGGTCGGGTGTCACCCGTTGTGGCACTTAATGGTGTCACCCCCCCCAGAGCCGTAGCGACTCTTCCCGGGGACAAACTTTCAATTTTCGATTTGCACCCCCCCCCCTCCCCCCTCGTCCCTCGAACAACTTTCGATTTGCACCCCTCTCACAGTTTTCTCTATATATGTTTACTATTTTTTGCCTTGGTGTTACCCCCCTAAATGGTATCACCCGGTGCGGTCCGCACCCCCCGCTCCCCCCCCCCTCGCTACGCCTCTGATTGTAGGAAACAGTAAAATGAATGAAAACTAGCTTTCGTCGCTGGTAAAAACATACTTTTCTTTACAAAAAAGTTCACGCAAACTAAGTGATTAGAAAAGAACAACAAGAAAAATATCCTTAAAAAGCTCTCACAGAGGTGTGTAGGTAGATTTCTTTTTTTCACAGCTCCTTCCCTCATCGCGAGATTTACCGTCAACGGCGAGACGAAGGTTGAAGTTGAGGCTGGTGCTAGACTTGACTTCCGGTGTGAAACCGCTGGGTATTTGGTGCAATGGACCATCAAGAGCGTCACTTCCGGTTAGTTCTGACGTAACGATTTTAACAAATAACAAGTGTAAAAGTAAAATTAGGCAGACTAGTTGTATGCTTAGAGAGAAAATTAATTAAACTGAAAAACCCATTACAATAGGATTCAACATTAACATAACTTTATTAAATGTCGATATGTAGCCTATATACTGTCTATCTCTTCTTTGTACATCTTCTACGAGCGCATTGTCGATTTATTACCTACATTATGTTGTCAATGTGCTATACATCTACTTTCGATCTATTGCTCATCTATTTTTTAAAGTATTTTCCTAATGTCATTTACCTATTATCCACCTTTCATCCACTATTATCCACCTTTCATCCACTATTATCAACCTATTATCCACCTTTCATCCACTATTATCCACCTATATATCCACCTTTCATCCACTATTATCCACCTATATATCCACCTTTCATCAACTATTATCCACCTATATATCCACCGTTCATCCACCTATTATCCACCTATTGTCCATCTACCCACTAGACACCACATTACGTAACAGCCTGACCAAGACACGCAGCCTTCACGTGTCTGATCTAACTGCGTCATGTGACGTCAACCGTGGAACGTTCGAGTGCCACGCCGCCTACACCAGCAGCTCCAGTTCCAGGACGGACTCTAGGACAGTGGAGGTCATCGTCAAAAACTGTAAGTGGGTCACCTGGTACTGCGCATGTCCATTTGCATATATTACAAAGGCGCAATGTATTATTATATTCAAACGTGGAGCTTCCCTTCATTCCTTAATTTATATTTTGCCGTCAGCCAAATAGATTATTATTAAATACTTGTGTAATACTTTTGATTTAAACAATGGCGGATAACTAGCCTTTTATGTGTTCAGTTCATGAAGAACATATACAAGTATTAAAGCTAATAGTTTGTTTGTTTGTGTACAATATAATGGCCTAAAACACATACATTATTATGTTTCTTACAGGTCCAAAATGATCATCCTAATCAAAGACATGCATAGACAACATATTGAAAGATACTAATCAACATCGTAATTAAAGATACCAAGACAGATTGTGTTGAAGCACACGCTATATTTAGCCTGCATGGAAAATAAATCCTTTCAGATCTAGTTTTAGTTGTATTGACATTGTTTGTGGACTTTATTCATTTTTTTATGCTCACTATCCACTGCTTTTTTAGAAATACATTTAAAAATCAAATAAAAGTCAATTATTTCCTATCTATAGTATATTCTTCTTAACCAGCTTGGAAAATTTCAATTTGATTGGAAACTGAAAGCAAAAAATCGAATAATAAATAAGACGTATCAAATGTGGACATTGGAGTGATTACATTATTTCAACGATGTCGGTGCCATCAGTTTCTGAAACCAAAACCACTTCTTGCAATTAATAATGATACATTTTTCGATTCACATATTACTTAAACTTTCCTGGTATTCATTAGATAAATTAATATCCTCTTTGGTATCCGAGCCTTAGCCCACAAATCTCAAACACAATGGACAAGTGAATCTTATTATTACATGACTGTGGGCTATGTGTGCCATTTGTAAAATAAAGCAGTGTTTGAGAGCCTACTCTTCCGGCGTCTACAAAACGTCACACCCTCATATCCGGCCTGACACTATGGCATTGTTTAATAGCACAACATAATCTCATACCTAATACAACAGGCGGCGACCTGTCTTTCACGGTACGGATTACGGATGTAGACCAAAAAAAAATCTACTCGGGTTTCTGGAATCGGCTTTTATGCCGTCTACTTGATCTGAAACTTAAGACGTTTCATTACACCCCATAAAAAGATTGCAAATATATTTATCGTTAAATAAAATGCAAATTTTAATCAACGGCAACCGTCATAATATTTGGGTAACCAACCGTTTAAGTCTATATATACTTTACATTTCTTTTAGAACAGATCACATTTTTTCAACTTTCCGTGGACAGAAGAATAGCTTACACCAGTTGAATGAAAATGGCAATTGTTTGTTTTAATTCGAACCTCTTTGCCGTGTTTTTCACAATATTTTGTAAGTATTGAAAATATTATTTGTGAATAAAGAGAATTCGTTTAATAATACAGTCTAATATATCTTATTGTGTGTGGGTTAAATATTTATGTTTATTTTGGTAATAGAAGTTTAAAACATTGATTGTCAGTTAGTATAATGATGCAAACTTAGACAGAAACTAGAAAATGTGGAGATCAAGCAGAACTATGAGTAAGTACCAATTGAACAGCCCGGCTTGTTAAAAACTAGATGACCAGTCACGTGTGTCGTGCACATTAAAGGTTTGGGTTAGGCTTTGGTCAGAGATAGTATGCAGTTGCTCAATCGAACGTGTAACAGTTGGAAAAAGATCTTACCCGAGTACTTAGTTTAGTTTGTATATTAACATTTAATTATCTCCTTAAAATCTGTTATAAAGATAAACAGGTAATGTCAGGTACTTTATTTTCAGGCTGTGTGAAACTCTCAGAAGCAGCGAGTCCTCCCGTAGTTGTTATATACAACCAAACTGTTGCGAACGGACAGACGGTACGGCTATCCCCATCCACCACGGAAGTTGAGATCGAATGTACAGGTGAAGCTACGGTGAGAAGCCTAACATTGAGATGCGACTCCGTGACCAGAACCGTATATGACTACAGTGCATTGTTTACCTTCTCTTATACGAAATACTTGAGGAGTGTGGTGTGCGTTTGTACTGCAAGGGACGCTGGTTTCTTCGACGAGAGCACTTCATTTACTTTGGTTAATGGTAAGTTCTTGTTGTAATATTTTATATCTGACAGTAGCACTTCATTTACTTTGGTTAATGGTGAGTTCTTGTTGCAATATTTTATATCTGACAAGAGCACTTCATTACTTTGGTTAATGGTGAGTTCTTGTTGTAATATTTTATATCTGACAGTAGCACTTCATTTACTTTGGTTAATGGTGAGTTCTTGTTGTAATATTTTATATCTGACAGTAGCACTTCATTTACTTTGGTTAATGGTAAGTTCTAGTTGTAATATTTTATATCTGACAGTAGCACTTCATTTACTTTGGTTAATGGTGAGTTCTTGTTGTAATATTTTATATCTGACAATAGCACTTCATTTACTTTGGTTAATGGTAAGTTCTTGTTGTAATATTTTATATCTGACAAGAGCACTTCATTTACTTTGGTTAATGGTGAGTTCTTGTTGTAATATTTTATATCTGACAGTAGCACTTCATTTACTTTGGTTAATGGTAAGTTCTTGTTGTAATATTTTATATCTGACAGTAGCACATCATTTACTTTGGTTAATGGTAAGTTCTAGTTGTAATATTTTATATCTGACAGTAGCACTTCATTTACTTTGGTTAATGGTAAGTTCTAGTTGTAATATTTTATATCTGGTAGTAGCACTTCATTTACTTTGGTTAATGGTAAGTTCTTGTTGTAATATTTTATATCTGACAGTAGCACTTCATTTACTTTGGTTAATGGTAAGTTCTAGTTGTAATATTTTTATCTGACAGTAGCACATCATTTACTTTGGTTAATGGTAAGTTCTGGTTGTAATATTTTATATCTGACAGTAGCACATCATTTACTTTGGTTAATGGTAAGTTCTTGTTGTAATATTTTATATCTGGTAGTAGCACTTCATTTACTTTGGTTAATGGTAAGTTCTTGTTGAAATATTTTATATCTGACAGTAGCACATCATTTACTTTGGTTAATGGTAAGTTCTTGTTGTAATATTTTATATCTGGCAGTAGCACATCATTTACTTTGGTTAATGGTGAGTTCTTGTTGTAATATTTTATATCTGGCAGTAGCACATCATTTACTTTGGTTAATGGTAAGTTCTTGTTGTAATATTTTATATCTGACAGTAGCACATCATTTACTTTGGTTAATGGTAAGTTCTTGTTGTAATGATTTATATCTGACAGGTGCACCTCATTTACTTTGGTTATGAAAATCCAAGATTAAAGTATACTAATAACAAGAAAAAAAATAAAAGAAAACCATTAAAATAGAAAATAAAAATACATTTTCTGCAATTATCACGTAGAAGCTATGGCCACAAATTTACTGAAGACACGACTGAAGGTGCATGTCCCTTTTGTAAACTGTCCCTTTTGTAAACACACAAGGAAACAAAACCGAATCAAAACCAAACGACGACTATATTCAACACCTCACTCAGAATCTAGCAAGGTAAATGTAAGATTGGGTGTGGTTGGGGGTGTAATGTAATGACCCCCAGCCATCCGCACTACGTGAGTAAAACAAACGTTGTTTAAAATAAACTTGTCGTGCTTACTAAAAAAGCCGACGTTCACAACCTCAACTTGCATATCTCCAAATATTTTCTCTCTCACTTTAAAAAAAAACAACAGGTAGTGCAAGTCACAGCGCATTGATTTGGAATGTCCTGTTGGTGACACTTCTGGTCCTGGGTAGGACAGTCCTGGTCTGATCTACAACCTGAGTCACTCTAGTGCGACGGTGCGTGGAGGTTGTCAGATTCTTATCACAGAAAGTAGAAGAAAGAAAGATGGCTGTATACCGATTTCCCTGCCTTTTTTTCTGGTTAAAAGTTAATAAAATGAATAGCACTTTAAAAAAATGAAAATAATGTTTCGGCAAAGATTAACAGTAAAGTATTAATGTTTTTAAATATCTTATTGTTATGTTAAGCTTAACTTGTAGTTCTTACCGTTAGATTAAACAGAACAGTTGTTTTAGTAAATAAAATAATGTGAACTATCACTTTTGTACATAAGCCACATTCACACATTTTATAGTTTTGTATTTCCATTTATCTACTATTTTGTGTTTTTCATACTAAATTAACATAATTTTATTTTGTAACTAAAACTTTTTGAATGGGATAATGTTTAGTATAATGTTACATGTATGATTTATATTGAATATGTTCACGTTTTCATGTTACTGTATGTCCGTTAGAGTTTTTCATAATTTATATAAACAATAATAAAGTAATTGACCATTTAAAATAAAATTATTAACATCTTGATATCATTTTACTTGGTAATGGTATTTGTGTTTTTTATGTGTAGATAGACTGTTTTCTATTCGATAACAGGCGTTTTGTTAAAAAAAAAAGACAAAAACAACAACTAGAAAACATGATCTTCTAAAATAAACTTATCAAGTCTATCTACATGATATATTTAAAGACTGCCTAGTTTTGGTGTGTCCGAGTGGTAGAGATCTAGACGTCTCGTGTTCGGATCCTAGTCTAGACTTGAGCCTGAGGTCAGGAAATGTCAGCTCTACTTCATCTGCACTCTGGGACCACTTCTTATTTCACTCATGGCTAAATTTTCCTTCGCGTAAACACTAAAGAAAATTATTTTAATTACTTTAATTAAAGGCATAATCTGTCACCCATGAAATCTTAGGGACCAATGCTTTTACTAAAGAAAGAAAGTTTGTTTTCTTTCAGGGCATTTAAAAGCTTATTAATTTAAAGACTTTGTAAATGTTTGTTGTATTTTCAATACCAGTAGCATTATAGCTAAATAAGTAAAGCCAGCTTGGTGTAGTTGTACCATAGTTGAGCTAAACAAGGAAAGTATAACAGGGTTATAAACTGTCTTGAAAGGTGAATACACGGATTTGCATTATATAAGACAATGTTTCTGCTTATTAACACAAAAAACCAATCCTCATTCTCAGCGCTTTATTAATGTAGTGGCAGAAAAAAAATCAACTCTATAGACAAAGTAGATAAGAGGGGGTAAAGTATTAAATACACAACCCAGTTTTGAAGTGGAGAAATAAAAATTCATAGAAAAGCCCTTGAGGTGCGGCGGTTGTAAATCTGTCTCTGATGAAGTGGATTGAAACTTTCGACTTAGACGGAAGTAACCAGGTTTTTACCGTTGTTTGTGTGTTTACATTGCCAATCCTGGGAACTTTATCGTCTGCTTCCCACTTGTTGTGACTGTCCCAGGTCGTAAAATGGGGCGGAACCAGGACACATACTGCTGGATAGATCTAGATCTAGGACATCCCCCCACCCGCACCATTAAAGCTGGTAGTTAAGGGTGTAACAACAGACACTGATACAATCTAAACCACCCACTGTAAAACAGTGGTTCTTAACCTGTTTGCATGAATCAACCCCCACTACATGCGCATTCACTGAACTCTTGTTAATACTTTAATCGTCCTCACTGACAAAATCTGATCTTAGATCAATTGAGTCGGGCGTGTTTTGACCTTCTACAAACCCCTGAGACTAACTCACCCAACCTTGGGGTTCGATCGAACCCAGGTTAAGAACCACTGCTGCAGACCATAGAGGGCTCTCGTAAGTTGTATAAATATATATAGTTATTGTTGTCAGTTTAAATGTTAACTGCCATAATGATCGCGATAAGTGGGTTCAGGATGTTAATATTAATTCTTTAACTTTTTAAAAGCTTTTATTTAACTTACTTCCTCTGGCTTTCTTGCTTTTGTCTATTGTCATAAATCGAAACTGACGAGCAAAATTTTGAACTCTTCTAATCTAACTGGCCGATTCGTTTCAAAGTTGGCATGTAGGTCAAAACCCGATGACAACGCAATCTGACATAAAATTTAACTTAATTGTATGACTAATTTAAAAAAAAATTAACTAAAATGTTCTGAAATTAGTTTTCTTTATTGTTATTTAAATAGTATTATTTTATCATTATTACATACAAGCTTGTTATTAAAACGTTTTTATGCATTTTGTTTTGCTTTAAACAGCTCTGAAAATTTCCGGAAATCTGCACATTTTTCAATTTTTCTGAAAAAACGAAAAAGTTGTCTGAAATAATTTCTAGTTCAAGCTTTAGAGTTCGGTTGCGCACCAAGGTGATCACATGACACATGACTGAACGTCATCACCTGTGTTCCTGATGGGGAACTGTGAGTGTTAAACATACTTCACACGCAAGTGAGCACGGCGTGGAAGCAGCTGGCAGAGACAGGACTGTTATGGGGGACTGCCAGGAACATTGACGTACACCGACAAAATGGAGGGAGCTTTCTGTGGCGGCCACGTGTGTCTTGGGCACAAAAGGGAAAAGATGATGGCACACACGTTTAATGAACTTAAATGACGCTTTACTACTACTACACAAAATAAATTACAATGTAGGCCTACACAAGCAAAGAGCTCCAAACGAAGACAAATTTGTGGACAATTCCTTTTAATTTAATACAAATTTCAATAAAAACTTGACATTTTAGAAAAAGGATGTGGATGATCTAAGCATACAACAAAAAAACATTGTTAAAAAAACAACAAAATAACTAGCCTGGTACCTCGGACTCCCAAGTCCTCTACATGATAGCGAGCCAGGAGATTTGTCCGCACTAGACGGGCGAATCTTCGTTGCTTGCTATAAATAGCGTGGGGGAGGAGAGGTGCAAGACTGCCGGGAACCAAGAAGGGTTTGCTCTCGACCCTAACCAGATATCTTGACTTTAAGCTGCGGCCTTCACGTGGCTTCAGAAGAGTGCCACTAGTCGGACCAAACTCATGACCCCCCATAGTGGGTGCGGAATGGCTAGTGGTAGCCAACAGCAGCTAGAGGCTTTTGATCTGGCCGAGTAGAACTGCTGTATGCGTTCGGCACTTCCGAAGAGCCTGGTACGTCGGACTCCCAAGTCCCCCCACATAATAGCGTGGGGGAGGAGAGGTGCAAGACTGCCGGGAACCAAAAGAGTCCGCCGCCTGATCTTTCTTTTGACTTTAAGCGGCGGCCTTAACGGGGCTTCGGAATAATGCCACTGGTCCGACCAAACTCATGTCCCCCCTAGTGGGTGCGGAATGGCCAGTGGGAGATAACAGCAGCTAGAGGGTTTTGATCTGGCGGAATGCCCCCCACGATCAAGCTGCGTACCAGGCGGTAGGACGACGTCCCGCGTCTGGTGGGTGGGGAAGAAAAGCCCGATGTGTGGGAAACTCTCTCGGGGTTTGCCACACTGAGGCCTGCCTGGCAGTGTTTCTTCCAGACTTTTTTCTCCGGGGGGGGGGGGCACTTGAAATTTTCGGGGGGGGCGGTAAACTTTCTTCGGGGGGGGGGGGGCGGACACTGTTAAAAGTATATATTTTCTATATAAATTATATAAATTTCATTTCGTTCGGGGGGGGGGGGGGGGGGGGGGCGGTAAAAAATTTTCGGGGGGGCTTTGCCCCCCCGAAGAGATGCCTGGAAGAAACTCTGCTGCCTGGCTAATGGAAGTGAACCTTCTGAGCCGGTTTCCGTATAAGGAAGGAAGGAAGTGTAAGAGATCATCCCAGAGGCGTAGCGATGGGAGGGGGGCAGGGGGGTACATTTGTCCCCGGGCGCCGACCTTAGAGGGCGCCAAAATGGGTTGTAAAAACAAATTGAAATGTCATTTTAGCTGCATTTTTGCATTATAAATAGTTTGAGGGGGGGGGGGGATGCAAATCGAAAGATTGAGGGGGGGGGGGGTGCAAATCGAAAGTTTGAGGGGATGGTATTTGCTTCCGAGGGGGCGCCAAATTGAAAGTTTGTCACCGGGAGCCGGGAAGGGTCGCTACGCCTCTGGGTCATCCATAAATGACGTCACGCTTTTTTTTCTTCTTGAAGTATTACGATCAATTCATATTACAATTATTAAAACCGTTTTCCAAAACGCGAAATAACGGCTAAAACTCGTTTTCTAACATTGCTTTTTTATAAACCCCCCTCCCCCTCATCACACACCGTCACAAAATTACGGATCCTCTCCCCCCTACGAGTGTGACGTCATTTATTTTTTTTTGAATCTTTTATTAACCAGTTTGTTGGGTAGGGGGAGTAACTGTTTAATATTGGTAAATCTGGTACCCATCGATTCCTTTCCCTGTTCCTTGAATTTCCTTCATGACCCGTATCAATTCACGTAGCTGCTGAATCTCGCGACAGCTAATTCTTATCCGTGCCAATTCTTGCAACTGCTAGTTCTAGCACGCGACACCCCCCCCCCCCCCCGCGTCAATTCTCCACCAATCAAACCATTAGTTTATAATATATTTTGCCTATGATGATTAGCATATCACATTCAATTAAAAGTTTCGATATGTAGGAAAACATAAGTTTTTTTTTCGCTTCAGGGAATGCAAGAGAACTAGTCCCATAAAGTGCAGTCTAGCAGTTTTCTAGTTATGTTTGTCAGAGGAAATATTTTTTATTGACATATACTTTAGGATAACTTGCTCTTTGTTAATTTATTACGGTGAATTAAATTAATTATTACCTGAAAAAAAATGGTTAAAAACTTGAAAAATAACCTGTTAATTTTTGTTCGATTTTTTAATAATCTCGTACAGATAAATCAACAGGTTTATGATTTACATTACAAATTAAAAAAATAATTTAGTAATGTGTAAAGTGCTAAATAATGTACATTAATTTCTTCCGGTACTAGTACATTTATCCACAAACACATACTCAGTTATATAATGTACACAGCCATTAGATAAACCATTTTAAGCTATTTTAGCGTAATAGCTTTGAAATAGAAATGACTAATACATTTTTTATGTAATTTTAACAGAGTTGTGTGTCAAAATAGAAATGTATTAAATAATAGAACATTTATATTTTTAAAAAATCTGCAGCATCGTATTACAATAATAGATGTACTATATATTTTCCTTGGATTATTTTTAGTAGCACATGTGTTACATTAATTCCTAAAACATTCTTTATCCAACATACGGATAACGCTACAAGATGGCGGACTCTGGCTTAAGACTAGACCATGACTACCCTACACAGGACCAGAAATGTCAACAACAGGACATTCCAGGCCACAGAAAGTACACCTGTATTACCTGTATTACCTGTAGAAAGTTAAAAATAACCAAAATAAAAACAGAGAATAGTGCGATGCGACATGTCTTATGTTACTTCTATAAAGTTTCTAAAAAGATTGTATTTATGGCTGTCTGAACTCTACTAACAATACACCGGTCGCTCATAAAATGGCTTACACTTTTTGCGACTTATGTTTATTAAAAAAAGCAAGTTTAAAAAACTATATTATTAAAGTTATCAGCGCATTCAAATGGTTATTATTATAAAGCTTTTTATATTTGGTTATTAAAAGTAAAACACATTCTGACTAAGAAGAAATGACTGCGGATATCAATCTCCACCTAAGCGTATACAGTTTACTTGATTTGTATGAATCGTGCAGGATCTTAAACTCTTCTACTGTCAAAGAAATTCTAACATAAGCTTAAAATTGTTATGTTTAAAATTACTTTGGCAGTGTAAGCGTAAGTTAAGCAACCTGTTGTGACCACCCTTTCCCTACCTGATGTTAAACTGCTATCGACGTATGTGAAAATCCATAATCACAAATGTTATAAATATATGTAATATATAGCATTGCTATAGGGCTGGTAAGTAGGTGAACAATCAGTTCTATGGGTCATGCAGGTTTTATTGAGCCGTAGAACTGGTTGGTGACCTACTTACCAGCCCTATTGAAACAGACGGATACATAACAGTCAAAATATGTGGCATATGTAAAAACATAGTAATTTAATTTTTGTGACATTTTAAAACAACGTAACACAGTATAACCACCTATAGAGTCGTAAAGTAACTTTCACACCATAACCACCTATAGAGTCGTAAAGTAACTTTCACACTATAACAACCTGTAAAGTTGTTAAGTAACTTTCACACTATAACCACCTATAGAGTCGTAAAGTAACGTTCACACTATAACCACCTTTAGAGTCGTAAAGTAACTTTCACACTATAACCACCTGTAAACCTGTAAAGCCACTTACACACTGTATCCACCTGTAGTGTCTTGCTGTCACTCAACAGGCCGCGCCGTGTCGCTTTACACTCGTATTTCTCGCTCACCCCACACCCTCCCACTGCTGGTATATCTGTGACGAATCCTTCGAATGTTCGAGAACAGGATCCGCTGTTCAGTATTGTGCCTGGTATAATATACAAATGGGAGACGTATGGACAAGAAATTAAAGAAAGGCAAACACGGATAAAATATGACGATGCAAAGGATTCTGACAACAGTGGAATCCCCAAAGGGTCATCCATATATGACGTCACGCTTTTTTCGACGATTTTTACCTTCCCCCTCCCCTCCGTCACACGTCGTCACAAAAAGCCAGACCCCCGCCCCACTTAAAACGACGTTACACCTCAGCCGACAACCCCCTCAAAATTTCTATTGAATTTTTCTTAAAACATCAATATTTTTCCAAAATCTTGTCAGAACTCTGTCAACATTTTGATCAATTCCTATTACAATTTATTAAAACAGTTTTCTAAAACGCGAAATAACGGCTCAAACTCGTTTTCTAACATTGTTTTTTTATATGCAAAAAAAGTGACGTCCCGCCATCTGAACCCCCCCTCCCCTTCATCACACACCGTCACAAAATTATGTACCCCCTACGAGTGTGACGTCATTTATGGACGACCCCCAAGGCAAGCGACGAAGGGGTCGTCACAGGAAGACATGGCAACGTGCAGGAAAAAGACCGAAAGGATAGGACGGAATTGGGGACTGCTGAATCTAGTGGCAGCAGTCAGACCGCGGAGAGAGGAGATCTTTGACAGAGTCCATATGTTCTCCCAAGGAACGAAAAGGGAGAATGATGATGATGATGACAATATACAAAAATAGTTATCATACAGGTTTGCACGATACATGAACGATAGTTATCATACGGTTGGTACAATATATGTAAATAGCTATTATACAGTCTAGTACAATACACAGCAAAATAGATGGTATCCTATAATTCGTGAACAAAGCCACCTATACAAAGTTAAAACAGAGGTGTAGATCTGTTGGTACCTGAGGTTACTGCTTTCAACGTACAGTCTGCGTCGTAGAGGTCATCTACAGCACTACAGACAAACTTGATTGGTTGGTTTATGCTGACCTTTAGTAAAGAACCCTCGCCATTGGCTGTGAACTTCACAATTTCTGGTGTAGCTAGAATTTAAAGTGAATAGAAGTTACCAATATAAGTTACCAATAGAGGTTACCAATAAAAGTTACCAATATAAGCTACCAATAGAAGTTACCAATAGAAGTTACCAATATAAGTTACCAATAAAAGTTAGCAATAGAAGTTACCAATAGAAGTTACCAATGGTACCTGGAGGTATTTTCTCAAACAGACAATCTGCACAATTTAAGACTGCTGTTTGGTAATTAATTACCTATACAATTTTAGTGCGATATTTTAAGCCGAGTAGTGCTTTAGTGCTTTATGGGACAAGAGGGGTCTGGTGTGGGATATGTTCTTAGTAATATTACTTTGTAGGTGTGTATGCGTGAAAGAGATAATGGGAGGTAGAGAGAGAGAGAGATAGAGAGAGCTAGGAGAGAGAGAGAGCAGGAGGGAGGGAGTGGTAGGGAACATTTTTCGTTAGAGTAGACATCATAGAACCTCTTGGCAGAGGTTTAGCGATGGGAAGGGGGGGGGGGGCAGGGGGGACATATGTCTCCGGGCGCCGACCTTAGGGGGCGCCAAAATGGGTTGTAAAAACAAATTAAAATGTCATTTTAGGTGTATTTTTGCAGTTTGAGGAGGGGGGGGGGGGTGCAAATCGAAAGTTTGAGGGGGGGGGGGGGGTGCAAATTCTTAGCCAGTTTTTCTGTTCACTTTCTGGAAATCTGAATCGCGTATCTCATCACCATGTAACACATAACATCATACAACGGGGGGAACAATCCTAAAGCAGGAGATGAATTATAAATAGAAGAGAAATCCTTCCTACGGTCTGGCTTGAGGTAAAACGTCGTGGCCTTGGATACACCAGTCACGTGATTGGCTGTACACACACACCGACGTCTGCTTAGGGATGACGTGAATGACGTGTATGACGCTCTGTACGTCCCACGTGATCCGTTGGTTGTCTGGCCCAAACTGCCACACTCTAACGTGACGTTTGTCACGCTGACCTCTCCCCCCTCCACCTCCCACGTGATATCCACCATGGAGTGATACGCCTTCAGCCGCACAGTTTGTCCTTGATGCACAGGGATGTTGTAGACATACACGGTTGGAGCCTGCTCTGGTGTTTCAGCCGAGCCTAAAAACATTTTTTTGTGAACAAGAAAACAATACATTGTAAACTACATAACGTATCTATAGAGGGGAAGTTCTGATTTGTGACGAATTAATCAGATTGTGTTTAGTCAATTTTGGTATTTATGGATTATATTGAGTAAATTTTTTAAAGTTTCTAAGGATTGCAGTGGATGATGAGAGCTTTCACGGGGGGAGGGGGGGGGGTTGAACTCCATCTGAAAAAAAAAACTGTTTGCGTCACATAGTTTTGGAATCTCTTGGGTCTGGGGGAAAGTGGTTTGGATATTGAAGACTTGGTGGATGACAACAGTGTGGGGTGGTCATTGGGGTCGATGTCCACTGTTTGAGGTGGTCATGGGGGTGTATGACCCCAGTGTGGGGTGGACATGGAGGTGGATGACCAAGGTAGACTCTACTACGGGCTTGCTATGATTCTAAAAGACAAAACAGTTAAGTGACACACAGTGCCAAAACTCAATGATGTAACATGAGAGGATTCTGTTTTAAACAATCAATATCCGGGTATTGTTTACCTAGATTTGCTTTATTTTACTCCTAAAGAGATGTTCTTTTTAAAAAAAATCAAATATATGTATGCTTACATAACACCACCAAGACAACGGTAATCGAAGTGGCTTCAATAAGTCCAAAAGCCGCCATATTTTCGTCGCTATAAAGCTATAGCGGTAGAAACTGTACAGCTGTCCTGAGACACCTTGACTAGTGTTGATATTCTGTGATAAAAACTGCATATTAGAACATTAAAAAATTTTAAACTGAAAAAATCTGATGTTTTACTTAGTTTTAAGAAAAAACGATCTCAGGACAAATAACCTCAGATAAAATATCCTAAATAAAATATTTCACGGACAAGTGATCCCAGGACAAATGATATCAGACACAATGTCCCAGAAAAAAACATCTCACGGACAAAACATCTCATAGAAAATATCCCAAACAAAATATTTCAGAGAGAAATATCCCAAACAATATAACCCAGAGAGGAATATCCCAAACAAAATATATCAGAGAGAAATATCCAAACAAAATTTCTCAGAGAGAAATATCCAAACAAAATTTCTTAGACAAAACCTCTCACAACGCCTGTCGCCATTTTACCTATATATTTTAATATTTAATGAAGGAGCAAAAATATAAAAAAAAATATCCGATAGAAAGAAAATCTGGTAAAAATACCTGACAGAAATGCACCTGATGGGTACTTAATTCACGTTATGGAAATGAAGGCTGCCTGGCATAGTGCTGACCACATTATACCCATTTTTTTCGGGTGTTATTAAAACAGATTTGTCTTGGGCACGAACGGGAAAAGATGAGATTCAATAATTTTTAACCTTTACGGTTATATTGATCTCTGTACTAACAAAAACATAACTAATATATTTGTAATATCCAGTCTGAAAAATCCTCCATCGTTACTTATTACTGTAACCATTACAAAAATATGTTTCCTTATACTAAGGGGAAATAAACCGGGAGTGATCTCCCCTAAACTTTCTCGAATATTCTTATATAAAATAACAGGGGATGGGAACTCGGGCTATAGACATGATTTTTAATCCATTTTAAATACTTAAAGTTTTAAAAATAGAATAAAATCTCGTAGACAAATTAATTGCACACCAAGTGAACGCCAAATAAAAAAGCGCATAATAGTGCGCAATATTATTATTACTTTTAAAATTTACATTAGTTTTTTACTTTCTCGTATATACGAAGTATAGAGAAAGTCTTGTAATCGTGCAAAAAAAAAAAAAATCGAGATTTTTGCAAATCTCGACGTTTTGCATCTCACTGATACGGAAAAACATAATTTTGCAATCTTGTCCGTATGTCTGTGTGTCTGTGTGTGTGTGTGTCTGTGTGTGTGTGTGTCCGTGTGTAAACACGATAACTTGAGTACCGTTACAGCTAGGTTGATGAAATTTCATATATAAGTATTTCTCTAATTCTCTACCTTCTATTAAATTTTGAGTCATTTCCGTTGACTGGAAGTAGTACTTTACGCTACTTCCGATTTCTCAAAAAACTAATGTAAATTTTAAAAGTAATAATAATATTGCGCACTATTATGCGCTTTTTTATTTCACGTTCACTTGGTGTGCAATTAATTTGTCTACGAGATTTTATTCTATTTTTAAAACTTAAAGTATTTAAAATGGATTAAAAATCATGTCTATAGCCCGAGTTCCCATCCCCTGTTATTTTATATAAGAATATTCGAGAAAGTTTAGGGGAGATCACTCCCGGTTTATTAAACTTTAAGTATTTAAAATGGATTAAAAATCATGTCTATAGCCCGAATTCTCATCCCCTGTTGTTTTATATAAGAATATTCGAGAAAGTTTAGGGGAGATCACTCCCGGTTTTTTGAGAAATCGGAACTAGCGTAAAGTACTACTTCCAGTCAACGGAAATGACTCAAAACTTAATAGAAGGTACAGAATTAGATCTTTTACTTACATATGAAATTTCATTTATCTATCTGAAATAGTACCCAAGTTATAGGCTTTTGAAAAATTCAAAGTAGGAAAAGTACCACTTCCGGTTTTCGGAAATCGCTCAAAAGTTGATACGGATCTACGATTTTGATTAAATACTTATATATGAAATTTCATCAACCTAGCTGTAACGGTACTCAAGTTATCGTGTTTACACACGGACAGACAGACAGACACACAGACAGACACACAGACATACGGACAAGATTGCAAAATTATGTTTTTCCGTATCAGTGAGGTGTGAAACGTCGAGATTTGTAAAAATCTCGATTTTTTTTTTTTGCACGATTACAAGACTTTCTCTATACTTCGTATATACGAAAAAGTAAAAATGAAACGGAAATAAAATGAGACATTTAAAGCATAGCAAATGCTATATGTAAGTAGTAATACATCTTAAATGTAAATAATAACAAATGCTTAATGTAAGTAATAACAAATATTACTCTTAAATGTTAACCGATGTTACACGTAAATAATCACAGAAGTTGCATGTAAATAATCACAATTGTTACATGTAAGTAATCACAAATGTTACATGTGAAAAAAATAGTAATGGATACACTTACATCTATACTTATCTGACTGATCAATTAAATCCTCGCTCTTCTTTAGTGACGTGTGTAGCCCTTCAATCACACATTATCACTACTCACACCAACCCGTTTTTTTTTAATAGATTTATCCACGTGATTTTACTATACATAGATCCCTGTGGGTCTTATATTACAGCCATACGAATAAAAGTCATATGATTAAAATATGGAATAACATTGATGCACATTAAAGCTATTTTGCCTTACACAATCATCCGATCACAAGCTCCGAACACACACACACAATTTGATGAAACCAAAAGTGGACCAACGTTCTCACCTGGGCTAGCCGCTATAGGAATCAATACTGTGTCGGCTGGTTGCACACGAATCACCCTCCAGTAGAACAAGTTGTCTAGGTTGACACGGAGGTCTAGGGCTGATGGAGATGCTGACCCGTCACTTAGCGTAGCTGCTGATACACGTAACTTCACAGTCATTGCACATCACAGAGTGTGGTGTGGACATGGAGGTAAATGACCACAGTATTGTGTGGACATGGAGGTAAATGACCACAGTATTGTGTGGACATGGAGGTAAATGACCACAGTATTGTGTGGACATGGAGGTAAATGACCACAGTATTGTGTGGACATGGAGGTAAATGACCACAGTATTGTGTGGACATGGAGGTAAATGACCACAGTATTGTGTGGACATGGAGGTAAATGACCACAGTATTGTGTGGACATGGAGGTAAATGACCACAGTATTGTGTGGACATGGAGGTAAATGACCACAGTATTGTGTGGACATGGAGGTAAATGACCACAGTATTTTGTGGACATGGAGGTAAATGACCACAGTATTGTGTGGACATGGAGGTAAATGACCACAGTATTGTGTGGACATGGAGGTAAATGACCACAGTATTGTGTGGACATGGAGGTAAATGACCACAGTATTGTGTGGACATGGAGGTAAATGACCACAGTATTGTGTGGACATGGAGGTAAATGACCACAGTATTGTGTGGACATGGAGGTAAATGACCACAGTATTGTGTGGACATGGAGGTAAATGACCACAGTATTGTGTGGACATGGAGGTAAATGACCACAGTATTGTGTGGACATGGAGGTAAATGACCACAGTATTGTGTGGACATGGAGGTAAATGACCACAGTATTGTGTGGACATGGAGGTAAATGACCACAGTATTGTGTGGACATGGAGGTAAATGACCACAGTATTGTGTGGACATGGAGGTAAATGACCACAGTATTGTGTGGACATGGAGGTAAATGACCACAGTATTGTGTGGACATGGAGGTAAATGACCACAGTATTGTGTGGACATGGAGGTAAATGACCACAGTATTGTGTGGACATGGAGGTAAATGACCACAGTATTGTGTGGACATGGAGGTAAATGACCACAGTATTGTGTGGACATGGAGGTAAATGACCACAGTATTGTGTGGACATGGAGGTAAATGACCACAGTATTGTGTGGACATGGAGGTAAATGACCACAGTATTGTGTGGACATGGAGGTAAATGACCACAGTATTGTGTGGACATGGAGGTGGATTCAACTGCCCACACACGTAACATCAAAGTAATTTCACAACACACAATTTATAAAAACATACCTTATCCTCTATTCACTCTCTCTCTGTTAATCAAAGGCTCTCACACATAAAACCACATGGTTTTTGTTATGGGGGTATTGCTTTAGATTAACTAATTGAAAGGTTTAATTTAAATTAATTTTTTACGAAAAATAAAAAACCCTGCTTTTTTAAAAGTTCGCTCCTCAAATTCAACATTACAATAGCTTGACTCTTTTTAGCATTAACTAATACCATATTTGGAGGTTAAAAAACATTTATGGCGTAATTGTATCTGAAACGTCGATACAGTTAACAGATTTTCCTTTAAAAATAGTTTCAACTATAATAAACCGGGAGTGATCTCCCCTAAACTTTTTCGAATATTCTTATATAAAATAACAGGGGATGGGAACTCGGGCTACAGACATGATTTTTAATCCATTTTAAATACTTAAAGTTTTAAAAATATAATAAAATCTCGTAGACAAATTAATTGCACACCAAGTGAACGCATAATAAAAAAGCGCATAATAGTGCGCAATATTATTAGTACTTTTAAAATTTACATTAGTTTTTTGAGAAATCGGAAGTAGCGTAAATTACTACTACCAGTCAACGGAAATTACTCAAAATTTGACAGAAGGTAGAGAATTAGATCGTTTACTTACATGTGAAATTTCATTTATCTATCTGAAATAGTACTCAAGTTATAGGCTTTTGAAAAATTCAAAGTAGGAAAAGTACCACTTCCGGTTATCGGAAATCGCTCAAAAGTTGATACGGATCTACGATTTTGATAAAATACTTATATTTGAAATTTCATCGACCTAGCTGTAACGGTACTCAAGTTATCGTGTTTACACACGGACAGACAGACAGACAGACACACAGACAGACACACAGACATACGGACAAGATTGCAAAATTATGTTTTTCTGTATCAGTTAGATGTAAAACGTCGAGATTTGTAAAAATCTCGATTTTTTTTTGCACGATTACAATACTTTCTCTATACTTCGTATATACGAGAAAGTAAAAATGAGATGATTATACGGATATCTAGAAGTTTCATATTTTTTACGCAATTTTTGTGATATTTGACACTTGGAAGTTAATAAACCTGACACTAATTATTTCAAGAAGGTAGTATTTTTTCCTGATTAAAATTAGTTTAAACCTATTGAGGGTAGGCCAGTGCCGGCGCCCGGTTATTTAGCGCCCTAGGCAAAACTTATTAAAACGCCCCCTTTCACACAATATAATTACTAAAACATATATATATATATATATATATATATATATATATATATATATATATATATATATATATATATATATATATATATATAAGAAAACAATTAATTAAAAGTGAAATATTAATTTATTATCAATTGCATACACGGTATAAGTAGACATCAAAATCTAATTTTACTTGCCTCCTTCGTCTCAAAAGTTAGTACTAATTCCTTCAATTCCAGTTTGCAAGCGTAATCACATTTTATTGAAATTGTTGGCTACTGATGTATTTGTCTTTCAACTTGATAATGCTGAAAAAACCAACCAAACTATTTTGTTTAGATCTTAAGCTTTATATAATTTTTACAATAGCAAGTAATAAATTGAATTTATATGTAAGCTGTCAACATAAGGTGCAGTAATTTGAAATGAATGTTAAGTTAAGCAACGAATTATCTCCCATTTGAAAATCTAAAGACCAAAATTTTATTCAAGGTAAATAACTTTCACAAAAATAGCTAAATGAGCCAAGTGAAACTAAGACATGCTTGAAATTCACAATAAAACCCTCTAAATTTCATTATGTAATCATTATATTAAATCTATTATATTAGCTTTGTAACCTTGTAAAAACAATATAATTTTTCCTATTGAATACGTAACTGTAGGTTTTGCTTGAAAGTCTAAAAGCCGTAGCTTTATTATAACATACTTTCATTCACATTTGATGACATTCATCGAATCTTCGCTGTTGTCATCCGGTAAGTTGTTATTAAATTTTGGATCCCTTAAATAAAGGGCCTCCTTTCTAATATTCTAACACGGGTAACTGTTTTAGACATTTCTAGAATTGTTGATTAAGTATAAAAAATATAAATTTGAAAAAAAAACAAAGTTAACGGTTAGTTATAAATTCCATCCTATTTAATATTAGATATTAATTCTTTAAGAGTGGTAATATAGATTCCTAAAAAACTAAAGATTTTTCAACTAGAAAACGCCTACCTTTCTTTGTAGTGTGTTCCGTACTGAATTGAAATCATCTAACTTACGATAAACTTGACTAATCGATATACTCTTGTACATTCACAACACACATCAAACTTCGATACCTAAACATAACTAGACTCGATGCTTCAGAACTACGATACCATCTCCCTTAACTTCACCAAGCTCTACAAACGGTACTCCCAATCAACAACGATTTTACTGGACCTACTACTACACTTTAACAGTCAATATAATTCGATTACTTAATACCACAAAAATCAATACTCCCAAACTTCAGAACTACGATACTTCATCGCCTGCATTATCATTTCTCTATTACCAATCAGATTTCACTAGACCTTCAACTACAAAACAGACGAATAAAAAATTATGACACTTTAACACTTCGATACTTTACGAAACCATATCAGCAACAGCCTGCCGCCGTTACTCCCAAATCTAAACGATTCATCAAAACTAACCAAACAAGTACAATACTTTGAACACCCCGTCATTACAAAACTCTGTACACCAGGACATATTTCTAATTCAAAGTCAGAGAAAACGAGACTTACAAGCCCTATTAAAATTAAATAACCGTTTGAAATATTCGAAATTAAATAGCGAACTTATTTTAATCGTTTTCTACATCAATTATGTGACACCAAATTAAAAAGGCAAAGTGACTGGTAAAAAGCGGCCCTCCTTTCCAAATTAGGGATGTGGGGTTGCAGTTTCAACATCGCGAATAAATATATGCCTATATAGACCTAATTTTGGGGTGGGGGTGCAAAAATTAATAGTTCGTCCTAGGTTCTGCCAATAGATCGCTACTCCTTTATAAAATTTATTAATTTTTAAGTACTTTTTGATAATATCGATTAAACATTTTGCGCCGCCCCAGAGATGGCGCCCTAGGCGGTCGCCTAGTTCGCCTTATAGGTAGCGCCGGCCCTGAGGTAGGCAGGTGGTCGAATGATGCTCTGTGCTCTTAATACGGTGTGTAAGGTATTGCAAAACTCGCTGCTAAATGTAAATGTGATTTGTAGGTCGAGGCATGTGTTTGCTGAGGTCAAATTCAGAAAAAGACTTCACTCCTTTTGCTTAGTTTACTTAGCTTACATGTTGAGACGATTGGTTGCTTCCCATGCTAAAAAAACCCTCACATTTGCGCAATATAGCGCTATATTTAATCCTATTATGTCGACCAGTGTTCGGTGTCCATTACCTGACTGGCTACTTGCTGAGGACATCAGGTGTAGAGTAGGTGTAGAATTTACTTCAACAAAAATAACTACCACAACGTACTACAAAACGTATACTTTACACTATTTATAACAGCTGTTTGACCATTTTAAGCTTCAAGCAGATAACTAAAAGGTTGCAAAGGGTCAACATGGCAGTTCTCAGTCTTCTTAATGCGAGTTTGATTGCAATTTTCTTGATGCTGTCATG